AGGCAGATTCCTCCTCCATCCCTTTGGGCTACACCCACTTCTGGTCCCTGCCCTCTGGCAGCCCATAGCCCCCACAGGGGTTACAATGGGGCAGTGCTGGAAAAGGTTATCCATCTCTTACCTCAGCAAAGGACAAAGGGCGAATGACTTTGGCACTGCTGATTCAGTCACTGACTGACTCAAAGCGTTCTTTCACTTCCTTCTCCCACGAAGTAGCAACAGAGGCTCTGTCCAATCGACACCCTTTCTCTTTCAGATCGTGTTTCCTTGAGGTCTATACTGTAAGAGAAAGTCCTTGTTGCGATTCACAGTGGAGTAATTTGAGCTGTTATACCTTGGCTCTTGTGAGTGTGTGGTGTTAAGATAAATAATAAGTAGGGGATCTTTATTATTGGGCTGTGAGGGAAGTCTGATATGAAGCATGTACGCTTTCGCAGTCATGCAGTGCCGGCGTTTTATACTGTTGGGATCATTTTATGGTTTTATACCTTTTAATGGCTACACTGGATGTCAGTTTCTTTGTTTCTCTATTGAGGACCTCAAAACGGGTTCTCCTCCTCTCCGTTATTACTTAATGAATATTACTTAACAAAAAGTAACCAATAAATGCATATATAATGCCAAACCGCTATTTTGCAAAGAACTCAAAGCAACTTTAAAAGTATATATGATGCCTTAAAGTGTCAGAGACTACAAATGAATTGCAGAGATTGGAGAACTCACATTTGCAGGTAACTCTAACTCACTAGTCTTTGACCTCTTCAGACCTCTTTCAACCCAAAGAGACTTCCTTCCTTCCTTCCTTCCTTCCTTCCTTCCTTCCTTCCTTCCTTCCTTCCTTCCTTTCTTTCTTTCTTTCTTTCTTTCTTTCTTTCTTTCTTTCTTTCTTTCTTTCTTGTATTTTTATGGTGCTTTCATTGCTGTTGCAACTTGCAACCCACCTTAGATCAGGCTGGAAGCCAGTAATGGGGGGACTACAATTCCCATCATTCATGACTGCTGGTCCTGCCAGCCAGGGATGATGGGAGTTGTAGTCCATAAACAGCTGGGGACCCAAGTTTGGGAAACCCTCCTCTACACAAACCAGTTCATAAACTATGGTTTGCAGTTGTCTTGCAACCAGAATCAGCACTCTGGGTCTAGCCATTATTTCAGTTTCCTACAATGCTCTGGAATGATGCTACATCCTGGGTATTGTAGGAAATTTAAATGGCAGCTAGATCCAGCCACATGGCATGGCTCAGATAATTATATCAGGATTATTATTATTGTTTTAAAAATGGGGGGAGTTTCATCAGCAGTGGGCCCCATAGGGTGTTGGGGTTGCCCCCAGATGCCCAGTGTTGATGGTGACCCTCTGAACAATGCATTGCTAGAATAGCCCTCCATATTCCAATGCTTAGTCTTGTCCCATGTTGCTTCTAAAAAGGTAAAGGGACCCCTGACCATTAGGTCCAGTTGTGACCGACTCTGCGGTTGCGGCGCTCATCTCCTCTATTGGCTGAGGCAGCCAATGTACAGCTTCCGGGTCATGTGGCCAGCATGACTAAGCCGCTTCTGGTGAACCAGAGCAACGCATGGAAATACCATTTACCTTCCCGCCGGAGCAGTACCTATTTATCTACTTGCACTTTGACGTGCTTTTGAACTGCTAGGTTGGCAGGAGCTGGGACCGAGCAACGGAAGCTCACCCCGTTGCGGGGATTCGAACCGCCGACCTTCTGATCGGCAAGTCCTAGGCTCTGTTGTTTAACCCATAGCACCTAGCTAACTCACATCTCGGTTTGCTTCTCTGTGTGTCGCTATACACACACACACACACTCCTGCCCCCTCCATCGAGCTGGTATGGCAGTGAATCACCTTCCCGTAATTCTGATGGATCTTTAATTCAAAACACATAAGAAATACCTCTATATCTAGGAGCTATGCATCACTTAACAAGCCCATAAAAGGATATCAACTGCCCATTCAATATTCTTAACAAGCTGTTTACTGAATAAAGAAATAACCAGCTAACTTCTGTCACAATAGCATGCCTCTTTGGCATTGGCCAAAAGAAACAGATTTGTATACATTTTGCAAATTACTTTTAAATTCCAGTTTTGCAATAGTTACCCCTAATCCTGAAAAATAATCCAGCGAAAAACTGTGGATTCCATCATCTGTGGAAGCCTCTGAACTGAACTGAATCTGTTTATCTTTAAACAGATTTTCAGAAATTGTTGAACAGACACAAAAGCCCCGACATTTGTGTTACAAAACATAATAACTCAAAACAGGTTCAACTTGAAATAGCTCCTGGAACAAACCACAAAGGATTGTTGTGGCCAGGGTGGCATCCTTAAGCATTTCTTAAGCTGAAGTCTGAGACTCTTCTGTGCAAAGGTTTGAGACACTCCCATTGTCATCAGAGGTCTTCTGGTGAAGCTTGAAAACCCTTCTTAAAACCACAAGGTCATATAACTTCACACACACACACACACACACACACACACACACAAACACACATCTCTCTTAAGGATACACACACCTCTTTCCCAGAACAGACAAGATCATATTCAAACCCTAAAATTGAAAAAGTGATGAGGAGAAATGCCATCTTTCTCAGCTCAGGCATATAACCAGGCCTATAATCAGCCATGAGTGCTCACTGGAAGGACAGATCCTGAAGCTGAGACTCCAATACTTTGGCCACCTCAGGAGGAGAGAAGACTCCCTGGAAATGACCCTGATGTTGGGAAAGATGGAAGGCACAAGGAGAAGGGGAAGACAGAGGACAAGATGGTTGGACAGTGTTCTCGAAGCTACCAGCATGAGTCTGACCAAACTGCGGGAGGCAGTGGAAGACAGGAGTGCCTGGCGTGCTCTGGTCCATGGGGTCACGAAGAGTCGGACACGACTAAACAACTAAACAACAACAACAAATAATCCTATAGCATACACACTTCCCTAGGAGTAAGTTCAGTGGAGCTCAGGGAGGCTTTCTTCAGAGAAGACATGTATCGCTGGAAGGCAAAACAGCCGTCTCCCCCACCCCACCCCTTCTCCAAACTTCTGGGTGATATCCCAACTTTTTATTTCTAGCTTGCCCCAGTGCTCTGTCCTAACAGTAACAAAGAGAAACAAAACAGAGAGTATAAAATATATGCAAGCTATTTAACACAGAGGTAAAAAGAATGCCATATTTATTCTTAACTGCCAGCTTAAACGACAGGCCCTTCTAGATGGTTTGGCTTTTTCCTCAGGTGGAAACTGCAACATGCCACTGACACAATAATAGTGCGTGAGTGGTGGATTTATACTGGAATAATGAAGTTATTCCACTTATTAGTTGTTCTGTGACACTTCCTCAGTGTTGCCACATTAGTGTTGCCTGGAGGGGCACTTCAGAAACAGTGCAACAAAAGCAGGACAACCCACAGCACATTCGTGGCAGAGATATTTGGGTTTGGGCATGAGCCATGACTCCAACCAGGCCCCAACCCGCATCCCCACTAAGCCTCATGTCATTGCTCACCTCCTTCTCCAACAATTTTTGGGTATTTCCCACATCAAAAGGATGCCGCCTGACTTTTCTCTGACTTGTCATGTGCTGCAGTTAAGGGTGTCCTCAAGAAAGCTTCCTTCTGAATCAAACAAACCACTAGACTGCAACGTAAGAGAAAATGGCTGGATGGACAACAGCCAGGAACTTAATTGGAACAGAGTTCGTTGAGATTTCTTTTCAGGCTGTAGAAGCAGGGTTTGTATCTGCAGCATTAAGAGAGTGAAAACCACAATAGAGTGTCAACACAGTCCTCAGCTGCCATGTGACAACCCACTGCAGATGTTACAAGGATTTTGAGCACGTTAACTTCTGGATCCTTGCTAGAGATAAGCAGGAGAAACTGAGGGCAGTTAAGACTGCCATGGCACTGTTTCATGATGCCATGAGCTTGATAGATGGACGTAGCTATTTCCATGTGGCCGGCCTTGATTCTGAGAAATCATTCCCACTCAGACACAGGGAGGTAACACAACTGCAAGGGACAAGTGGGAAGAGACAGGAAGCGGCAACAGCCTAACACACAACTAGGTCCCTACATGGGGCTTTGTGGCCGAAGAACTGCAGACAAATGTATTTGTGTTCTCCAGAACCAGCAGCACATCGTTCTGGAGATGTCCTCACTCCGGCCCTGGCATCCAGCTCTGCCTTGTGCATGGGTGAAGTGGGTACTGTTGGTATTCTGGCATCAACAGTCCTGTGCCCTCCATAAGGAGCTTTTTCCAGTGCAAGTAGGGTGGCAATCGGATGCTTGGCAGAGCATCTCTAATACGCCAGCTTAGGCACAACGCTGTACTACAACCTGCAGCATTCAAAGTGGTAGTGGGGGTTGGCGGAGGTGGAGGAGAAACGACATAGGAGAGATGGGGCATCTGGAAGCTCAGTCCCTCTCACTTGCATAGAAATGAATGCTGCTCCAAGTTTCAGCACCATGAAGGTCTGCTTGCAAACGTATACTTGAAATTTGGAGAAGGGCAATGGCAGGCAGATAAAGGGTTAAACCTGGAGTGCGGAACCCGTGGCTCTACAAATGTTTATTAATTGAAAAGTATTTGTAATCAGTTGTGTTATTAAAAAAATATCAAAGTGGTTAGATTCCAGCAATACTTGAAGGGTCATAGGATTTCCACCCCTGGGTTAAACTCTCTCTTGCCGATTCTTGCCAATTCTTCCTTCTTAATTTCTCCCGCCCAAAGTGGCATTTCAAATTATTATTTTCTTAATTTATTTTAAGAACGCATTACTTGTTTGTTTGTTTATGACCTTTCATATAAATTTCAACTAAAGATAGGTTTTAAAACACAAAAGACAACAATTAACAATACTTGTACTTTTCTAAAACAGTATGACGAAAACTGTAAGTCTACAGTTCTATATACTTGGGTGTAATATGTAGCTTAACTCCAATTAATACTGAAACCAAAGCAAGTTTTAAAGCGAAAAAAGACAACAAGGTGAAAAATAAAAGCTTTTCTTCTTTTAATTCCCAAGTGAACAGTGTAGCTTTGGAAACATTTTGCCTTGAAGAGGCTTCCAGTGACAGCAATGTGATCAAAAGCATGTAGCAGTATCTAAAGTACAGAAGAATGTTTTATTATCAAAAAAAGCCTCAGACTTAGATGGCTCAGTGCTTTGTGACTGCAGCCTGATGCAACAGACCAGCTCAGCTGAAACATGAGACAGTATTTCCTTATTCATATATACTTTTTACTGGGGGATGTAAAAGCAATTTTCCCTTTGTTTACCTCCCCAGCCCCCAAAAAACAGCCTCAAACAGAGGCTGAGGGTAAGTTGCCACACTTGCTAAGGATTTCAAGTGAAGATGTGGGTATACAGAAGAACTTTTCCCCCAACACAGTTCAGAAATGAAAAGGAAATGAGGAATCAAAACAGAAAATATCCCTTGGCTTCCTAATGTGGAAACAGTAGCTGACATTCTGTGGGTGGATTTGCTTGTTCCAAGCACCCAAGACAGGGACTGCCATTTTAAAAACATGATTCTCTCTTTACAGGTTATTGGTGGATGCACACATTAGAGAAGAGAGATGGTCTGAAGCATGGGAGAAGAAGACGATGCAATGTTCTTCCTGGCAATATCGACAGTGATTGATAAATGTCCAGTATCGTTGGAAAATGCTTTTCTGGGCAGTGAAGATGGAGATATGTGCTGTGTCGTGCTGCATTGTACAGATAAGAAACCACGAAAAGGAGTTGACGGAGGGAGGAAAAACAACAACAGTTAAAGTTAAAATACTCTGTGCATTGAGCTACAAAATCTGCATAGAGAAGAATCTGATTCACAGTTGGCCACTTCCCAGAATATACAGTATCTGGAATTTATCCAGCGCATAATTACCCAACCCTGCAATGGGCCAGGGTTTGTTTAGCCAAGACTCCATGATAAAAAGGTACACATTGTCCTGCAAAACTGGGTATAAATTATATTGCTGAATAGTGCCCTTGAGCAGAAGGCAAAGTTGCAAAGCTTTCCAATTTCCCCCTCCCCACAAATGGCTCCCTAGCAGTCCTCTCACGTTCAACACATCAAGTCAGTTTCCTGCGTTTCTAATAAAGGCACAATCCTATCTTAATCTGCTATCATCTTTATTGTTAAATGCCTTCTGCAGTAAAATAAATAAATAAATACCCACTCCAGATAGTTATCATTCTAAACAAAAACTCAGTTGGGAGTTTTAGAATTACATTAGATTTATCATACACTCCAGAGTCAGGAGGGAACAGGTATCAGTGCTTTCCTGGTCAACTACCAATTACGAGCACAAAGGCACTATTGGGGGGAAACTTTGCTTTGGGATTTGAATCATGAGAATCTAATTAACTCCCCACCCCCAAAGCAAAACCCTCCTTGTTCGCTATTCCTTCTCTCTCCAAATATCTCTCGTGCAATTCTGAATGCCAAACATGCAGATTAAATTGACTAGATCTTCCCAGTTCCTAAGCAAAAATAAGCAGGCCATTTGCCTCTCGGGTGAGACATGAAACAGGAGAACAGAAATAAAGTGTCTACAAACACACCTCTTGGTTGAAAACGTATTTAAAATTACCAAACAGGCAGAGCTAAGTGGCAAAGGGGATCTTATATATAGTGAATGCAGTTACCTGAAGAAAGAGGGCCTGTTCAGACGTAATGGGAAACTATGGATTAGGTAAAAGAGCCTGAACAAGAATCAGGATTGCACACTTCCTGCTTACCCTGCCTCCTTTTGAGTGGCCATGAGGATGGTATCTGAAGCATTCCTTTTGGGGGGGCTTATCCACACTAACTTTTCCCAGGCACAGTCCACACTTTGGAGTTCTGTGTCTGAGCATCCTTTTTTTGATCTGGAGCTTTCCCAAACTGATGGTTGCTCTGATTGAGCACTAAAGAATGGGTTTTCATGGAGAAAGTGCCACAGCAAAAAAATAAATACAATGCTGTTGGGCACATGGACCTGTGCCTGGTAAGAGCGGGGCAAAAGCTAAGTGTGAATAAGCCCTAAAGCAAACCACAGTTCTCCATTACGTCTGAAACCCAGGAACTGTGGTTTGTTTAAACTGTAGATTGTTAAAACAAAACAGGAGCAAATCATGGTTCCGGCTTGTTCTGGCTTGTTCTAAGAAAGCACAATTTAAACTTCCTTTTGTGTGGACAGAATAAAGAGGAAATGATTTCTTTAAAAGCAGAAGCTTTTGATATCCTCCTTGTGGCCAAACAGGAAGAGAGAAAGAAGAAATGTATGAATCCTGAGGATCATTTGTGTAGCAGGAATTTGTGGTTCCGCATTGTGTATGAACTGGCCCATATTTTTTTAAGCCTTGAAATACGTTTTAAACATGAAACAATTACTGTTTCTCTCGCTTGATCAAAACAACTGGCTCAATAATAGAGACAGGGGTGGTCTGATAGTGTTGCCCACGTTGTCCTCTAGATGTGGTTGGACTCCAACTCCCATCAGTTCCAGCCAATGGTCAGGGATGGAGGGAGCTGTAAATCCAAAGGACCACAGCTTTGCCACATTTTGGTTGTCACTGAAAGGCTCCGCAGATTTTCCAGCGTGAGATTTTCAACACAGTTCTAAGGTGCATGTTCCATTAGTGCAAGGATTTCTCATTGTGCAGTGGGAGGTTCCTCCCTCTCCTTTTCCCATGCCCTCCTAAATTTGTTCCACCAACCCTCTAGAGGAGATCTGGAGACAACGCAGGGCACATATGGGGAAGTCCTGTTGTGCAAACGGAAGTACTTCTGCTTGCGCAATTGTTTAACTGAATGCCACTCTGAGTCTTTTTGACCTGATGGTGCTAAGAGCCTTATGAATAGTGTCAGTGACATCACTAGGAACCTCACTGCCTGTCCCAGTTCCCTAGTTCCCAAATTAGTTTTGCAAGATGAAGGTGAAAGGTATCAGTTTTGTGTGCATGTGCAGTGCTGCTTTTTTCTTTTAAAGGACACAGTTCGTCCAGAACATAATTTGGGGTTGGGGGAGACAACAATGTTGTGGAATGGGAGGCAACTTGCTGGAGGAGCATTCCGCTCCCTCATATGTATGTCTGTAACAAAAGTTTCAAAGTGGGTTCACATTGTAGGCAAAGGTCTCCTGTAACTGCCCTTCAGAATTCTACATCTGTCTCCCTCTTAGCTTCCAAGAAATTTACTGTGTTATCCATTCTTTTGTACACAGTTAAGTCTAGCAGACAAGAAGAAAGTTACCAAAGTGAATTCTTAGCACCACATACCATGCCACAGAGAGCAACAGTAACAGGATGGAGCAGAGAGCAGCAACTGACCCCAATAAAACAATAGTCAGACGCTGTGGCGGGGATGATAAATCTGAAAGAAAAGTAAATTAAAATTCAAGTAGGCACCCACCAAATGACGCAGTTCAGTCTTGTGATTCATTGTCAGAAGGGACTGAAGTTTACGTACTGTAACAAAGCTCAAATGCTGGGTTTCCTGCTTTTTTTCTCCAGACATCAACCAGACAGTAGCCAGCACCCAACTGAAGAAATGTCACGAACTACATGGAATTGTCTTTCTCAAAAGCAGTTGTACTTCTTACCCAGGGCTTTCTTTTCTCACTCTTCCTTTACAGTAATGTGGTGATCCCCAAACTTCCCCATTTATCCTGGGGCTTATAGGAATCCCCAGGACGCTGAACAAGGCAGATGAATTCAAGCAAAGGTAGATCTTGTTAACTGCATGCAGTGGTGACCAGCTGATTGCTAAGGTCCAGAGACAGTCCCTGGGAGTTACCACATCACATCCCAGTGTGCAGGGGAATGCCAGCCTGCAATAGCACCCAGCAGAGTGAGTGAGTGGACTTCCTTTCTCTACATTTTGAGAGTTTTGTCACATTCGCCCATCTGCTCTAGACCTTCACCTCTTTAGTTCTGAAGTATGATAGCGTGACATATTGTTATAGGTTTAAGAGGGGGAACCCCCAGGAACCCTAGAAATTAATAAATGCTAGGGTTTGGATTAATTGGAATAGGGGTTAAAATACAGAACAGTGCCAGATAGGGAATTCAGTGAATTCCTGGGCTGGCTTATGCAAAACAGCCTGGATGACTGAGTGAAGGTCAAACCTATTAACATGACAAAAGGTGTTGATGGGCCATTGGGGAGTGAGATGTTACCAAGGTTTGAGGGGACAGGAAAAGGGTTTCTGGGAAGAAAGAGGAAGAAGAGCTGAGATCCATCTTGGACAGGCAGGCTGAAGGTTGCCTGCACTGGGGTTGGCCATGCTGTAAGATCTGGACTCCCTCCATGCAGACTGAAGGTGTAAATAGGTGAATAAACCATATTTATGAAAGCCACGACTGTCTCTGCTGCGTCTTCAAATCTGCAAAGGAGCAGTGGGTGCCTGGGACCCCATGGGCTCTTGCCACCGCTCGGCAGAGGGAGGGGGAAGGCATCCGACTTTTGTAACAATATAAATTCGTTAAACAACGGCCACATGAATTGCTATTTTCATAACAGGAGCAACTGGAAGTTAGTTGTTGGTTCCTCAGTCAACAGAAAACTTACCTTTAATCTGAGCCCAGACTACACAGGATTGCTTTTTCACCTGAGGGGGGAAAATAACACAAACTGCATCATTGCTTTCCTAAGGGACAAAGGCTGAAAGCTCACACAGATATAATTATTTATTTTGGCATTTATATATCACCAAATTGCCAGGTCTTCTGGACATTTTTTGGGGGGGAACCCTCACCAATAAACTGAATACAAACAAAATCAATACATACAATTAAATATCAAAACAAAAAGAACACAGCATAAAACCATCACAAGAATCAATAAAACCCAGCAAGGGGACTAAAATGCACCCAACCAAATGCATCAAAAAGGCTGGTAGAATAAAAAAGATATTTGCCACAAACTTCCTAACATAGGCAGAAGGTCAAGCCTTTCTGTAATGTGTATGTGAACTGCATTATATTAGATTGCAGAGTGGGGAGAGGGAGCACTAAATATTCCTCCATACAGAAAATTAAAATTCTTGAACACAGAATGCTGGCATGTCAAGGAGAGTGTTCTAGCCTTGCTTCATAACCTTTCAGGGAATTTTATTTATTTATTGTATGGAGGAAAATTCTGTCACGTGAACTGCGCCTGCAGTCCAAATTAATACAGTTCAAGAACAAGATGGGAATTAGGGTTTCAGGTTTGCCACCCTTGCATTACTGTGATGTCCATCTCTGGCTGCAACCCAGCACACCATCAATGACTGCTTGCTAGCTACATTGACATCAATGGGCTAGAATACAGCCTACTTCTTTCAGAGGTTTGAGTATGATGTATTGTATCCATTAATGGCATTTATCATTAGGTATAATGCCTAAGGTCCATTAGCTGCAACCTAGGGTTTGGACATACTTTGTGGAGTTTTCTTTTATTCCTTTTCCCTATGCTGAATCATAAGTGACTTTTGAAACACCCTTTGGCTTCAAATGAAGTTTGCCATGCATCATTGGGAATGGGGCTGCTCAGAAACCACATTCAAAATCTCTTTTGGACTTCTGGAACTAGTTACATTGTTCGGTGAATCCAGGGCCATGGCAAGTATCTACTGCGTACTATTATTTCAGCCTAGGTTTTGAGATCTGTGGGGAGGTTGGGTGGGCTGTTCTTGGCAGTGGAGCTCCCATCCCCACAGCGGCCTCACTGTGGCGCTTCCATCGCCAGCAACCTGAGATATCGTTATTCATCTGGGTTCATGATGGACCTAGTTAGGCTGCTCTAATCCACAGAAGTTTTATACTGAAGTTATTGTCCTGTTGGGCCATAAAGAAGGCTGATCACCAAAGAATTGATGCTTTTGAATTATGGTGCTGGAGGAAACTCTTGAGAGTCCCATGGACTGCAAGAAGATCAAACCTATCCATTCTGAAGGAAATCAGCCCTGAGTGCTCACTGGAAGGACAGATCCTGAAGCTGAGGCTCCAATACTTTGGCCACCTCATGAGAAGAGAAGACTCCCTGGAAAAGACCCTGATGTTGGGAAAGATGGAGGGCACAAGGAGAAGGGGACGACAGAGGACGAGATGGTTGGACAGTGTTCTCGAAGCTACCAGCATGAGTCTGACCAAACTGCGGGAGGCAGTGGAAGACAGGAGTGCCTGACATGCTCTGGTCCATGGGGTCACAAAGAGTCGGACAAGACTAAACAACTAAACAACAACAACATGTTTTAGATGCAATCCTTTGTGAGTTTACTCATTTAGTTCAATGGGAAAGGATAGCAGTCACAGAAGGGATTACTAGTGCTTAGCTAATATCTTTTCTTTTAAAAAAGCCAGTGGTGAAAAGCAAAAGGGTATTAGGATAAATGAAGCTTCTACGAGAAACAAAAATAACAATTGAGCAAGTTTCTTACACTGGCTAATAATGTTTGGAAGGGGAGTGATTGAAGCTTATGACAATGCATAAATGAGCAAAGCAAGTTTCTAATTGCCAAGAGCGCTGGTGTTTGCCAACATTTTTGTTCTGCTTAATAGCACTCACTGTTCTGCTGTTTCATTTAGACCAGTGCCAGATTTACGTATAAGCTAAACAAGCTATAGCTTAAGGCCCCACTCTCTTGGCCCCAACCCCCAAAATATACTTCTTCTTAATTGTATTTCACTATTACTATACTTCTTAATTGTATTTCAGTTCAACAATCACTTTGAAAAATACATATTTTGTTATGTGCAAATGGCTTTAGATACCTATTATGTCCATAAATTACCATACAGTCATACCTCATGTTACGTTTGCTTCATGTTACGTTTTTTCAGGTTGCGTCCCATGGCGACCAAGAAGTACCGGAAAGGGTTACTTCTGGGTTTCACCGCTCACGCATGCGCAGAAGTACTAAATCGCAGATACAGCGCTTCAGGTTGCGGGCTTTTCATGTTGCGAACGGGCCTCCAGAACGGATCCCGTTCGCAACCAGAGGTACCACTGTATAGCATATATTCAACACACAAAAAACAGCGACAATTTGTTGTCGACAAAGGACAGCTGGACATATAAAGGGCCCCATTACCTTCAGTAGCTTAGGGCCTCATCAAACCTAAATCTGGCCCTGATTTAGACTATTTGTCTAAAAATTCACTGCTGTTGGAAGCAGTGAAGACTGGTCCATAAGGATGAATGGGGCCCTGTCCCACCAACCTTAGTCTCTCTTCTAACTCCTACCTGTAATTACTTTCTACCTGGTCGGAAGGAAAAACCCAAATGTATCATTGATGTGATCTGAGGAAAATATTTTATCGCACAGAATGGCCTGCAAAACAAATGGCTTAGCCTGGAGGAATTATACTTTGGGCTGACTAAAGAAAAAAACCTGTCCTGATACAAAGCTTCAATTTCCTGTCCACAGTCGGAAGTGAGCACAAAGCTTTCAAGAAAACAGCATCTTGGAATGAAACAATTTGGAAGAATACGCCACACAATAACCAACTATTGTTCACTAAAAATGCACAACTTTAATTCCACTGTTAATAAGATTTGGTACATGTGCCTCACGGGATCATTTTTTCTTTAAGTTTCTATTTTTAATCCTATTTCAACATATAAAAGGATATGTCTATTCATGTGACGAGGATTTCTGAAAGCACTACTTAAGCTTTCTTCATTTGAAAAGGGTGAGTGACTTGAGAAGAATTTGGAAAACCAGACATTTCAATAAATGAAAATTCTATTTTCACACAGGGGATATAGTGCACTTGTATACCTTTTTTTAAAAAATGATAGATTAGAAGTTTTATGGTACTGAAGCAGCTAGGCCCTATTACATCAAAACACTGGGGGAGTTCTGTTGGAAATCTTGAACTTGTTTTGGACAACTAGGGTATAGAAGTTATAATGTTAAATATTAAAAAAACTTTAATGTTATTTAATACAATGTTTATATACAATGTTTAATAAACTTTTCCATATAAAACCCATCAGTTTGGGATTAGGATGCCTGAAGGTTTGCTTATCTCTACATGTACACAAAGGGCAATTCCACAGTTATAGCCCAACTGCAAAGTGCTCTCTACATGGATCCTTGCGGGTGTTATTTTGGCACGAGGTAATTATCATCATCATTATTATTTTCCCAAGTTCCTTAACCTTCTGAACAAAGTCTTTTATGCCTCCTGGTGTCTGTTTTTTAGTTCCGCTAACTGCATTTACAATGTACAGTCACACCTTGGATCTCAAACACCTTGGCTCCTGAACAAATTGGCCCCCGAATGATCGAAACCTGGAAGTGAGTGTTCCGGTTTCCGAACAATTTTTGGAAGCTGAAACATCCGGTGCTGCTTCTGCAGCTTCTGATTGGATGTAGGATGCTCCTGCAGCCAATTGGAAGCCGGGCCTTGGTTTCCAAATGGTTCCAGGAGTTGAATGGACTCCCGGGACTCATTCTGTTTCAGAACCAAGGTGTGACTGTAGTCTTTTAGGCTGCATCCGAAAGCAGATGCTCCACCACTGATCTACAGCTTTTCAGTTCAATGGGAGTTGGGGCCAGCCCAAGACATTTTGTCACCTGAGACGGACCCCCAAATGTTGCCCCCCTCCCTGGCAAGGAAGAAGGGGTGAGGAAAGGTCTACACCAGGAACAAGGGAGGGGAGATAGATTGACATCAGAACCTGCTGCCCCAGTGGATCCTGCTGTCTGAGACAGTCGCCTCACCTGGCTTCATGGGTGGGACTGACTTCTGTAGCTCAGTAGCAGATCATCTCCTTCGCATGCAGAGGGTCTCAGGTTAAATCCCTAGCATCTCCAGGTGGGGATGAGAATGTACCTGGTCTATCCTGTAGACAATGAGGAGCTGGGTGGACCAATGATTTGACTCCATCTAAGGCAGCTTCTGACATCCCCAACTCAACAAAACTTACTTCTGAAAACACATGTATAGGATTGCAACCAGGGCTGGATTTAGGTGTGATGAGGCCCTAAGCTACTGAAGGTAATGGGGCCCTTTATATGTCCAGCTGTCCTTTGTCAACAACAAATTGTGGCTGTTTCTTGTGTTGAATATGTGGTAATTTGTGGACCTAATAGGTATCTAACGCCATTTGCACATTAACAAAATATGTATTTGCTCAAAGTAATTGTTGAACTGAAATACAATTAAGAAGAAGTATATTAATAGTGATAGTGATATTTTAGGGAGCAGGCTAGCAGACTGGGCCCATTATTTACACCATAACACAAAACACTGTTGCTGTGTGTAGGTTTTATTTTATTTGTTTTTTATCTTATATTTTGGAAATGTACATCCAGGTTGGTTTTTTTTCTTTAATTTTTTTTGGGGGCCCCCAAGAGAGTGGGGCCCTAAGCTATAGCTTGTTTAGCTTATACGTAAATCCAGCAAAGTTCATGTTTTTGTTTTAATTTAATTAACTTTTTGTAAGTCGTCATGGGAATCTGTTGAAAGGTAGGGTATAAAATCAAATCAATAAATGCATCATTCTTATTCAGGAAGAATTTTGGCCTGCGTCCTTACCCCATTCCATTTACTGATTGTCCTCAGTATAACACAATAATCTTTTCCTTGTTTCAGGGGAGCATTGTAAAAATCCCCATAGTAAAGTCTGTCTCCGAGGGCAAAGACCAGCATGTTGTCAGCAACGACCTTGGCTGGGATTTCTGCTGCCACATAGCCTTCTGATTCAGTGCCTTTGCTGAAATAGTCTAGTCTAGTCAAGGAGTAACAATCAAAGTTGCACTGTAGGCTCCAGGGAATGACAATCACTTGGTATGAACTAGAAAGAGATGGAAGAGCATCAAGGAGTGTCAGAAGTGATTTATACACAATTGCCTTTTGATTTCTGCATTGATTTTCTTCAACGTGCTGCTTTGTTTAAAAGCTCTCAATCACTGGCCATCACTGAATGGCTTGTTGTACTGTATTTTATTTTATTTTTTAAAAAACCCTGTAATCCTAAATTTTTATGCTTTCTTCAATAACGCTGGGCTAAACCACACTATTCAGAGCACTGGATTTACAAAAGAGCAAGTTAACTGGGGGGCTTTATTGCTTACTTTACCAATGCTGGGAAACTGGGAAAGAGGGGCATATACTGCAGGGATCTCAATAGAATGTAGTGTGTCTCTTTGCATTCCATGTAGAGAGATCCATTCCATCCATAGCTGTCAACTTTCAGATTTGAAAATAAGGGAGCAGCAGCCTCGAAAATAAGGGATCAGCAGCCTCACCTGTCCTGGGGACAGTCTACGGGATATCTAACAATCCGGGATAGCAGTGGGAAGCAGCGGGAAACGGTGCTGGAATAAGGGAATTTCCCGCCAAAAAAGGGAAGGTTGACAGCTATGATTACATCTATTGTTAAGCATCTCTCTCCATTGAACACGGAGGCAACCACCATTAGCGACAGGTGATGCTACATCCAGTGCCTTAATCCACACGCATAAATAGTAGCTTCTCATTTACAGGGAAGACAGTACTCTCTGGAACCATTTGGGTGAAGACAGCGAAACCCATCCCCTCCCTTTGAAAAATAGGCTAGCCCCTATTCTAGCAGTCTTGGGTAACGCAACCGTGAGGTTTCCCTGCTTCCATGGAGGCCACGTAAATCAAGCTTGCCTCTTCACCTCCAATGTCCAGCCCTAATGCAAATTAGTTATCCCTTATTATCTTTTCCCCATACAGTGGTACCTCTGGTTAAGAACTTAATTCGTTCCGGAGGTCCGTTCTTAACCTGAAACTGTTCTTAACCTGAGGTACCACTTTACCTAGTGGGGCCTCCCACTACCGCTGCGTGATTTCTGTTCTCATCGTGAAGCAAAGTTCTTAACCTGAGGTACTACTTCTGGATTAGCAGAGTCTGTAACCTGAAGCGTTTGTAACCCGAGGTACCACTGTACTAATGAACTCACGGAATGAGTACTTACTTATGGTGAAATGGAGATCAAAATCTACTGTGGACTACAGCTATGGAACTGAGGGGGGTTGTCTAGATTAAATAAAGAAGAATGTAAGGGGTATAAATCTTGCATACATGGCACAAGATTCTGTGTTTTGGTTGATTATTGCATCTTTGGGTCAAAAAGCAGTTAGCTATATGCAATAGAAAGTATATCCAGATATGGAGGAAATTAAATCCTTTGAATTGTAATGAAATTTGAAAGAGAAAAAATAATCTAAGCAAATAAAGTTTGAAGTGTAAGTATTATGTGTTTGGGGAGTATCTTAAATGTGTAGCAAAAATCCAGAGACCTTATTGGTCCATTTTTGTCTTCTGCCTTCCTCAGGCTGAATAATGGTGCAGAACCTTGTACTGATACGAAGTCTACTTCCGGAGATGGTGGATCTAAAAAGCAAACCACAAGTCGTTCTTATTACAATGGTATTATTCATGCGTTATTTTTGTATTTTTATTTTTTTAAAAATCATAACCTGGTCTTCTTCACAAAGAAAGCTGAGCAACTTGCAAAATCAAATGCACGGCAATATCAACAGCAATGATAAAAACCAAAAAAGCAGCAGAACAAAAAACAGAACAAGGGTGTTCCTTATACTGGCGCCACAACCAAGGCGGCCCTGGTCCTCACAGACCAACACTGCATTTCAGCTGGCTGGGAAATCCAGGGGAAAGCCTCTGATGTTCAGAGGAACAAGCAGGGCAAGTTAGTCCTTCAGGCATGTGTTACACGACCATTTATACTGTGCTGTACATACTTTTAAAAAAGCCATTATTTGCCATCCATTTTAAAGGTAATAAACTGAAGGCTTATGAGTGCCATCTTTAATTTTTATAAGTATTTCTATTCAAATTATTGATTCCGCTCCCAATTAATTGGGCTACCTTTTTAGGTAAGTAAACATTGTTGCTTTTTTATATATATAAAAAAGATGGGTCTGATGAATCAATTAAATGTTGCTGCCTAATATTTTATCCCCTTTCAACCTAGCAGTTCAAAAGCACACCAGTGCAAGTAGATATATAGGTACTGCTACAGAGGGAAGGTAAACAGCATTTCCGTGCACTCTGGTTTCTGTCACAGTGTCCCGTTGCACCAGAAGCGGTTTAGTCATGCTGGCCGCATGACCCGGAAAGCTGTCTATGGACAAACACCAGCTCCCTTGGTCTGAAAGCGAGATGAGCACCGCAACCCCAAAGTCGCCTTTGATTGGACTTAACTGTCCTGGGGTCCTTTACCTTTACCTTTTACCCCTTTCTAAATCTCTGTAATTCATTCAATTCTGGAATTATGAATGTTGCTTTTTCTACAACAACTAAAAAGAGAGATTATTTTCTATATTTTAAGCTTTGCCCATTAATTAAATCAGCCACCCTGTTTGCAATGGTAAACATACAACTAGTGCTCTGTGCGAAGGAAAAAGATATGCAACCGTGAAAGTTGCAGGTGGGAGAAAAACTGTTGAAGAAAGGATTCCACACGTCCTCAACATCCACAAACTCCACTGTGTCTCCCTGCAAAACTGCCACATCTCAAAGCTGTGTCTGTTTACAAAAACTTGTATCAGGGCTTTGTTTAGCATGTAGGTTTTGCCCATCAATCCCTTTCTCATAACCCAAAGAGAAGGTATTAGAATTGAGAGCACCAGTAATTTGAAAGACTGGGGTACCGGCAGACAGAGTAAGGATGTTTCCTGCTCGTGGGCTGCAAAAGGAAATGAGCACAGGCTGTGCATCCTTGCAATGTGGGCTCGTCCACATTTCCGCTTGCCTAGTGCCTAGAAAGCACAGATCTGGCCCATTTCCTGCCTCTCTTGTGCTCTCTAGGCAGAGGTCCTAGTGGTTCTGCCTTGCCCCACTGCTTCCCGTCAGAAAACCCACTCTTTACCACAAACGGCAATCGGCAGAAAACCCAATTTCCATTTGTTCCGAATTCAGCGCTAAACCGTGGGTTTTTCCAGGGGAAAGCAGTGGGGCAAACAGAGACGTGGTTGAGCCCTAAGCTGAACTCAGTCCAGCTCAGCACATCTCCTGTTTATGCTGCCTGGGAATGTAGGGACTAAGGAGGGAGGGATGGGGGCATCAGGCAGCTGGAAGAACACAATGAATGGCTGATGATGATGAATTTTGCTTGGTGAGTCACAAATTCTGAAGGCTTGGAATACAGGCAGATGAATAATTCAGCAGATGGTTATATCGAGTTGGTGGACAAGAACAGCGGCAGCTATTTTAAATACAGAACTATCCACAATATGTGGCAAATGCAGCACATGACTATCAATCGGAATAAAAAATTTAGATTGTGTTTTCCGTTTTAAGCTCAGCTGCAGTGCACAGGCAGAAGAAAAGAAGGATGGGAGCAGTTAAGGTTATTAAGGGGGGGGGAGGGACTTCTCTGTTTCATCCTAACAAAGGAAGGAACAGCTGAAGACGCTGAAACAATTTATCTGCCGAAGATAAACAGCTTCACCTAGTGGATGATTACAGACTGGGGAGAAATGTAAAGAAATTGCAAAGACTGCCTTCTTCTGGTTAGCAGACAGAGTAACCACAAAGTGCACGAGAAATGGCAATGTCTCATCCTCTTTCCACACAGCGCATGAGAAATTAGGATGTTTTTTCAAGTTTATGCAACATTACAACGACCGAGACCGTATGGTGTTCCATACAGAGAAGCTATTCAATCAGTCAGTAACTTCCCCAAGCCCGCTCACATATCTACCCCATTCATATCTAAAGCAAGCACAGGTGCCAATTCCCTGGGGTCTTGGTTGTGCAAGCACCCATAAAAATTCCCCATGAAAGGGCCAGGTATCCACAAATTTCAGTGCCAAGACCATGCACGCTGCATGGCACCCACATTCCCGGGCACCCACAGTCACAGGGCCTAGTTGGCACTCCAGAAAGCAAGGGATGAGAGGCGTAAAAGGAGCACACAGGAGAGGAGACTTGAACCCTATCTCTCCTGGGCCTCATCTCTCCTGCAGCTGGTGGCTACAACCATTTTTCTCTCTTCCTGGTTCTGATATCAGAAAAGAGCCCAGAATGCAAAAAGTGGCTGGAGCAACAAAATTTGGGGAGGTAAGGAATGGGGAGGGATCAGCAAGCTTCTTTTGCAGTTTGAGAATCCCCACCCACCCATTCACCCCCCTATTCATAAGTGAACAAGAATGGCACGTGAAACAAAATGTTCCTGTCATCATCACTGCTAGTTCAGCAATCAGCAGGTTATTGGGAAAACATATACAGTCATGCCTTGGAAATCGACCGCCTTGCAAATGGAACGTTTTGGCTCCTGAACGCCGCAAACCCAGAAGTGAGTGTTCTGGTTTGTGAATGTTCTTTGGAAGCTGAACATCCATGGGTTCCATGGGTTCCATCTGGTTGCAGGAGCTTCCTGCAGCCAACTGGAAGCCGTGCCTTGGTTTCCGAACGTTTTGGAAGTCAAACAGACTTCCGGAACAGATTCCATTTGACTTCCGAGGTACGACTGTATTTGAATCTAGGTGTAAAGGTAAAGGTACCCCTAACCGTTAGGTCCAGTCACGGACAACTCTGGGGTTGCGGTGCTCATCTCGCTCTATAGGCCGAAGGAGCCGGTGTTTGTCCGCAGACAGCTTCTGGGTCATGTGGCCAGCATGACTAAGCCGCTTCTGGCAAACCAGAGCAGCACATGGAAACTCTGTTTACCTTCCCGCCGGATCGGTACCTATTTATCTACTTGCACTTTGATGTGCTTTCGAACTGCTAGGTGGGCAGGAGCTGGGACCAAACAATGGGAGCTCACCCTGTCACGGGGATTTGAACCACCAACCTTCTGATCGGCAAGTCCTAGGCTCTGTGGTTTAGACCACAGCGCCACCCGTGTACTCAAGTCCAAAGGTAGCTCTCGTTCCATCATGGCAAGAGCTGGTGCCTCTGCTGCAGTAAGACTCAACATAAGCACTAAACCTCACTCTTCATATTCTACAACTTGCTAAGTCACTGTGGTGTCGGTAGGGTAAGTGGCATAGAAAATTATTTGATCAAGTAAGGGAGGGGCTTCCTTAGCAAGAATGGAAAAGTGAAAGGTAGTAAATTCTATGGCTTTCTTCCAGATTGTATAAAAATCAACTGAAGTGACTTCCTGCACTTTTAATTTTCCAACCTTGTCAAAATACTAGGAGAAAAATACAAAGCAAGGCCTTACCAGTGATGGGGGTTCTCATGTAGATGAGAGCACTGTGGTTGAGATCTGTTGTGGAGATGTTAACGGTGTAATTGGTGCCCGGCAGTAAGTCAAGGCACACTGCTGGAGTCTGAGAACTTGTGGTGAAGTTATAGGTCATGTTATCACGGAATTGTTTCTGATACCACCGTAGGCCCTGTATCTGAAGCTGCAAATGGAGTGTGCGACCCAAATGAGAATGAAACACTTTAAACATTTGGCACATATTATTAGCTAGTGGGGCCTCTTAAATTTAAGTGCACTAAGCAAACGTTTTGGTGGTTGCAGCAGGAAGAATACACTACGTTTGTCTGGTCTGAATGTCCTCGATCTATTGGAAGTGCCTGCTTCTAAGGCCAGCAGAATGAAGCAGAAAGGAAGTGCAAAACCAATTTTGAATGCTGCCCCACCGTAAAGTGCTCTCTGAAAATGGAAAACTAGCACAACAGGACAGAAGGGTTTTAACCTTTAACCTAACCTGTTTCCTCCCCTTAATGGATCACTGCCTTGTTGTGGCAAAGGGCCTTGAATAACTTCAAGAAGCTATGAGCTATGCCGTGCAGGGCAACCCAAGATGGACATGTCATAGCCAAGAGTTTAGACTACATGTGATCCACCTAGAGAAGGAACTGGCAAACCACTCCAGTATTTTGCCAAGAAAACTCCATGGACATAAAAAAGAAGGAGCTTTGAGAAGAAAGTGAGAATTTCCAAGGCATGCTCTGGTTCGTGGGGTCACAGAGAGTCAAACACAACTACAACAACTAAACAACAACAACCTGTTTCCTGCTGTACTAGCTTTGGTATTTGCAGAGAGTCTTTTATGTTGGGGCCTGTTAAAAAAATGTGAATTCCTGCTTACAGTCTGAAATGGTACAATCCATTCGACCACCTCTGGGCCACTTCTACCATCTCGTTCCCACCTCCTTCTTTAGCTTGTGCAGACCAGGTTTTAGATAGCATCATCGGCTGAGTCACACCTGCAAGTTCATCCAGCCTGACCAGATTTCCAGGATTCACATTTTGAGTCCTGAGGGAAGGCCTGCTGTGTGTGAAGACAAACGTAGCATTCTATGAGCTGTCAGAGCAAGGTCTTAACTAGGGCTTTTATTCCCCCCAGCCGGAGCTCACCGGAGCTTAGCTCTTGATACCTCTTTCTCTAGAAAAACAGCACTGGTCTTGTTGTTGTTTAGTCGTGTCCGACTCTTCGTGACCCCATGGACCAGAGCACGCCAGGCACTTCTGTCTTCCACTGCCTCCCGCAGTTTGGTCAGACTCATGTTTGTAGCTTCGAGAACACCGTCCAACCATCTCGTCCTCTGCCGTCCCCTTCTCCTTGTGCCCTCTATCTTTCCCAACATCAGGGTCTTTTCCAGGGTGTATTCTCTTCTCATGAGGTGGCCAAAGTACTGGAGCCTCAGCTTCACGATCTGTCCTTCCAGTGAGCACTCAGGGCTGATTTCCTTAAGAATGGAGAGGTTTGATCTTCTTGCAATCCATGGGACTCTCAACTGGTCTTAACCCACAATATAAAGGTTTGCATGTTTTGTTGACGGGCAATTTGCTTCTCGGATCAAGAAGTTCTGACAGCCCTCTCTCTTCCCCCAAAGCATTCTGCATTAGGTAGGCTGTTTGGCTTTAAAAAGAGTAATAAGCAACATGGAACTTCAGGAAAGGGGCCTGAATTTTAATGAGGGTGGCAGATAATCTCCACAGCTGCAGCGCTAACACACAAGAGACTATACAAAAATCTTATGTGCACATGATCTACCTCAGAATATGTTGCAAATAGGAATGTATGGCACACAAGTCCCTCACAAAAATTCAGCAGTTTGCTTGCAAATCTACACACTACCTAATCAGTCACTGCAACGGTTATATCTGGTATGTTTTTCAACCGTGAGGCATTATCAGAGTTCAAGGGTACACTGCAGCCAGCCAAAAATACTCAAGGAGGATGTGAAGGAAGGCTGCTGACAGATGTAGCCTGAGAAGAATTCCAGTTGTGAAACAGAGACTTAGGGGGCTGCATTTGGCCCCTAGGCCTGAGTTCTCCACCCCGGTAACAACGGCATTGTGGACTTTCTTGAATAAGTAGAGATCCCTGTTGTGTATGATCAAACCGTTTCTTTGAAATGCACCCAAAATCTGCAAAACTTGTATCAGGGGTGACAATGGGATGGACGCTGCACTGCTGTCAACACTCTGAAACACGCATGTCAACATGAGATTTCGTCCCAGTACTTCCCACTGCAGTCAGAAACTGTACATCACTTACTACATAGTTTTCCTCAGATGATGATTCTCTTTGCCATTTAATACAGGTGTCATTAAATATGGAGATGTTGCTGAATGCAGCTTTCTTTTCTGGGGAGGGAAAAGTGTGGCAGGGAAGAGAAACTCTTAATCAACTATGCTATGCTGGTATTTTATTAATAATAACAGGTAACGCAACACAAAGAAGTTGCCTGCAATCAGAACTGCTTGCTTTGAGCAAATCCAATATGCAAAATTCAGGCCCACTCACCTGTTTCTTGACTGCCATGGCTATTTTTGGGTAGCCAGGTCACAATGCTACTGCAGAAGACACAGTTGGCATAATTCCTGATTTGCAACCCAACTCTCTTTTGGCCCCTTCCCTTGCTTGCCCTCTTTCTTCCTGGTCCAAAGCACACAGACTCTCTAGGCCCTATATGTAGCTTTCCAATTTGGTTCTTTGGCTCGTTTTAATCCACTAATCATTATCACAAGGGTTCACCAGCCCATTGCACTTCAGAATCTTTAGCATACAGTTGCAATCGAAATTATTCAACTCCATAGCTGTCAACCTTCCCTTTTTTTGCGGGAAATTCCCTTATTTCAGTGCCGTTTCCCGCTGCTTCCCGCTGCTATCCCGGATTGTTAGATATCCCGTAGACTGTCTCCGGGAGAGGTGAGGCTGCTGATCCCTTATTTTCAAATCCGAAAGTTGACAGCTATGTTCAACTCCCTCATTGCAAATCAGGTTTATTATCAAAAATTTACAGACTTTCAGCTGTTTGCAATGAGCAAATCAATTGAAATAGCTCAACACAACGGATGCTTCTAGTGGTTCCCCCAAATTGAGCTGAAATTGCAACTTATACTGGCTTCTCCAGTCTTACTTTTATTCAATTCCTTCATGGCAAGCATCTTTAGTACTTAGTAGAGCAGCCTTTTGCTGCTATGATCTGCTGCAAACGAGATGCATGGCCAGATCTTAGCCAATCTTAGCCCATTCCTCATGAACAGTGACCTCCAGTTCAGTATTATCAGCCACCAGTTTAAGAACACTGTTTTGTGTCATCACCAGCACTGAAGATTTTCAGGTAAAATTTCCTAACTATCAGTATTGATGATTTGCCAAACTGCAGCACCTACCAACTACTGGGTGCATTATTCGGACTTTTAAAGCCAAATTGGTGGATCCTGTAGTTACTTCCACACTGTAGTTTGCATCCTGACGTAGCTCCAAGCATATCTTTATAGCCTCCTCGGCTGTGGTATAGCTAATCTTTGATTCAGCCACAGTTTTCTTCGAATCATTCCCTAGCATTCTCATTGTGAGCTGTATGGGAAATGAAAAGTACGTCAGTTCTCAGAAACAAAACTTTAGGGCATAGCTATAATATAAACAAGGGACGCAGGTGGCGCTGTGGCTCGCCAGAAGCGGCTTGGTCATGCTGGCCACATGATCCGGAAGCTGTACGCCGGCTCCCTCAGCCAATTAAGCAAGATGAGCGCTGCAACCCCAGAGTCGACTGGACCTAATGGTCAGGGGTCCCTTTATAATATAAACTTGGTTAACGATCCATTTTGTCTCCCCAAAGAACTCCGGAGATGTTCATTTTGAAAAGGCCACACTTTTACCACATGGGTTTTTCTAGGAGTCTTTGGGGAAGAAGTCAAGACAGATAAGCTGGTACAAATTTGTTTATTTGTTAAATTTCTATACTGCCCTTCATCCGAGGATCACAGACAGGACCGGATTTAGGTGTGATGAGGCTCTAAGCTACTGAAGGTAATGGGGCCCTTTATATGTCCAGCTGTCCTTTATCAACAACAAATTGTCACTGCTTTTTGTGTTGAATATATGCTATATGGTAATTTATGGACCTAATAGGTATCTAAAGCCATTTGTACATAACAAAATATTTATTTTATCAAAGTAATTGTTGAACTGAAATACAATTAAGAATAAGTATATTAATAGTGAAATACAATTAAGAAGTATATTAATAGTGAAATAATTAAGCTCTAACTTAAAATGATTTTTTACTCAGAACAAACTTAATAATGCAAACACATTGGCATTTGGCAATAACAAAAGTTCCTTTAGAAACACAATTTACAAAGACTTCATAATCTAGTCTTTAGAAACTTGCTATAACATGAAATAATAATGGGTGTAAATATATGATGCAAACTTCTAATAATTATAAATAGCTTTATTAATATGAAATTAAGTGTTATAACCTGTACAATGCAATTGTAGTTAATACAATCATTTTTAGGTTTTACTTTATTTGTTTTTATCTTATATTTTGGAAATGTACATCCAGGGGTTTTTTTTCTTTAGTTTTTTTTTGGGGGGGGCCAAGATATAGCTTGTTTAGCTTATACGTAAATCCGGCACTGATCACAGAGCCATTTGAAATATAAAAACAGAAAAATATACAACATAGTAACGAAAGCCCACAATAACACACCCACAGTGTGTTTAAAGGGCCATAGATTATTTAAATAGCCAAAGGCCGGAGAGGAGAGGAGAGTAATGTTTTTGCCAGGCACCTAAGGATATGTAATGAAGGCGGCCAGGCCTCCCCATGACCCTGGGGAGATCATTCCACAAATCCTATTTAGATTTGTATCTATAACTGTGAGATGGAAAGGAGACAGGCCAAGATGGTTAATCAGCATTAAAGACAGAACTGACTTGGCCAGAACAGAAGCCCTTCTGGCCAATCAAGAAGCAGTTATATATTTATCAAGTTGTAAATGTCTCCAGGCAGCTCAGAAGTTCTTTGTTTCTGCTTTACTTCCTATGTTATGGCATCTAGAAGAAACGGTGAGCAATCAAATCACATCCTTTTTAAAAAAACATTTGCAGATGTTATTTAGCAATATTTTATTAAAATGTTTATACATCCCTCCGTACTTACAGAAACCTGCCTGTCCCCCACTAGAAAGCTAAGAACCTCTAATCTTTCTAGTACAAAAAAAGATTTAAAATAACTCACGCACTTGGTAAGTCTCGTTGACGGCTGCATTTCCATTAAGCCTCCTCCACGTCAAACAAGAGTTATTTAGTGCAATACCGACAAAGTCTTTAACTTCTGCAAAAATAACAAACGAAAACATTTCCCATTGTTGAATGGCATGTAAAAGCCAGTTTCTTCTTGTCGCTGTTTCAATTGCAGGATCTAGTAGTGGTCAACTGCAATCTAAATCCAGCTTTTTCATCATACAAACTTTGCAACTTGACAGGGAAAGGGCAGCCATCCTTTGCCATCATCACTTACCTTGTTCCATCAACAATACAGGAAACCGCCATATCATTGATCTAGAATGAGACCTGTTACGGCTTCTGCTAACGCTTCATATTTTCTAAGTTTACATCTTGTCTATTTGCTGAACCCAGTTTTGATCAATCATCATTACTATATTTGTCACATGCATGTTGTTAACAAAGAAATCCACTGGATGCCACTGTTGTTCTGTTAAACACAGAGCTCCAAAAACTTCAAGAGTCCTCTCTGAAAGTTCTACAGTATTGGGAGAGGGTAGTTCATGAGAAGAGAAGACTCCCTGGAAAAGACCCTGATGTTGGGAAAGATGGAGGGTACAAGGAGAAGGGGACGACAGAGGACGAGATGGTTGGACAGTTCTCGAAGCTACCAGCATGAGTTTGACCAAACTGCGGGAGGCAGTGGAGCACTTTAACCCTTTCTCCTCAGCCAGGGAGATTCCAACAAACAACCTCCTCTGGTTCTTAACCTGTAGACGCCTGCCAAAGGGATAGTGCCCTCGTTTCGCCACAAGAGCAATAATAACTCCAGTGTCCCTTAGTTAGAACTTGCCCACAACGTCTGTGCTAGGATTATCATCATGCACTTACTTTCACATGTTAGATCCAAGATTTCCCACGATCCATTTTTGGTGCAGAATGAATGTTTTTTCATGCTCGTGTTGTAGAAGCCCTTGACACATCTGTATTCCACAAGGCTTCCTGGCTTTGATATCCCATTCCATATCATGTTGGAGTGATGTATAGCAGGAGGTTTGCCACATTTTATTTCTAAATGGGATCAGAAGCTGTTTTAATTCAGAAATGCAACTGCAGTAGTCTAGACTTTTTGTCATCCCAGTCCAAACTACTGAGCCTCTTGGGCTTGCCAATCGGAAGGTCGGCGGTTCGAATCCCCGTGATGGTGTGAGCTGCCGTTGCTCGGCCCCTGCTCCTGCCAACCTAGCAGTTTGAAAGCATACAGTGCAAGTAGATAAATAGGTACCGCTGTGGCAGGAAGGTAAACTGTGTTTCTGTGCGCTCTGGTTTCCATCACGGTGTTCTGTTGCGCCAGAAGCAGTCTAGTCATGCTGGCCACATGACTCGGAAAGCTGTCTGTAGACAAACGCCAGCTCCCTCAGCCTGAAAGCGAGATGAGTGCCACAACCCCAGAGTCGTCCGCGACTGGACCTAATGGGGTCCCTTTACCTTTTTTATCTACCATATTGGCCCAAATATAAGCACTGCATGCTTTCAAACTGCTAGGTTGGCAGGAGCTGGGACAGAGCAGCAGGAGCTCACCCTGTCGCGGGGATTCGAACCGCCAACCTTCTGATCAGCAAGCCCAAGAAGCTTAGTGGTTTAACCCACAGCGCCACCTGTGTCCCCAATACAGTAGATACCTGACTACAAAGTAATAAACCTCTTGTCAAGCAGCAATGAGACAGATCTGGGAATATGAATAATTAATAATAATAATAATAATAATAATAATAATAATAATTGTATTATTCATACCCCGCTCATCTGGCTGGGTTTCCCCAGCTACAGCATGTATAAAAATATTGTAAACCATCAGGCATAAAAAATTTCTCAATACAGGGCATACGGCCATTGTGCCTCGTATACCGTGTTCTCCAATTTCCATAACCAAATAGAAAATGTAAACCAAGAATCAGCCATCTGAGCAGATGGGAGGTGGGGCTTCTTCCAGGGATGCTGTATAACATCTCAACTAGTCTGACCCTGAACCTCTAGTACTTGTCAAGATACCTAAAAATCATTTTTCCATTATTAAGAAGAGGTAAGAACCTTGGGATTTTCAGGAAAACATTTTTTCTTCTTCACAAAGGATAGTTATTATGGTGGTGTTCATTCATAAATAATGAGCAATTTTAATATAGATTACAGATGATATTTTTACCTTTGCATTCAAAAGTGATGTTTCCCCACTTCTGAGATGTTGTGCATTGTGAAAAATTATGCTCTCCAAAAAACTGAAATCCTTCCCTACATTTATAGTATATCGTGCTCCCTAAAGTTGTTCTGTTATCCCAGATAATATCTGTATTATTTGGAAACCACCGTGGTTTTCCACAGTCAATTTCTAATGGGAAAGAAAGAGAAAGAAGACAGCATTATTAAGGTAACGGTTTCCCCATTAATATTTATTTATCAGTAAAATATTTGCTGCTGAGTATTTTGTGAAGCAGCACGTTGACCAAATGAAATCAAGAGAACCAAGCAATTTAACTACATACTTAAGTCCCATTGACTTTAATTTATAAAAACTTTGATTTCCTTGCGATTCAAGCATGCCAATTTTTTTAAAGATATGCTTACAATTAATGTAACAAATAGCCTTTGTTGAAATAAATGCTGCAATCATTAAAGCTTTTTAATTGTTTTCTTTACCTTTGCATACAAAATCAGCTTCCTTCCATTGTCCGCTGGAACTGCAAACTGCAGTGGAATTTCCACTTTCGATGACATAACCAGGCTGGCAAGTATAAACAACTTTGTTTCCATAAGTTGTTTTGTTGACTGCAGAATATGCATTTGGAACAGAAGGTGGGAGCCCACAGTCAACAACTGCACCAAAAGAGGGGGGAGAATAAGTTAAGACACTATAAGGCAAAGACACACTATGACATGCAAGGCCCAATTTCTTAAAGTAACAATGGCTGCCACTAATCACACATTTGAAGAACATTCGTCACCCCAAAGAATATTGGGAACTGCTGCTTAGCCCACAAAGCTATAATTCCCAGCATCCTCAACAAACTACAGTACCCAGGATTCTTTGGTGAGAAAAATGTACTTTAAATATATTGTGTGTATGTAGCCCTAGGGTACACAACACAGAACTGAGACAATCCCAACTGCTTAAATTATGAATTTACAAACACATTTTGCTACATTTATATGTCTTTACTGTTGCCAGCCACTCCAATCTCTGCTGAGCAGTGAAAGATTCCAGGGATCTCGGCATTTAATCAAAGTTTGTGTTTCCTTTGGGGAAAATGAGGCATAGTGGAGACCGTAGCACCTTTATGAAATATGGTTTATTTGCACATATTTACACCTGAGCTTGGATAGAGAGAGGCTTCTGAGCATCACAACTGCGAGGGGCTTACTCCTGACAGCAGCACACCATTGGGTTCAAAAGCAGCCCAAACACCATCTCTGAGTCTCCTCCACCACACACTATGTCTATCCCTCAGCCTGTATGGCATCTCTCTCCATCCTTCTTCTTCCCAAAACCCTTGCTAAAACACAACCCGAGCCTCATGCAAAAAGGACACTTTTTTCTGTGGTGACATCACACCCCCTGTAGCCCTGGCAACCTTCCCCTCCCAGCTCTGCTATTGGCTTTTGCTAACTGGCACACAGCTGGAGGAGGGACTCCACCTCACTTCCTGTCTGCCACTGAATGTCCCGATGGGTAACGACTATGCCATCTCCTGTTTTGTTCTTTGATGGCACCTCTCGCAAGTCAGTCTCCTGAGGAAACTGGCTTGACTTTTGTAAAAAGGTAAAGGACCCCTGACAGTTAAGTCCAGTCACAAACAACTCTGGGGTTGCGGCACGCATCTCGCTTTACTGGCCGAGGGAGCCGACGTTTGTCCGCAGACAGCTTTTCTCGGTCATGTGGCCAACATGACTAAGCTGCTTCTGGCGAAACCAGAGCAGCGCACAAAAACGCCGTTTACCTTCCTGCGGGAGCAGTACCTATTTATCTCCTTGCATTTTGACGTGTTTTTGAACTGCTAGGTTGGCAAGAGCTGGGACCGAGCAACAGGATCTCACCCCCTTGTGGGGATTCCAACCGCCGACCTTCCGATTGGCAAGCCCTAGGCTCAGTGGTTTAGACCACAGCGCCACCCACGTCCCTTGTAGGCCTTGCTAAATCCATTGACCAAACCCCACATTTACTGATTTCAGACATTACGGGGAGAACTGGCACCCAGAAATTTTAGGGGATCCTCCTGCAAACCCAGTTAAGGAACTAATGAGAATGCTTATAGTTTTGATACCATCCTTTTTTTGGAGTGGTTGGGTGGGGGGGTGGGGGGTGGGAGCAACTTTGTGATGTGTCAATTTAAAATGGAAAAGCAGCGGAGGCGAAGAGTCCTGAAACCATTTCCCATCCATTTTTCTGCTCAGATCACAAAGCCAAGCAGCTTTCTCTCCCCAATGGGTTGAAACCACTGGAAAACACCTAATTTGAAAGATGAGAGGAACATGAGGATAATCTGCAGCAAAGAAATGGCAGCTGAAGCTAAGCACCTCTCCCCATTCACATCTCTGCTCTCTGCCCAGAGCTGCCCTCCAGCAGAAGCCTCTTTTTTTAATTAAAAAAAAAAATGTTGCAGAAAACAAAGACAAGAAAACATTGAGATTTCAAAGCCCATTTAGTGAATCTCCAGCTCTGCCTACTAACTGCTCTAGAAGATTGACACTTTTGCACTTTAGGGGTGGCATTTAGGTCAGATCGGTGTTAGTGGAAGGGCAGGAACTATCGCCTCTTTTATCAGCTCCTATAGGCCCATGCTGCAGCACATGGGACCATCATCTCTCTAAAATCCCATACTTCACATGGCCCTGAGTCGGTTGAATTAGGTACCTGGTACAGGCACTGGATGTTTTTCACCGCAGTTCTAAAATATTTCCGCGTCCCTGCCTGCAATGTTGCCATAATACCACTGCGATGCCTGCATAGCATCGCCTTTTGAAATGTGCTGGCACACCTACTGGCATGGCTCATCAAAAGCCTGTGCGCTGGTACAACGAGTCTTGCACTCAAGCAATTATATAGCCTCCTTGAAGTATTCTGCCTTTTTATGATCATTATTATAATGATTATTTCTACTATATTATTACAATGACTGCCAAAGCACAGTTCTCAGGAGGTGCTGCTATCTTATTTAAAATGAGTCATCCGAAGATTATGCCAGCTCCACATGGCAAAGTGGTAAAAGCTCCTGACTCTTGCAGGACTGCTGCTGTTATTACTTTCATTTCTTTACATTTCCCCCCTGAAAACACAAGTCACTGTGATTATATATTTTCCCATGAGATAACTATCGTGCTAAGCATTTTCACAGAGAAAAAAGTGACAGAACTTGGCAGTTAAATTCTGCGTGTTCTTCCGCTTTTTAGAGCCCCAGACACTCATACAACACACAAGCGACAATGTCTTAAACCAAACTGCTCCAGAAAACAGAAATTAAAAAGCAGAGGGCTGTTTTATGGGTGTAGAAGCAGCTACATTTTTTCTGAGTCGTATCTGGAACAGACTTTTCTGCTCCTCTTTCTCTTGTTAGCAGCACATAGCATGGTTGTTTTTAAGCTGTTTTACTGCAGACCACAAGGCAGAGGGAAAGAAAAGAAGGAGAGTTATGCTATCACCTCTGCTGAGAGACCAACCACCCTTCAGCCTTCCCCAGCTGTCACCTAGTGGCAACCATTCCATCAAGCTCCCTGAACTTTTTCATCGCAGCTGGTCGTTATAATATCTCTAACGTAAAAAACTAGTACGTAAGGATATTTTTTTTCTCCTCCCACCCCATCTCTTATTCTTTGCATTTCAGGTCTTTTAAGCCTGAGGGCAGGGCCTGTCTTACTACCGATTTTATTTTTTTTAAGCCACTCTCTTTTCAGCTAAACAGAGCAGAAAAAATTAATTACTGAAATAAATAAATGCATTGCTGCATTTATTCATTTTATGCACTACTGCTTTGTTTTTGTAAGACACTGTGAGTTATATGAGGAAAAGTGGGGGTATAAAATACTTTAAACAACACACCTCTACCATTCAGTGTTTTGCTTTTTATGTTAGTAAAAAAATGGAATCTTACGTTCACTATGAGTAATAATTCAATTGCCTAATACTTGCAATGTAAAATGAAGCATTTTCAGTAACGTAGTAACTATTAAAGAGCTGGTCAAAACTGATAACAAAATGATACCAAGGTTTACCATCAGCATGGCTCTGTCTTAAGGGAAGGGATTTATCATGTTAAGGTAAGGTAAAGGTAAAGGACCCCTGGATGGTTAAGTCCAGTCAAAGGCAACTATGGGGTTGCGGCGCTCATCTCGATTTCAAGCTGAGGGAGCCGCTGTTTGTCCACAGACAGCTTTCCGGGTCATGTGGCCAGCATGACTAAACTGCATCTGGCACAACAGAACACTGTGATGGAAACCAGAGTGCACGGAAACACCATTTACCTTCCTGCTGCAGTGGTACCTATTTATCTACTTGCACTGGTATGCTTTCAAACTGTTAGGTTGGCAGGTGCTGGGACAGAGCAAAGGAGCTCAAAGCATTGTGCGGATTCAAACAGCCGACCTTCCAATTGGCAAACCCAAGAAGCTCAGTGGTTTAGACCACAACGCCACCCGCATTCCTATTTATCATGTAAGCTGCAATCTTATGCCTGTGAACCTGGGAGTAAGTCCCACTAAACACTGTGGGAAAATGTTCGCAAACCTGAACACTTAACTTTCAGGTTTGCGGTGTTCGGGATCCGATTTGTTCGACAACTAAGCCATTCAGGAACCAAGGTACCACTGTACTAGGGATTCAACCTTGGAATTGAGTGCTTGTCAATCATCCCGGTGCCTCATCAGCTAGAATACTGGAAGATGGGTTTACCACTTACTGCACAATTGGGCAGAGCATACAGACATGTTTTCCCTTGTATTTCAATACCTAAAGGAGCCTAAAACTGTACTCTTTTTAAAAATACAAGCAGTCACCTTTGCACGAAGTATTTGCTGTACGCGAATGAAATGGTTCCACTCCATTTTCTGTTTGGTATCCTTCAATACAGTAGCACTCATAGCTTCCTAACGTATTCACACATCGTCCTCCAAGGCCACAGATGACTGAGATTCCACATTCATCAAGATCTAGAAAATGTAATACAATTGTGACCGTCTTTTTATTAAGACTACTTTAAATATTTTGAACCCGGTGGCAGGCAAGAGCCAACATGCAGCCACAATTATTGTTTAGAGCTCACCTAGCACCAAGCTGCCCCACTGAAATTAATGGACCTAACTTAGTCATGTTCATTCATTTCGGTGGGCCTGCTTTGAGCAACTACCACACATAGTGCTTTAAACTATAACATACATGAAAATGACTGGTCCTTGGGTCAGGGGGCTTTCAACAGTGAGGAAAACAAGGAAAGAAAGGGGAGAAATGAAGAGGGAAGTATAACTGGGGTGTGTGAAGATGGACTAAGGATGGAATCCAGCGTTGTGATATTATGACTGTTCTGTGAACACAAGCATTGCAATCTGCCTGACGAAACAAACCCCGTCCCTTCCAGCTGCTGTGTGGTTTCTCCTGATCAGCGGCAGAGCATATGCCCAAGCTGCCCAGGGCAGGCACGCTCCCAAAGGGGGAGGGGCGTGGAGGGTGCCCTCCCAGGCATGGGATAGCCGCTCAGGTGCACAGAGTGGCACAAGTGGGCTGCCCATAGGGGCAGAGCGAGCCGCCAATGGCGGACATTCGGCGCACCACCTGCCCACAACTCCCAAGCCTCCCTCAGCTGTCAAAATGAAGGGGGAAGGGGGGATGCAGCCGGCAAAGCGGCGCAGCTCCCCCCCTTCCCCTGACGGCTCAGGGTAGGCTGGGAGTCGCGGGAAATGTCACCCACCTCAGCGAAGACACCCAGGATGATCCGCCCCCACCACACACCCCTTCCTCCGCCCCTGCTCCTGATGCCCCCAGAGCCAATTCTGGAGGGTTCAGGGGGGAGAAGCCCCACTGCCCAAGCAGAAATACTTGTGTCTCATTAGGGGAATCCCGCCCTTAGTTTCAAATGATAAGAGGACTATGGAATTAAGCCAAAGACTTGTTGGAAGAAATGAGGGGAAAGTCCCTACCAGAGAAGAATGGCAGATTAAGTTGATGGATTATGCCGAAATGGCTAAAATGACCGGGAGAATCAGAAATCGGGAAAACCAAAATCTTAATAAGGAATGGGAGGAATTTATAATTTATCATAAAAACCATTGTAAACAGCTAAAATCGTTAGTAGGATTGGAATAACACTTGTAGTTTAATGGTGAATTTTGGCCATAATGGAGATGTAAAAGATTTTGGATTATCATAAAAGATGCAGGAGGAAATGATTAACAATAGGACCCACAAAGGGGAGTGCAAGAGATTCCTTGGAATCTTGTTTTTATGTTGTATGTTGGATATGTGACTGTAAAATGTTAATCTGGAAAACCAAATAAATAAATAAATGAGAAAAAGAGGATGGCAGCAGGCAAGTATTTGGAGAAGGGGATGCAAGGGAGAAAGGGCAGGGCTATTTAAGAGAGCAGGAGACTTTTAGGTGGCTGAAATTGGAAATATCAACAGATCAGAGACATGTCAATAGATAAGACTGGGGCAAGCTCACACCAAAGTTTCAAAGGTAAGGGCAAACAGTTAACACTGGGCATGGAAGGGGATGGAAAGCCAGTAAAGATATCTGAGGAAAGGCATCAGCTGGACTTAGATCAGGAAATCTTGGACTCAAGTTCTACCCCTGTCAGTGGCGGAGGAAGCCGATTGGGCGCATGGGGCGGCGTGCGTTGGGGGGGGCAGCCACCTGAGGGGCAGGGTCAGCTCCGAGTCTGCCTGCCTCCTCCCACTCAGCCATCCTACAGCTGAGGGGGAGAGGGAGGGCAGACCGTTTGGGGCAGCGTGGAGCCTGCGGGCACCCAAGCCACCGCATCACTCCCAGGAGAGACGTGTGGCTCAGGTGTGCTACAGGCCCCACAGTGAGTGTCACCCGGCATTTTGTCACCCCCCTCAGTGGCGACACCCGGGGCGATCTGCCCCCACCGTACCCCCTTCCTCCGTCCCGGTTCTACCCCTGCCACTGATTTGCTATGTGCCCTTCAAGAAGTTAGTCTCTGATATCTGCACACGTACATATTGCAGCACTGAAGCAATTTTCCCACATGGAAAGTAACAACCATGCGCTTGCATACACAAGACCTCAGATATCAGAGTACAAAACACAACGGCTATGTTATCAGCTGTGGGAGAAAACAGATGCAAAATATGTAGAACAGTAAGCCTGGACTTGAACTATAATGAAGAGGGGCTGGGGTGATCTGTCAGACCAGCAGCACAAGAGGCCTGGGTAACAGAAACCAATGCCAGCCTTGAATTGGGGCCTCCAGAGTCCATAAGGGCTCATGCAGACTCTCGCTTGGTCCTGCCACTTTCTCCTGTAGAAATCTGATCTTTACTGCTGGACCGGAGCAAACATCAATTGGATTCCCTGTAGATTGACATTTGCTCCGATTTAGCATGAAAGAGCTGGTTTTCCCAGGGAAAGCAAGTGGGGAAAACAGAAGGTTTGTCCACACTTCCAGTTATCCTGTGCCTTAGAAAGCATGGATCGGAACAGTTTCCCATTTGTCTCGTGAAAAAACACTAACATAGCACATTTGATGTGATTTAGATGTATATATTGCAACAAATTCAAAGCTTTACCTGGAAATTATTTTTATGGGGAAACTTGTAAATCTATAGCAGACTCAAATATTCCCTTCCCTGAACATTAATTAGGTTTCAGAGGTGGGGGAATGAAGGCTTCTCTAAATCAGTTAAAAATAATAATAACTACAACTTTTATTTTAGATTTGACTGGTATATATTTTAGTTGTCAGCTTAATCAGCATGATAGTCATTCCTGTATCTTATTAATTTTATGAAACAATGCATTTCTAAAAATGAAATGCTTTCTGCCAAAAATATATAGCAGAAAATTCCCCCTCTCCTACATAACTATGTGGAAATATGGGTTTGATCTTCCTCAATTACAGCTCCCAGCAATTTTGAAAATGAAAAGTGTCAATTTAGACATGCTCAAGTAGTGGAAAGGACATACATTAAAGAGAGAAACAGCTTTAGATGAAAACTAAAACTCTCTCTCTCTCTCTCTGTGTGTGTTCTAAAAAGAACATAAAGGAAAACAGTAAAAATTCCTTATGACTTGTTGCTGCTGTACTTACCTATACATTTTGTGCCATCATTGGGAATGAATATCTTGTTTTCACTGGAAGCCTGGAAGCCTTCTAGACAAATGCAATAAAAGCTTCCTTGTGTATTGTGGCATGAAGCATGCTCTCCACAAATCTTGCTTGCCCCAATATCACATTCGTTTTTGTCTGACAAAACATTAATTTTTTTTTTGCAGAGGTTAAAGCAAACCATTAAATATCAGTATTATTCTCTAATTATTTTCTACCATTTAAAAAGAGAAATTGTTTTTGTTTTTTTAAATTATTAAGTTTTCCACAATTATACCACATAACAGAACAGATAACACAAAAAGGAAGAGGGGGGGGAAGTGCATCAAAAAAGAAAACAGTACAATAAACATCTTATCCACCACCATAAAAGAGATAAACAATAAGAGCGAACTTCATCCTTTAAAAGCCCATACTTATTTACATATTGGTTGACTTCCTCCATTCCCTCCCTTCTGAATTTCCTTGTGTCTGTATGTAACAGCTTTTCCAATATCATTCTTAAACCAAAATATTTCCAGTTATTATCTAGCTTATTCACTTTTCTTACTTTCTAAACCCCATTTATTTAGTAAATCCTATTTTAATCCTAGGCCTATTTGGTACTTTCAAGTGATTTCTAATTTTTTATATTAGAATATTTATTCAAATAGTCTTTTAATTTCTTCCAATCTTCTTGGTATTCCTCTTCTTTCTGGTTGTGGATTCTTCCAGTCAGGTCAGCTAGCTCCAAAAAAAAATCCATCATCTTCATCTGCCAATCTTCCACAGTTGGTAATTCTTGTATTTTCCAGTTCTTAGCTAGTAAAATTCGAGCAGCCGTCGTGGCATACAAAAATAATTTAACATCTTTCTTGGGCAATTCCATTCCTGTTATCCCAAGAAGAAAGGCCTCTGGTTTCTTAATAAATGTATATCTCAACATTTTTTCCAATTCATTATAAATCTTCTCCCAGAAGTCTTTCACCTTGGAGCAGGTCCACCACATATGAAAAAAGGTGCCTTCTTTTTCTTTACATTTCCAGCAAAGATTATCACTGTTGTGGTAAATCTTTGCTAGTTTTACTGGGGTTAAGTACCACCTATACATCATTAAAAAGAGAATTTGTTAAAAGAGAATTGATTCCATCAGAGGCATAGCAAGGTCAGGTGGTACCCGGTGTGGAAATTTTTTTGTCACACCCACCCACACCACATCGACGGCTCGGGGTTGTCTTGGGAAGAAGACTATTTCAGCCTTACTCAGCATAGACTCAGTGAAATTAATGAACATTACTAACCAAAGTCCATTGGTCTCAGTGGGTCTGTTCTAAGTAGAACTTAGATGTATACAACCCATTGTTCAGATAATTCACCCAATTTACTGTGAGCCCCTGTGGGGGTCCTTATCTGCAGGGCTGGATTTAGGTTTGATGAGGCCCTAAGCTACTGAAGGTAATGGGGCCCTTAATATGTCCAGCTGTCCTTTGTCAGCAACAAACTGTCGCTGTTTTTTGTGTTGAATATATGCTATATGGACCTAATTTATGGACCTAATAGGTATCGAAAGCCATTTGCACATAACAAAATAGGTATTTTATCAAAGCAATTGTTGAACTGAAATACAATTAAGAAGAAGTATATGAATAGTGAAATAATTATTAAGCTCTAACTGTATGTAGGTTTTATTTTATTTGTTTCTTATCTTATATTTTGGAAATGTACATCGAGGTTTTTTTCCTTTAAATTTTTTTGGGGGCCCCAAGAGAATGGGGCCCTAAGCTATAGCTTGTTTATCTTATATGTAAATCTGTGCCTATCTGTGAAGACAACCTAGCATGCCAGGGTAGTGCTGGTGGGGCAAGCTTCCCACATCACAAAACCTGCCTTGCCACACTCTAACGTCCTATATCTATACAGTGGACACTTGGGTTGCGAACATGATCCGTGCGGGAGGCATGCTCACAACCCACAGCGTTCGCAACCCACGACCTGCGCGTCTGCACACAGGCGGTTCGCACATGTGCAAGAGCTGAAACCTGGAAGTAACCTGTTCCGGTACCTCCAGGTTTGACCCGGTGCGCAACCCGAAATCACGCAACCCGAAGCGTCTGTAACCCGAGGTATGACTGTATAGGTTTATGTTCTAGTAGGTGTGTCTATCTCTTTAAGGGAACAAACTTTCACAGAGAAGAAGCGGAGCAAACTGAAAGTTGCAAGCTACGATTCATGGGGTTCAGTTTGTTCAGTAAAGGCATATTATTAATATCTGGAGTATATCTGAGCAATTCTGCGTGAGCAGCAGTATGTCACGCCATTCACCCCTGGAGGCCTTTGCGTTATTATAACAAATCCTAAATTGTAACAGTTCAATTGTTATTCCACACATGCCTTTGTTTTTTTTTTTTTTTTTTTATTAAATATTTTATTAAGGATTTTCTTGTTTTACAGAAGTAAGTGTACTGCCTCGTATATATATTTTTTTCATGTAACATTTTACAAATCCATTTCATTTGTTGAGGCATTAGGGGGGAGAAGAAAAAAAAAAGGAAAAAAGAAAGGGGGGTGGAGAGAGGGAAGATGGATGGGGGTGGGGTCGGGTGGCGGTGTTTCTATTATGTTTAATGTGTGTAGAGTTTGGTGTCAGCGTTGCTTGTGTTGTTCACTTGTGTTCCTTTCGTGGTGAGAGAGGTTGGGGTTGGCCTAGGGTGTGATTGTCTGCTTGTGATTGGCTGTGGTGATCTTTGTTTTCGTGTGTGAGTGAGGTGGGTGGGTGTTTTGGATCAGGTTAGCCATATTGACTTGTATGCTGTTGGTGGATTATTGTCATTGTCCTGTTGGGCTGTGTATGTGATAAAGGGGAGCCATACCAGGGTGAAGACGTCTTCTTCTGTTTGTCCCCGTGTCAGTTTCAGTCACACATGCCTTTGTGAAGTTGCAAGGAATCACAAATGTCCACTTACCTTGACAATAAGTCCTCCCATTGCCCACAAATCCATAATTACAGGTGCAGATGTTTTTGCCATCTCGCTGCTGGCATGTGGCATTAGCATGGCAAGTGGCGCACACGTCAGAAGGTAAAGCACTTGTGGCATCTATAAAAAAATAAAGCACTGTAAATTGATACTGGTAATTACCTAGCAATGCACTGGACAACTAAGATTTGAGGCATTTTCAGCCTCCCAATGAATCACACTCAAGTATAACTGCAACACTGGTACAAAGATAATGTTAGTTCTCATACCAGCACCATGTTCTTCTAGAGCCAAGGAGAAGAGAAGCAAGGCAGACATAATGACACAAGCTTTCTTCTATCCAGATAACAGGCCTGGATGGGCTCATTCCCACAAAAAGCTAAGGATTAATAATTACTGCAATGTGTTATACGTAGGGCTGGCTCTGAAGATGGTTCGGAAACTTCAGCTGGTGCAGAATTCAGTGGCCAGGTTGCTCACCAGAGCATATTACACCGATTCTGGTCCAACTGCACTGGCTAACAATTAGTTTCCAGGCCTAATTCAAAGTGCTGGTTTTGACCTATAAAGCCTTAAATGGCTCAGGACCGCAATACCTCAAGGACCACCTCTTTCCATATGAACCTACCCAGAGGCCCTCCTTCCCTGCTTGAGAGGGCTGGAGGGTGGCAAGCTGAGAACAAGGCCTTCTCTGCAGTGGCTCCCCGTCTGTGGAATGCTCTCCCCAGGGAAGTTCACCGGGTGCCTTCATTATACACCTTTAGGTGCCAGGCAAATACATTCCTTTCTAACCTTTGGTTGACTTGATCAATATCCTATACCCTTTTAAAATGTGAGTCTTGGGGGAGGGGCGGATTATTGGGTTATTGTTTTTATTTTGATTTTATATACAGTGGTACCTTGGGTTACATACGCTTCAGGTTACATATGCTTCAGGTTACAGACTCCACTAACCCAGAAATAGTGCTTCAGGTTAAGAACTTTGCTTCAGGATAAGAACAGAAATCGGGCTCCAGTGGCACGGCGGCGGCAGGAGTTCCCATTAGCTAAAGTGGTGCTTCAGGTTAAGAACAGTTTCAGGTTAAGAACGGACCTCTGGAACGAATTAAGTACTTAACCCAAGGTACCACTGTATTGTGATCTGTTTTGTGAACCGCCCTGAGACCTCTGGGCATAGGGCGGTATATAAATCCAACAACAACAATAAATCAGCTGGAATTCTTACTGGAATTCTACATTGGTGGGTAGAAGGAAATCTGAACTACAGAAGAGGTAGCCTGATTGATGCAACAAGCACTCGTGGATTATTTTATATTGTTTTTAATGTTGTCAGATGTTTGTTTTACTTTATTTTTAACTGTATTGTTTTATTCACTGATGTGTTTGTTGCTTTGGGCTCCTTTGGAAGCAAGGGCAACATATAAATTTAAATAAAATAATAATTCTGCCACTATCTGCTCCAAAGCAGGGCAATCCACACTCCAGTTACAACACTGAGTCTTGGTCTAAGCTTCTGCCCTCATCTCTGGCACTGTGCTGCTGCCAGCCTAGGAGCAAAACTACCAAACACAAGCATGGGGATTGAAAAAAAAAATGTTAGCCAGTACTCTTTGAGGATTACTCCGTTGCCCCCAAGTAACTCTTGGTTTCGGAGCAGCAATTTTCAGGGCCACGGCAAGGGAGGAAATGATTAGCATCTTGAACAACACCAACTGCGATTCCAATAATTATTAGTCTACCCACCATGAGTGGTTACTATTTGCATTTTTAAGGAAAGTGAAGGCTAAATGCAGACATTAACCCAAAGGTTCCATAACATGCAAATACATTTTAAAGAAAATACTGAGCACCGTTATTTGATGTGACGTAAATTGTACTCGGAATGCTAAAAATGCACAGCTGAGCGCTCAAAACAAAACCTGGAAGCGGGCAACCCCCTGCAGACATGTGGGCGGTTTTCAGGAGAACTGCTATTTATACATTTGTACGCATTAGCAGCTTAAAACGAGGCAAGGTTGTCCGTCCGTTCCCCCATCATATTTACGTATTGTTGTACACACCAGAGAAGGGGCAGGGATGTCTTCACCTGGTGTGCATTGAACCTGTTTTCTTTCTCTGGTTCTCCCCACCCTAGACCCCCAAAAAACCACCCCTTTTCGTGAAAGCTGTCACCATCTGTGCACATGTAACGCCTGTCTTCGACACATACACACATACCTTGCTGCTTAGTAAACATGGCTCAAATTTCCAAATCCAATGGAAGCTGCTTGGAGGAGAAATGCAACAAACAGGCATCTTTCTCCAGGAACAACAGGACAGATATGGATCAAAGCACATGTCCTGCACACACCACTTCCAACAAGGGAGCATGCCGGAGCCAGAGTATGCGCAGCCACCAGAGGTGCGAATTTGAAAAAAATAGGAGGGGGGGCATGGCCATAACCAGGATTTATTTGGGGGGGGGAGGCTTTATGTTGGGGGGGGCAGAACCAAGTTATCTGTGATGCAATTGGTCAGTTAGTTAAGTATTTTAATTAATGGGGGGGGGGGAAGGTAATCCCTGCACCATATAATTCATCACATGCACATCGTCTGAATGGCAATGCGCATCAACTTGGGGGGGGGGGGTTGACCCCCTCAAAAAAAATGGGGGTGGCCGAAGGGACCTCGGCTCCTATGGCAGCCAACACAGAATCACACAACTCATAGGAACAACAATTGGTTTTCGGTGCTACTCCCTCACCCCACCATCCTCGAGCTTAAAGTTTCTTTTTAAAGGTGGGCTAGAGAAAAGTTAAAGAAAGAAAGCTGGAAACGCGTCCTTCTTCTGCACAGTTTCCACGGTGGCTGGAGCGCAGCTCCGCCTCCGCGCGCTCCCCTCTGCACATGGCCAGAGGCACTCTTGCTCCAGCGGAGATGCGAAACGCGCGCTAATTCCTCCCTTTAGCGGGGCCGAGGCGACGCTTACCCGGGTCCGCCTCTCCTCCTGAAGGGGACGAGAGGAGCAGCAGGAGGAGAAGGAGCAGGAGCGACGGAGGCGGAGGTGGTGGCTGGCGTCGCGTCTCCGCCGCCGGGCTCATGGCGCCTCCAAGGTCCGCTTTTCCGCGCCTCCCCGCAGCTCTGAGGCCCCGGAGGGTGAAGGGCGCCTCGGGCTCGCTCTCCACGCCCCCTCGGCCGCCAGGCGGCGAGCGGAAGGCTCCTGCCCGAAGCCTCGCTTCCCGCCCGCGGAGGCGGCTTCGCTTACTGTTTTGGTCCCCACCCAAAGGTGCCAACTCCCTGGGGTGCCCGAGCAAAATTCCCCAGGAAGGGGCAAGGCACCCACAAATTTCGGTGCCAGGGCCACGGGCAGCAGCCAGGATTTTTTTGTGGGGGCGCAGAACCTCAGTTTGCTATGTATTTTTATTTATTTGGGGGGAAGGCAGCTGCCCACCTTCCCTTGGCAACGCCCATGGCCAGGTATAACAGCAACAACTTTTAAGCTCATGTCATGATGACTAAGCCCAACTCTGAACTACTGTATGTTTCTTGCTTTGTTTCAACATTTGGGGTTTCAGTCCTGAGCTATTATTCCTTGAATATTGCCTATCTTCTTTCCATATGCCACCCTTGCTGCGGTCTCTGTTTGAAACACACAAGTGGCCGTACTGATAAGAATTATTTGTGGCTTTACGAAAGGGTGGTTATTTTCAGCTAGCAGCCAAAATGGTGATTCTTTGTTTCTGTAAATCCCCTTATTCTTCCTGTTCAAACTGAAAAGTCGTATTTTCTAAATTGAATATGTAGTTACAGTCTGAAAAAAGCATCTGAAAAATCCAGTCTCAATCTTCAAAAAATACCTGTATTTTTTCACAGCAGGACAGCTAACAAGTATAATTTAGGTCAGGATAACAGCACAGAGTTTAAAAACAAAGCCTTTTCCAGTGTCACCTCTCTCACCTAATTAAAACCAGCAGTGGGCGAGCTCTGAAGCAAAATAGCTGTAAATCAATTGTTTGCTTCCTTTTGGCTACTTTCTTGTAAGCCATCCCAATAACTTTATGTTACAGGGTTGTAAACAAATGTCACAAGTAAATGAAAATCTGCTTATGGCTACCTGATAAGCTCAAATTATAAGAATAGTATAGACAGATATAGTTATTTGGAAGCTACAATGTTTGAAATCATAAAGGCTGTGCAGCGTTACAGTTTGTCACACACTTCAGTGTGTTTTGCAATGCTTGCAGCGGAAAACATGGTCAGGAAGCGAGAACCTCGCATTCTGGAAGTTGTTGCAACAGCATTATAGTGGATTCCTTGGTCATATGCTACCCTGCACATGGGATTTTAACAAGGGAAACCAAAAGGTCTGTTGCAACATGTTACCGAGCTGTACTGTGCAATTCTAACCATGCCTGCTCAGAATTTTATGGTCTTAAATATATGGTAATGTTCATAAGTGTACCAACCAAGCACATACATAGATCAGCACAGGAAGGCCAACCTGGAACCATTTTGATTCCTAAACTGACCAAATCTTTTCTCTGCAAGGTCAAAATGGAAAAGGCTCCCCATTGTCTTTTCCTTCACAAATCCTGTCTTAAGGGTATGTCTGTGTTTGAATAGGGTGTGAGCCTGTGACATGGCCCAGGAACTAAGTATTTATCATTACAAAAGACTGGCCAGGAATTCCAATCAAGTAACCTGCCAGACAGGAGATAAACAAGGACAGGAGAAAAACAATATTAATATTTCTGTTTTAGACTGCCTTTTCTGTGATGTAGGTGTGATGTATCTGAGGGGTGGTCTTAGGTTACACCCCTTCTGTGATGTATGTATGATGTTTCTGGGGGTGGTCTTGACCTACAGGGTGGCAGTTTCAAAAATCTTTATAAGGCCTTGCACACCCTTTTTCGAGGTCCCTCCTCTCTACTGCGGGTGAGGGGAGCACCCTGTTGCAACAGATCAATAAAAGCCAAGCCTACAGGCTGCTATTTTGCTCCAAGTTATCCTGGTTGGTGTCTTTGTTTTTTGTCCAAGGGAGCCCTCAGATTTTTCCATTAACAGAAGTAAGTCCGGATGAATTCAGTGGTGGGGTGTATTCCCCAGAAAGGCTGTTTAGGATTGCAGCTGTAGTCTTTCAAAGCTTAACTGAGTTCCCATTTTCACAATCAGTTCCCAGTGTAGTAGCCTAGCCAGCTGTTGTTTGTTTGGTTGTTTGGTGGTTTGGCTGGCTTGCTTGCTTGCGTGCTTGTTTTGTGGGGCAGGCATGTAAAAGCAAGTGTGACCAAACCACAAGAGTTAGCAGGGCGAGAACTGCAGTTCTTATGGCTGCCCTCCAGAAGACTTTCCCATTAAGCTTTTCTACACAAATTTAAATCATTTGTATCATTCAGTTTTCAGCATGATACACAGTGAAAGTGAAAATAAGCAAATACTTTATCAAAATCAAACAACAAATTTTGGGAAGGTCGGGGGAACACAAAAACCTTTTGGGATCACAGAATCACAAGTAGGGGCCTGTGGAAGTGATCAGCAATTAAAAATAATATTACGAAAGGAAAAACGGAAATAGTCATGAAAATGGGCTTGATGTTAGAAAATAGGAGGTCGCAAGTTAGAAACGATTTACTTTCCCATCAAGCTACTGTATTATCTTTTGTCCGGAGAAGTATTACAAGGTTCAACTGCCTTGCATTAGAAGTACGCCAGCAGTTTATGCAGCATACTTTCAACAAGCTCTTCAGTTCTTTCAAGCATAAATATAGACAGCAAATACAGCAAATAAATATGAAGGACTTTTATGGCTTTGGTAGCAGGTTTTTTATATATATATATATATATATATAATGAAAGTTGCCCTTCAGTAACCTGGAAGTAAGCTCAGTGAATATGGATTACCCATTCAAAATGCAACTTGCATTTATTGTTATATGCTCTGTTGGTTGCCTGCTGACCAGCTGAGATGAGAGTTGATGGAATTTGATGGAGGGCTGCCTATTCGTGCCTCGCGTGGGGAGCAAATACTGTCCTTCTGGCCTATTTGCAAATCAGATTAATTAACAATTCCTCCTGTTTCTCCCATTAGATGACAGGGCAAGCATAAGCAATAAAGTGGGACTGAAAAATAGCTGGCCAGACCAGGGTTCTCTAATTCTCATCAAAACGCTTCAGTGGTTATTGTGCCACCTAAGTGTTTTTCTTGTAATAACACTCACTGCGAAGAAAACATGCTATCACTCAAGTCTGATGGTGTTGGCAGTGCCTCTTAAGTTCATATTTCTTGTGATTCCTCACCCACAAAAGCATAAAATACACAAACAGAACAAGAAAACCAACACATGTGAACACAGCTACCACTATAGAAGTATAGGGAGGGGAAGGCTGTGATGTAAATTTAATATACATTGGTAACTCCGGTTGTGGATGGGATCCGTTCTGGAGGTCCGGTCGGATCCCGAGGTTTCTGCAACCTGAGGACATGCAGAAGCGATCTACCGCTTCTGCGCACACGGCGAAACTTGGTAAAATACTTCTGGGTTTGCCGCGTACGCATCCCGAAGTTTACGTAACCAGAGGGATTTTTTCATGATTTTATTGTTTTTATATTTTTAATGGGTTCCCCCCTCCCCCCCAAAAGTGGTGTATAAATTTTATGAAATAGGTATTATAAAATAATATTTCACAGGTGCACTCATGCAGACACAGTGTTTGTAACAGTGTGGCGCTGAATTCCATCCTACATTTCATCAGTCCAATTGCAAGTGCTGTTTATTCCTTATACATATCCAGATGCAGAATAATAGTGACCTTTGTGGGGAAAGGAAATGGTCCCCCTCAAATATTAATTGAATGCAGCACACACTCCTTATGTTTATATAATTTATAGTATCCCCTCAAGAGACTATACTCTTCTATGAGATGTGGATTCATCTGCAGTGAAAATGTTTGCCACCTGAATGAGAAGGCAAATTTGCAACTAGAGCATACAACCTACTTTTTTGTGTTAAAAACCTTTTAACCCAAATACATACCTTTCCCTAGACTGAGAAACACAGCTGAAGGTTAAAAGCAGGGCTCTTCATGAGCTTACCAAAAGATAGCAAGTACTGAAAAGTAGAGTATGAGCAGAGAAATTCATAAAGACTTACAGAAAACATGTTTCTTTCCTCTTTCCTGTCTACATTGCAGGAATTTTTTTTGTGTGTGTGGCTTATATATTATATGCCTTATTACAAACTTCACTGCGGTAGCATATCCCCAAAGTGCAGATGACAATAATTTGTATAATATTCTTTAACTTCTATAAATTATGTGTTTATGCACACTCATAGGCTATGATGGTGCTAGAGAAGTACGGTATGCTGTTATTCGCTGCATGTTTGCTTTGTGTTTTATTAGCTAAAACGAAGGCTTCAACGTCTATGTTCATGCAGTGTAATAGTGAGAACGAGTGGGCCTCTTAAGTATGGCCTATGTGCTGTTTTTCATCAAAGCCTTTTCTTTACTTAAGAATATTTCTGAGGTCTGCCTTATGGCAGAATCCACCACCTGGTTTCTGCAACTTGGATAAAGCCCCTTAAGGTGGTTATATGTGATTCAAGGACCCGCCACCCGCTTGAGGATAAGAAGGACACATGGACACAGTATATTAGGTTAATGGGCTAAGAAAAGGCCACAACTTTATTGATTACAGCATGTGAGAGGTATTGGCTTAGGCATTGGATAAAACAACAAAGCGTGACTCCACCCCCTCAGGGACGGCAGAAATAAAACTGGAAGAGGATTAATAGCAGAGATAGATCAGGACTTCATAGCTCATTGACATCAGAATACATCACAATACATATGCAAATTGGCCTGATACACTACACAAACATGCACATATGTTTGTAAACACACACACACACCAGACTAGGGATTGTTTTGCTGCAGAATTTTGTTTTACTCTAGCATGCATACTGCTTAGGAATGAGGGGACCCTCCAGTTTATTATTGCCTCCTGTCATCCCACCATCATTTATTTTTTGTCCACTTAGGCCAGCTCAGGAATAGGAATGTGCTTTCTGGGCAACACTGATTCATCTGGGACTCCCCCATACTTGTTGGCTAGCTGCACTCACATTCTTATCTGCAGCTGCCGCTGCCTGTACATGAGCCAGTGAGTGGGCTGTTAGTGCAAAAGGGGGTGTTCCTGCTGTGAGTGGTGGATGCATGCAATATCACAACTTAATTTTCCTTAAGAGCACAGAAGTGGGCCCTGGCACACAACTGGAAACTACTGCCTTAAGAGATGTTTTGTTGTGCTGACAACAAAAGGACTTTCTCACAAGTTATGCAGTTAAAGCAGCATCTACATGACCATTGCCTAACATGCAGGTTTCTTTTCAAAACAGGATGCTGTTACTAAATCACTGCAGCTATAGCCAGGAGCACGACACAACTACATTTGCGCCATAGTGCAGTTAGTTTTTTTCACAGACGGCCTCACTGTAACTTCCATTTTGTCAGCAGAATGCAAGAGATCAGCCGTTGGAAATGGCATGCTGTAGCAAGAATACAGGAGCCCGGCATTTCTTTCCCCCACCCTTGTCTTCTCCTCACCAAACCTGAGCATTGACCCAAAGTTACCCAGAGCTCTGTGGCTGGTAGTCCAAGTGGGAGATAACCAGAGCATGCACCACTCTGGCAAGGCAGTCCACAGGCAGATAGGGTCTCAGCCTGCGTACCAGATGGAACTGGTAAACAGCTGCCCTGGACACAGAATTGACCTGTGCCTCCATGGACAGCTGTGAGTCCAAAATGACTCCCAGGCTGCGCACCTGGTCCTTCAGGGGCACAGTTACCCCATTCAGGACCAGGGAGTCCTCCACACCCGCCTGCCTCCTGTCCCCCCAAAACAGTACTTCTGTCTTGTCAGGATTCAGCTTCAATCCATGAGCCGCCATCCATCCTCCAACTGCCTCCAGGCACTCACACAGGACCTTCACCGCCTTTACTGGTTCTGGTTTGAAAGAGAGGTAGAACTGGGTAACATCCGCATATTGATGGACACCCAGACCATCAATACTTTCCTGGGCCACCAGCCAGGAGCTGCTGACAGCATCCTGACACCCCCTCAATCCTGTTAAGAAGATGATGCCTCTGTGCTCCCGAATACCACTTGCTGAGGGTCAGTCACAAGGACGACTCATGTCCTGCTTCTGGCATCTGGCTGGCCACTGTGAGAACAGAATGCAAACCAAGATAGGCCTTTGGTCTGATGATCTTATGAAATGTCTGGTTATCAAGACACTGGCCACAGCATCTAACTTCAAATGTTCATCACTGTAGGTAGGGTGGGAGAGTTTGAAGATAAAGCAGAAGACATGGTTTGAAAATGTTGAGAACAGAGATAATGAAGTAGGCATAGCCACTGTTTCCTATTGATGTTTTCCCCCTGTGCGCCCCAGCCTAGCAGTTGAAGACACAGTTGAATGGAAAATTCACACGGCTGTGAATAAAGCTGAAGTGTGTGGTGGGGGAGATGTTCACCAAAACAATGAGGACTGAGAATGTTCAATTGACATATAATGCTGATTGTTGCAGGGAGAAAAACAGAAACGTGGGAAAAGAGGAGGGCAGAGGAAGAAGACACACAGAAACAAAAAGTGTAGAAACTAGGGCACATCATGTTTCACACTGAGAAGCTATTTTAAAATGTACCCAGGAACAGCACAATGAGCTGCCCATATACATCAGTGGAGAAATACAATGTTTTAATGTAGCGGGGATAGAATACAGCACTCTCCACAGCAACCCAAACTCCTGAAATGGAGAATATCCACCTAAAACAAGCCAGTGTTTATTGAGCATTCTCGCGGGGCACAGAATAATGGCTGGTGGAAGGGGGAAGAAAGAATGAAACCCCAACAGCACTTCTCGTTGCAACATTCTGTTACAGGGCCCCATGTGCTTTAAAAGCAGAGTGGCATAGAATTGCCTTACATTCAGGAGTCTCAGGAAGAGAATCTGCAAATTCCAACTAATCCCAAGCCACTCCAGCAACTTCCACATCCAAAAGGCCTGGTGTGGGTCACAAATGAATATAAAGAGAATGTGGAGGTTACGTTCTGGGGAAAGTGCACCAAGCCAAAATCGCATATAGTCAAAACCCACCAGGTGCAACAGCATGTGGGGTTGCCTAAGTCCCCACCCCCAAGATGCCCTCCCCCCTTTATAACCCCCTCCCAAGTGTGTAAAGCTGAATGCGCCCAAGTTATGACACATTAAGTCATGGGTCTACTACAGTATAGTGATTTCGAACTGTTGTTAGACAAGAGTTAGCAAGCAGCCCTTGGTTCTTAAGGTGACTTGGTTTCTCATGGATCATTTTCAGGTGGTGATGCTGAGGTGAACTTAGTTAGGCCCAGGGCAATTGGCATTCTGTGTCCCTTGGGGTTTAAGGTTCTCACCTATGATGCTTTTAGGTCAACAACATGACAACACACAGCTCTGTTTCTTCTTTTCATCCAGTGCCAGAGAAGTTGCAGATATCCTGAACAGGTGCCTCAAGGTGATAAATGGGCTGGATGAGGACTCATAAATTTATGGCAGGGCCTTTGCAGATGCCTCTAGAGCTTGCCTCTCCTGCAGGGGATGACTTGCTGATGCCCAAGGTGCCTTCTTCCAGAAGGAAGCATCTTCGGTGGTGGCAATCCAGGAGCAGGGCAAAGAGAAGCAGGGATGATGCTTCCACTTCCTTGCAGGTACAGTATATCTGAAGGAGCGTCTCCACCCCCATCGTTCTATCCGGACACTGAGGTCCAGAGCTGAGGGCCTTCTGGTTGTTCCCTCACTGCAAGAAGCCGTTACAGGGAACCAGGCAGAGGGCCTTCTCGGTAGTCGTACCTGCCCTGTAGAACTCCCTCCCACCAGATGTCAACTACCAGACTTTTAGAAGACATCTGAAGGCAGCCCTGTTTAGGGAAGCTCTTAATGTTTGATGCATTACCATATTTTGTTGGAAGCCGCCCCGAGTGGCTGGGGAAGCCCAGCCAGATGGGCAGGGTACAAATTTATTATTATTATAATTATTATTATTAACCAGACAAGACAGGAGTTTCCCATGATCAGGAAGATGGACTAGGGATTCAACTTGCTTTGGGTGGGGTGGCAGTCCCTCTGAAGAAGTGGAGAATTCCTAGGGGGTGCCAGGGACCAGGTGTGTCTTTGCATTGTTCAGGCTGGTGTGAGTTGTGCCTGTTCCAGAGGTCTGGCTCAACTAGAACAAAACATGCTCTAGCACCATCTAGACTGGATTCATGCAATGTACTTTCCAGTGATGTTAGCAGCTGATTACCCCATGGGCTCACAGAACACCTGCCCTGCAATGCCTGTACCATTTACCAGTTTCCCCCCGGGAATAATTTGAAGTGTTTTTGTATATTGTAAAGCCCTACCTGGCTCGGGTACAGGGTGCTGCCTCCTATATCAACTTGCCCACTTCTTAATATCTTGCAGGAATGCCCTTTTTAGTATCCTGCCAACTGTGGAAAAGTACAGTTGCTTGGGACAAGAAATACAGCCTTCCTGGTGGTTGTACCAGTATTACAGAATGCCATACCTCAGGAAGCAAAGATGGCTCCATCTTTTGAGTGTTTGACAAAAGGTTGCCAGAACAAAGTTTTTACAAGCCAGCGAAAGGGAGTTATTGACAGTGGAAAACTATTTGTGATGTGTCATGCTTCTTCCTGCTGAGTTTGGTGATATTTTTATTTGCAGTTTTACATGATGTGAGCTAACATGTAATTCATGCATCTTAGAAAGGTGGGAGTATGTAATTTTTTAAAATAAAAAATCTATTAAATGTTTAGATTAAATAAGAGGCACAAATAAGGTAGTGCAATTCCTTAAGCATCTCAACAAGGCTCTAAACTTTAAAGCATAGGTAGGCACACTAAAGCCCAGGGGCCAGATCCGGCCCAATCGCCTTCTAAATTCGGACCACAGATGGTCCAGGAATCAGCATGTTTTTATACGAGTAGAATGTGCCATTTTATTTAAAATGCATCTCTGGGTTTTTTGTGGGGCATAGGAATTTGTTCATTATTATTTTTTATAGACCGCCCCCCCTCCCACAAGGTCTGAGGGACAGTGGACCAGCCCCCTGCTGAAAAAGTTTGCTGACCCCTGCTTTAAAGAGTCATGGCGAGTGGCTCAGCAGAAAACGTTGGAAAATTGACTTCTGTAAAATATTGGAAGCTACTCAGTTGTTCGTATTGGGTTATAGCCAATAAATTAACCACAAATGACTTCTGCTCCTGAAGTAAAATTTCCCCTTCCCATGTGTCCTGCATGCACACACACACAAATATGCTCCAAGGGTTCCCCTTAAACTTCCAGAGCAGAGGGGGGGGGTATATGAGGGGGAAGGGGAGGAAGTGATTGCCCAAGTGGAAGTCATTCTGCTTACACAATGCCTTTGTTGGATAGCACTGTTGAAAGACTTGTTTTGCCCGTGCATGAGAAACAAGAACGAGCCTCTTCTTGTTTCTTTAAAATTATGTGATGTTACTTAAAACATAAGGATGCTCTGTGAAAATGTAGCTTGTCACAGACTTTAAACACAATCTGGAGAGAGCAAGTGCAGATGGCCAATAGAAGAAAGGAACACAAAAGAGAGACAGACATTAGCTTTACAATTAGAGGGGAGGGGGGAACCCAAAGTAATAGACAAGAACGCAGAAAAATTTGAGAGTACAGATGTCATGACATTTATTAAGAGGCATGCTACAACTAGAGTTGTTAGAAAAAGAGTTAAGTATAGATACTCAAGTAATAATCAAATACACAAAACTTAAAAAGGAATGGAGCATCCGGCAGTGTACAGAAGTTCAAATTAACCATGCACTACGCAGTTAGAAAATAGGTTTCTTTAATATTTCAACTTCTTTGCATTTATAACATCAAGTCATCTCAACAACATGAAATCCTTTCCCCCCTCCAATTGCCACAAGCTGCTTAACAAATGAAAGCTGGTACTGTTGCTTATCAAAATATACAAGATAATTGATGTTTTTTCTTTAAATATAAAAACCATTTTATACTTGTTCCCAAAAACCTTTTTTTTTTTGACAGGTAAAAAATGTTGTTATAAATATTTACAGCATTTTCTTGTGTTAGATGAATATTTTTACAAACTTAAAAAGGGATTGGTGAAGACATGAAAAGGGAATGTTTTGACTCTTGTAATTGTAATTCTTTCTCTTAACACAGCACTCTCTTTCCATCAGCCTCTTGCCTTATGCCATTACATTTGGTTCGCTTTTCTCTTTCTTTCTTTTTTTAAAAAAATCTAATTTCCCATTAAGTAGTCCATTCACCAATAACATTCATATAAAAGGCCACTTTACACCGAGTCTTTCAGGAAAAAAAATCGCTTGAGAAAGAGAGAGAACTGGCAAGATGTCTCAGTAAAACCAGAGCAGACAATCTTTGGTCATTGCAATGAGGTGACAAATCTGATACAACAATTTGCTTGGTCAGCAACTGTATTTTGAGACCAGGATGAGTTGTTTTCAGGAACAGGAGAATGAATTTGGAAAACAGCAAAAAACATGGTCAAAGAAAGATGAATCTAAGTACATCGCTGGTTAGACTTTTCACTATCATTCCTAATACTGCACATAGATCCAAGAATTGAAAATTCTACCAAAGCATGCACTCTTCATTTATAACTGAGGATTTCTGGATACAAGGATCCTCAATATTTAATAATGTCCCAGTTGCAAGCTACTGTGACAACCACGAGCCACATGCCTAGAGTTGAACATGAATTCCTGTGTGGTGCAGTCTGATTCATGTTATAATGGTATAAAGCAAAGGGATACTAAACCCAAATGAAACAGTTAGCAATTGACTGCACATATGGATAGTTCATGGGTCATTTGGTGTGTTTTTTTTACTATATAAATACACATTTTCTTGAAAACAATAGTATTTATTCTAAAGACTGAAAGAGATAGCAAAAAAATTACACAAGACTACTGAAGGCACATAAACTTTGGTCCCATATTGTTTTCTTCTTCGTAAAAACCCTGAAATTAAATCTTCGAAGTTTTAAATTTCTTCAAATAATTCCTAATTGTTAAGATTTGATTTAAAAATTAAGAACAGTCTCATATACCACAGACAGATAATTGCAAAGACAATTAGGAGTTAGTTTGCTTCAAGAAAATCTCTGTGCGACCTGAACAGTTTTCAGCACAACTGTTTTAAATCTGACAGTTTTGTTCAGAGTTACCAGTCCACAAAAAAAAAGTCAAGGCAAATAAAAATGGCTTTAATACAGTAAACTACTCAGCCCCTCTCCTTTGAAAATAGCAGTACATACTACATATAACAGGATGAAGACTGAAAGAGCACACCTCAGGTTCGTCATTCCCAGAAAAAAAGCCCATATCCAGCTGTCTCTCTCTTGGTCATAGTAAAAAGTGTAGCAGTTAGATAGGCTCGTTCACTGCAAAATTCACACGCTCTGCTTTATTTTACAGCAACAAGATTCCACTGCACAATCTCTCCGTCTGGGAAAAAGAGGTGCCACGTGGACAACTCAAGGCTACATTCGGAGATAGATATAGGCACAGCGAGCCCTCAATAAATTCTCCAAGCACAGTAATCATGCAACAGGTGGGAGACACGAAAGGCAACCAAGTTTTGGGGCCAAGGCTTAAAATGAACATATCTTTGAAGTTCTGTAACTTGCAAAAAGTGTCTGGATGGGCTTAGTTGATTTAACGGTGCAATCAAAAATTTCATTAGAGTATTAAAAGCCCCTCTCCCCAGATTTTCGTGGGGCTAAAAAGCAAAGACTGCAAGACATGAAGCCTTGTAACTATGCACTCTGGCCTTCCTGAGCCAGTTTTCCCTTCCAGTTTGTATCCAAAAGCTAGCAGCAGTTTGTCTTTCGGTTGTGAAAGCTATAATAGCTTCGCCTCTAGAAGTAAGAATCACAGGCAACTGTAGGTGACTAATCAGTTAAGTAACTTAAAATACCATTTTTAAATCTGGCCTCTCAACACCAAGGAGATTTAGGCTTGTTTACTTTATAAACCACATTGGCTCCTGTGTGTTACATATCCCTTAATTTGATTTGTTAGCATTTCTTTCTTACAATGAACGAAACTGCAAATCTTCCAATTGAGAAAAATATTTCCTTCGCCCAAAATGCTAAAAGGGAACCTTTGCTGAGGTTGCATAATGAGCAAAAATATTTAAATGTTATTAAAAGCCAGCATTCTTCAAAGACTTCATTGGCCAAAGCCTTAAACACCTATCCCATACTCTACAGGTGACAGAAATGTCTGGCACACAGGTGACTGGGACACAGACAGGATTCACTTTGAAAGCAAGGGCCACTCGCAGATTAAAATCGCAACCGCTTTCGGGAGAGAGAAAATTCAGTTGATAATAGGAAGGCTAGCAAAGATCCAAGTAAGTCTGGAAAAGTAAGTTACTCTGCACTAAACTTCTTGTCAAATATTTTTTCACAAAGGGATGCTAACAACATCCTCTTGAACACCTTAATCTTGCAGGACATTCACTGTAGATCTGCTAAATGGTGACAGACCAGATGCTAGAGTTCTGCAGCAAAAGAATAAAGGGGCCAGAAAGTGTTGCCATTGTGGGACTAAGTTTCTTTTGCTTTGATGGGGAGGAGGGAAATCAAGCTTAGCTATTGCTGTAAATGGAATTACTGTTTTAAATGCAAACAAAGTGTGTACTGTACTGCCATTTCTCGTATTTGCACCTCATGGAGAAACAGTTTCAAAAATGAAATCAACCACCCAATCATTGAACACACATGCACTACAACCAAGATGATCAATACAGAATATAACATAATTATGACAAGACCACACAGAATATGTTGAGTATATCCAAAATAAAATTAAAAAAAAAAAAAAGTTTGCCAGCATATAAACCGTACGCCCTACAACTCAAAGTAGTCGAGAAATGACTACTTACAACGACACGTTGTCTAGAAAGGGCATTTTCTAGGGACTAAGTGAAGCTGTCTTTCATGTTAGGATTAACCATTTACTTCTCTGTTAAGCATTATGAAGGTACGTTTTGTTTTTAGATTAGTTAAGTCAATAAATTAAATGCTTGCAATGTGTATTAGCATACATATAGGAAACTTCACACAGCACACACACACACACACACACACACACACTCCCCACCCTTGATATTATACATGCTAATGCTCATTCTCAGAACTTGTTTTTCCCCTACTTCAGGTACATTCATCAACTGCAATAACGTCCCCTTTGTAGCAGCATTAAACACATGGTGACCAAGATTAAAAGGTAACTTAGGAAATTATTCTAAAGAGGAGCTATATTGATTGGGGATATAAATCCAAAAAGCTATTTAATTTACACACCTAAATGGGCTGTCATCTTGAACATGCTTACTTGAAGTCATGGTTCCATGGAATGAAGGAGACCCATTTAGGCTGGAATTTGGGACCAATTAAACTGCATTGCTAAAACAAAAGAAGATATTGGTATTCTAGGTGTTTTAAAATGCTATTTTCAAACAGCTGCAAAGCAGTGGTGGACTTTGAATATGGGATCAGTTATTACTGGACGTTAGTCTAGCGTTACACACACTCTTATCGGGTGACAAAATGAACACATTCATTTAATGTCCAAAGGTGATTTATCAGCCAGCTGACACAAATATAGCTATATAAGGTTGCAAAAATGTCTCACTGACTATCCTTTCATCCTACAGTGATGTTATCAAGAAGCTGACATCTCAAAGATAAGTTACCAAGTTACCATTTTAAAAGAAGCTTTCAAACTAGATCTAAAGCTATGGAATTCTTTTTGCTGACCAACAGCCAGTCTTCACAGAGCAATTTGACTTGCTAAAAAAAACAAAACCCAAAAGCAGAATTGAGAGCTACAAATCATTACACTCCATTTCACTTCTTAAGTCTCTGTGTCCATCTTCAACACAATTTAAGGATTAATAACCCTTATACTTGAGAGGAATACCTTACAAAACAATGAAAAATTTCAGTAGACGTAACATCTTGAGACACCTCTAAAAACATTGTATTACAATCATAGAAATAATTTGTGTATGCCTAGATTTCACAAAAAATAGTTAAGATTGCATCTCATCCTGCTCTCCAAAGAGGAGTGAACATTCAGTATTGAAGTTGTGATATTTATGGAGGAAAGCCAGTCCACATTTAGTACAGCAAGCAAGTACTGTTGGGTGAAAAGGAATCCTGAGGCAAAATATTCTCAAAGAGCCAATGGCTCTACAGGTTAGATATCATACAGAAACTGGAGAACATTCTTTAAAACCCAACAGTGGTGTCACTCAACGGCAACCTCCAAAATATTGTGAGGCCTATAAGGATGTGCATTGAGTTATCTTTAGTCCCCCACCACCACCCCTGTACCAAAGCACCAAAAATCTGATTTGACTATTACTTATTAAAACATTTTTTTTAAATCACCAAGCGTTTAAAAACTAGGACAAAGGAAAAAAAAAAATCTCACCAAGCCACAATACAGTTTAAAGATACTTCAGATAAAACTCTAACTATTGTATCATTATAAGCACATAATAAGGCACGTAAGAAATTAAGTAAATACACAGTAATTCTGATTTAAGTATTAGAGATTATAGTGGTACAAAAAACCCTTGAGGTTTAATTTTATATTTTTAAACAAGACCTTACCAAAAATAACCTTTCTAAAAATTTGTCAAACCATATGACAGACCTGAATTTTTTTTCCTTATGAGTGTAAACATTTTTTGTTTCTGAAAGAAATGTACAAAACTTGAAATCAGGACATATTTCTTCTTTCATTTTCTCCAAAATCTTATTACACAGCATTTCATAGTAATAAAAATTAGTGGTCTCTCACACCATGATTCAATACCTAGTTTAAAATTTCACTATGATCACATTAAAATAATGTACCTGTGTCATTTACACAATTTATTTGAAAAAAAATTACCTTGCTCCATGGAAAAAGAAGGCACTGCCTTTCCTCCAATATGTTCAACAGGTACTGATTAAAATTATTAGCTAAGGGGTCAAATAAATCCCCCACAGAACACTCTATGTGCTTAAAATAATCCACTAGATCTATTTGAAAACATTATTTTGATAGGATAGTTTAACGGGGCACAGAAATGTTGTGTAACATTGTTTTGGAATAAAAACCAAAAAAATATGCCTCTGAAATCATTAAAAACAAAAGAGGGGCTTCTACTGAAAATGTTGCGTTATTAAATACTACAGAAGAAAATTTTGTGGAGGACTGTTAGCCATTTAAACAGAAGAAGATATGAAAAATCATCCCTTGATTCATTTACTGTGTAAAGTAATACACATGAGCCACACAAGTTTAATGGTTTAAGGACGCAGCGTTGGTTTTGGCTACTCCAGTCTCTTGTCTGAATTTTACTGGTAATTGTGGGTAGAGTCTTAAAGAGCAAAAGGTCACAGAAGTGTCAGATTGTAGATTTGGAGAAGGAAACTCTGAGGTGATGGTTCTCTCCAAGGTCATGATTATGAAGCTCAATAAGAGCTTGGATTGCTTCTTCCACAGAGCCCAACTGGATGAGAGCCATTTTGCGGTCTTTTCTAAAAGTGAAAAGGAAAGTGTCAATCCCAACCACATCTTAAAGAGTTCTTCACGTCCCAAAATCTTAGTGCACTTTTAGAACTAAGTTTCAGGATAATGTCAGGCTCCCGGGACCCAGCTTCCTCCTTCCCTCTGGCCGTAGATAAGCAGGACAAAGCGAAGAGTCCCTTACCATTTAAAGAGTCTTTAATGATCACAGCAAAAGAACAAAGCATTCATTCTCGGAATAAAGGTGTTCCCAATTAAGAATTCCACCCACTTCCCTCCTTATCAGCCACCTTATCAGGCACGTCCAACTCCCAAGAGAATGCGATCTACAGTGGTACCTCTGGTTGCTAAGGGGATCTGTTCCGGAGGCCCGTTTTCAGCCTGAAAGGAACACAACCCTCTTCTGCGCATGACGCCATTTTGCGCATCTGCGCATGTGCGAGTGGCGAAACCCGGAAGTAACCCTTTCTGGTACTTCCAGGTCGCCGCGGGGCGCAACCTGAAAACGCTCAACCTGAAGCAAACATAACATGAGGTATGACTGTAGTCATAGTATAAAAATACTGGCTGTGATCTGTCCATGGTCATTGCCAGGCAAAGTTGTTGTGCTTTCTTTTGGGGGGGGGAGCCAAAGTTGTTGAGCTGCTTCTTTTTTTTTTTTTAGGGCAGGCAAACCTGTTAAGCTTCTTTTTTTTGTGGGGGTACGATCGTGAATGATCACACGATCGACTAGGATCGACCATGGACATCTCGTGATCGGACCAGTAGATCACGATCGACCTGTTGGACATGCCTGCTCCACGTGACCTTGGACTGATATGCTGAATACTTTCCAGCAAGAGAGAGTCTGTTATCTCTCTCTCTTCCAGTTCTTCTTCACTTTGCTGTTCACACTCCAGTTCTTTCCAACTTTTGTCTTCAGAACTATGCCCCTCTGCAAACCACTGTTCCAAATCTATACTGCTCCTGGGCAGCTTCAGGATCCTGGTCAGGAGCAGGGGGAGGGGGAGGTTCCCACCATTCCTCATCAGAGCAGCACTCCTCAGCTTCATCTCTGACAGATAATCAGTGAAACAGAACCACAAGACAATTCCAAACACACAGTATGATATGGTACAATCTGTAGGCATTTCATGTCTGGTCTTTTATTTGGCCTTCATCTCAAGAGATGAACACCAAGAAGCTCAGCTGCTAGCTGGTTAAGTCTCCCTTCCTTCCACACATCAGTTTTCCAGAACCTTGCTTAGTGCAAGATTATGCTGAACCAAAGACTTCCAGCTATAGCTTCTCAGCTTCTGCAGCTTTCTTTACAGGAAATTATGTGTAAGAGAAAGGACCTACCGTATTTTTTGCACCATAACACTCACTTTTTTCCTCCTAGAAAGTAAGGGGAAATGTCTGTGCATGTTATGGAGCGAATGCCTACGGATGGCGGGGGGATCTGCTGCAGTCGTGAGCAGAGGATCCATGGTTCCCCTTCCTTCCCTCCTCCATGGCTCACTTTGAAACAGCAAAGCGGGAGAAGAGCCACTGAGTGGAGAGGAGAGAGGGACAGAGAGCCTGCTTGCTTTAAAGGAGCAAAGTGGGAGAGGAGAGGAGCGTTCTCCTCTTATACCCCTCTTCTGCATTATTAACAGCATCCTTCTCCACCCACCCCACGCATGTCCCTTGTCCCTTGAGTGCTTTTCCTTCCCTCCCCACTTAAAACGTGGTTACAAAGCACAGATCCACATGGATCCTCAGGATTTTTGCACTGGGTCACCCCAAATTCACCATCAGATCACATAGCATGTCCATGGCTACAGCTTGCACCAAAAAAATCACGCACCCACTGTTGCCTGGGGCCGCAGTGGTGCAAAAACGTGGTTACAAAGCATGGATCCACATGGATCCTCAGGATTTTTGCATTGGGCTACTCCAAACTCACCGTCGGATCACATGTCTGTGGCCGCAGCATGAACCACAAAAATCATACATCCGCTGTTTCGTTTAGAATATATTTTTTTCTTGATTTCCTCCTCTAAAAACTATGTGCGTGTTATGGTCAGGTGCGTGTGCGTGTTATGGTCAGGTGCGAAAAATACGGTATTTAAGTGGTGCAAGTTCATATAATTACACACACACACACCCCGGATTAAGTCCCAGTATTGAATTTCATGTTCCATCTGTATTTTCCATCTGTATGAATGCAATGGATGAATTCCTTGCTTTAAAAAACTTAATTTACAGTGGATACTTACGGGAAGAATTTGAAGGCTTTCACAATACATCCAGTACCAGCAAAAAGATTCTTCAGGTCATCTACTGTGACAGAAGGTCTGTAATAGATTAAATCCCTCGTGTTAGCTAAATATCCAGGTCTCGACAACAACAACAACAACAACAAAAACCACCACATTTTTTTATTTATGTCAAAATAAACTGGTTAGCTTTTAAGGTGTGTTGCTTTAACTTACTACCATGGCTACCTGTCCAGAAACAGAGCTCAACAACACCCCTTTCGGCTTTTTCCCATTTCACAGATAATCTGGGTTTCTTATATTCTAGTGGCATCACAAATAAAGGGTAAACAACCAACCTCTCTGGGCTCTTGTCCCCTCTTACGTGCGAATTTATCTGGCAGAATTTGTAATATTTTGTTTAACTTCAATTCCTCTGAATGAGGTAACCTTCTTAGCTCTGACAGGTTGTAGGACTGTCTTTTTATTATGTACTATTGTGGAAGAATGTGGGCTTGCTGTTTTTACTTTTTTCAGTGTTGAATATTTTCTTTAACCTTGATTATGCCATTAATACCCCACCCACTCCAGGGCGATTTGTAACTAAACAATACTCAGAGGAGAGTCACTGAAATAAATAGACAGACATACAGTGGTACCCCGCAAGACGAACGCCTCGCAAGACGGAAAACCCGCTAGACGAAAGGGTTTTCCGTTTTGGAGGCGCTCATAAGCGAATTTCCTATGGGCTTGCTTCGCAAGACGACAGCCCATAGGAAATCTCAGGGACAGCGGGGAAGCGCAGCGCGTCTTCCCCACTGTCCTCGGACCTCCTCCGAAGCCTGGCGGCGGGGCGGGGACACCTCCTCCCGCCGCCGCCGGGCTCGGAAGGCTCCTCCGGCCGGGCGGGGGGAGGGAACACCTGCCGCCGCCGCCCGGCTTCGGAACGGTGCTCCGGGCCGGGCGGGGGGCGGGAACACCGGCCGCCCCCGCCGGGCTTCGGAAGGGTGCCCCGACGCCGGGCGGGGGGGGGGCGGGAAGACCTCCCGCCTCTGCCCGGCTTCGGAACGGTGCTCCGAAGCCGGGCGGTGGGGAGGGAAGACCTCCCGCCGCCCGGCTTCGGAACGGTGCTCCGGCCGGGCGGGGGGAGGGAAGACCTCCCGCCGCTGCCCGGCTTCGGAACGGTGCCCGGCCGGGCGGGGGAGGGAAGACCTCCCGCCGCCGCCCGGCTCGGAACGGTGCTCCGGGCCGGGCGGGGGGAGGGAAGACCTTCTGAAGGCGGGCGGGGGCGAAAGTCCTTGCTCCCCTGCCTGCCTGTCCCGGAGGGCTTTTGAAGGCGGGGGGAGCAAGACTTCGCCCGCCCGCCTTCAGAAGAGGTCCAGGACCTCTTCTGAAGGCTGGCGGGGGCAAAGTCTTTGTCCCCCTGCCTGCCTTCCCAGGGGCTTTAATTGCCCCGGACAGCGGAGAAGTCCTCCGCTGTCCCGGGTGATTTTAAATGCCGCCCGCCAGCATTTTAAGATCGCCCGGACAGCGGAGAAGTCCTCCGCTGTCCCGGGGTTTTTTAAAATGCTGGGGGTGGGAAGAAAAGCCCTTGCCTCCCCCAGCCTTGGACAGACTGTCCCCGGACCTGGTCTGAAGGCGGTTTCCTAGGAACGCATTAATTGATTTTCAATGCATTCCTATGGGAAACCGTGCATCGCAAGACGAAAAACTCGCAAGACGAAGAGACTTGCGGAACGAATTAATTTCGTCTTGCGAGGCACCACTGTAACTTAATTCCATTGTTTACAATGGATATAACTCTGACTATGACTAATGTAGGGTATCACCCAGTATTAGGAATCTAAAATTCCCTTGAGCAATTAATCAGACATAATCCAGCACCAGTTTAGATCAGAGACTGAAAACCATTGCTATATAGAGAATTATGTAATTATGTAATAAATAATAGTAATAATAGTAATAGTAATTATTATTATTATTATTATTATTATTATTTATTTATTTATTTATACCCCACCCATCTGGCTGGGTTGCCCCAGCCACTCTGGGCGGCTCCCAACCGAATATTAAAAACACAATACAACATGTTTTAGACTACTTCAGAATTCTGCTGTTCTTGATGGCTGTACATAAATGTTTGAGATGCTCTTAAAATCCATGGAATTATTGCACAAGAAACTCCACCCAGGATGCAGACAATTACAGCTTCTGAAGCAACTCTTCAGCATCTCCTGATGCAAGCTGCTGCTGCTGCTACTGGAACAAAAGAATTTATTTCCAGCCCATGAGCAAATGGCTTCTCTGTATATAGGCCATGGCCTACAAGTTGGCTTGTTTTATTTGTCATGTAAACAAAACCTGCAAGTCATGCAGCAGACTGTTACAGAACACAACTTGTTTAGAGGAGCTGTCCTGCAACTCAGATGTGCCATGCTCTTTCTTGCCTCTCAAATCCAGCTGTTCATGTCCAGGGCCAGCCCTGCCATTGGGAAAGGGATTTCAGATGTCATGGAAGAGCAGCAAATTGTCCTCCATTTAAATTAATTATTGTTATATGATTGCAGAGGAGAAAAAGTCACTTGGGCTACCCCTGTTCACATTCAGATACTTACGGAATGTTGGATAGGTGCAGAGTGGCAGATGGTGGAAAGATATTTTGGAAATTCTTTGAGCCGGGTTTCTTGAAGCGATGCAAAGGGCTATTACTATAGTCCTTAGTCAAACCCTGATCCTCTTGCCCCTCACGAGGAAGCTGTACTGTCTGATGCTTTGAGAGTGTGACACGCAGCACCTTCCCATATAGTTTTTGTCCATTTAAGTGATTCATGGCTAAAAACAAGAAAGAGAACAGATGGAACGCTACTCCACTGAATGTGTGCTTCCAAAATGCTTGCCCCAGTTATCAAATAAGTGAGGAGTAGACACACTTCAACTCAGCTTTATTCTCAGTCACAGTTGTACATTTCAAGAGTTCAGATTTGCAGAGAGCTTCTGAAAGCACATGTTGCTACTCCAGCACATCTTTTTATTTTCAGTCAAACGTGTTTCCTACTATGACTGAATACCTCTTTCAATTTAATCATGGACAGTTAAAATAATGGATCTAATCCATTTGGTCCCTTCCGCTTGCAAAAGGGCTTTTGATTCACAGTAGACCCCCTTAACGGAAGGTGGAGGAGAGACTCATTTTCCCCCTGAAAACCTGCTCAACAAGTTTGGGGGAATGCCCAGAATACAGGAGGTGGTGAAATAGAGGAACCAGCAAAAATCCCCTCCCCCTCCCATTAATGAAGACTCCAAGAGCAGTAGGCGCTCTTCAATCGGACCTGTGCAAACTGTAACGAGACACTGTTATTACCTAGTTGGGCTTGGGTTGCATCTGCCATCTGAACTAAGGCATTTTCCTTCTTATTAAACATGATTTTTACACGATGGACATCACCATAAACACCTGCAAAAGCAAAACAAGTATTTTTCAACACACCTTATGCACCAATCTCATTCAAGTTATTGGCTACTATTTAACCAAGTTGATCCAATGGAACGAATGACCAAGACTAAGTTAGTTCTATTAATTTCAGTATCTCTATTCCTAGTAAAACTTAATTGAATGCAACCCTTTATATGCAACACTGGAGTATCACATCCACGTCATGCTAAGGATCACTTCAAAGAGAACATTTAAAAAACAACCAGGAAGCTGGTGAAGCTTGTTAGAAATAGAGCCAGGCATTGCACAAATATGATGAGTGTACTAAATACATACATCTTCCACATGAATGCATAGATCCAGAGTTTGTTTTATCCTCAGCTCAATTATTCCATCCTGAAGTAATCATTTACTTGGCCCAGTACATATATGTTTAAGAAGCACATAATGTGCATCTGATTATCAGTGTTTGCAATGAATACAGCTGAGAATGCAGCAAGAGCTAGCAAAGAATCTAGACACGTATCCATTTACTAGTTACTGGGGAGACAGATTATTTCTAAAACAGCAATGGGAACCTCAATCTAGGAGCAAAAATACAACCCAGCAGGCCTGTCTGGCCCTTGTAAAGGTAAAGGTAAAGGGACCCATGACCATTAGGTCCAGTCGTGGCCGACTCTGGGGTTGCGGCGCTTATCTTGCTTTATTGGCCGAGGGAGCTGGCGTACAGCTTACGGGTCATGTGGCCAGCATGACTAAGCCACTTCTGGCGAACCAGAGCAGTGCACGGAAACGGCGTTTACCTTCCCGCCGGAGCAGTACCTATTTATCTACTTGCACTTTGACGTGCTTTCGAACTGCTAGGTTGGCAGGAGCAGGGACCGAGCAACAGGAGCTCACCCCATCACGGGGATTTGAACCGCCGACCTTCTGATTGGCAAGTCCTATGCTCTGTGGTTTAACCCACAGCGCTACCCGCGTCTGGACCTTGTAACTGTCCCCAATATGTGCCCCATTTCCTCAGACCACACTCATCACCGCCCATACTTCTCACCCCCAAATTCTTTTGCACGACTGTGTCCTCTGATAATGCCTCTTTCTTGTCTGGATGGATAATACAGAGGGATGTATCAGTGTGTGCAGAAAGTGGCCTCATGCACAAAGGTAAAATTCACATTTGTTGCCCTGCCCAATTCTGCCCAGTCTATCACTGGCACGTGGTCCTCAGAAGGTTGATGAGATTCAAAAGGTTCCTCACTCCTGTTCTAAGATATAACTACTGCCTAACAGTTAAATAATCGCCACATGTAGACAACTCCGTGGAATTTAAAACCAACACAATTTGAAAAACCAGTCCCTCAGCTAATATATTTCTTATTTTAATCTGGTGTTGTACACAAACCAACTTACCAAACAGAATAAAGAGTCCATCTGGTGTGATTGCCTGCAAAAAAAATCACAAGGCAATATTTTTTAACCAAGCATAATGTATTAAAAAGAAAAGGTGCGTCAATTATTTTAGGATTGCCAGAGAACCTTAACAGGTAGCAAGTGCATGAATAGATACGTGAAATACAATATTAGGTAAACCAAAGTGCTATTATAAAGTAAAATTACTTCAAACATCCCCTGCCCCAGAATGTTCTAAATATATATACAGTGGTACCTCGGGTTACATACGCTTCAGGTTACATATGCTTCAGGTTACAGACTCCGCTAACCCAGAAATAGTGCTTCAGATTAAGAACTTTGCTTCAGGATGAGAACAGAAATCGTGCTCCGGCAACGTGGCGGCAGCAGGAGGCCCCATTAGCTAAAGTGGTGCTTCAGGTTAAGAACAGTTTTAGGTTAAGAACGGACCTCCGGAATGAATTAAGTACTTAACCCGAGGTACCACTGTATATATACATCATGAAAAGTTATTTTAGTTATATTTTTCATTGATAATACTGGTTATTATCCAATCTCTAGTTTAGATTTTGGGTTAAGTGCCATAAGCTTAACTGCAAACTATGTTTATGTTATAAACTTTAGTACTATATATGAGGCTTACATCAGGATTGAGATTGCTAACAAGCAAAACGAAATTTCCAGGCATTCCAGTCATTCCTGGGATAGCCATTCGCCCAGTCATAGCAGAGGTGGTGATTGCAAGAGGACCAAGTGCACTGGGAACAGCTGAGACGGAGAGACCTGGAAAAGTCAAAATAGATCTATAGAAATATTTCAGAAGATGTACATGGCAGTTCAATTTTTATCTCTCACTTTAAAGCACAAGCTCAGAGCGAAACATTCTATAATAAATGCTTCATAAATAAGCAAAGGCCTGCCATTTATTCCTCCTCACCTGGTTAAAATACCACAAATAAATCTTTGCAGCCTATCTTGATAAGACAAACCAAAACTGTACCATCCCATTCTTACGGATTTTCCATTTCTTGATGAGTTAAGATTTATTTCAGTATATTGGGGGTTTGAGTTCTCATACTTCCAGCTAGTTGTTAAATACAGGTACAAAAAGAATAGCCCCACTACAATGATTCACTTTAACATGGCAAAAAACATTTTCCTGTCCAAAGATAGATGAATTCCCAAATGCCCCAAGCTCTCTAACTAAAATTAAGTGCAGAAAAGTATAAAAGACACTGCTTTCTGACAGTACCATGGCCTACATACACAAAGGCGTGCTAGGTCCTTTGTCTACTCCAGTGCCCATTTTAATTAATCTGTTTAAACAAAAACAAACAGACAGACCAATAACAGACAGGGTTTATGCATACTGAAAAGGACTTGCCTGCCTGAGGAAACCCAATGGCAGGAGCAAAACCAGCAGCTCCCGCATATGGTGAGGAGATGATACCTGGAGTGCCTAAAAAAAGAGAAATTAAATGAGAGTGCAAGAGATTAACTGCTAGAGAAAACAGAAAGCAATTTCAATTCCTCTAAAGCTTGCTAAATTAACCTGGCACTTATTTCAGGGGTTGGATACACACATTTGGTGCTTTTAGTCACTTTAGAGCAGGCATCCCCAAACTCGGCCCTCCAGCTGTTTTGGGACTACAATTCCCATCATCCCTTACTGATCCTGTTAGCTAGGGATGATGGGAGTTGTAGTCCCAAAACATCTGGAGGACCAAGTTTGGGGGTGCCTGCTGTAGAGCCTACATGTGTCTGTGCTGGTTGTTCCTACTTCAAGAGGATACAGCAATCATGGGATCAATAGCAGCTGTGCAATTTGCACAACTCAGCTCACAAAGTGTGGCAGCAATCCTATACCTTATCTATGAGTAAGTGTCTTTTATTATTAATTTAATTTATATACCACCTTTCATCTGAAGATCACAAGAGTGGCTTACACAGTATAAAGTTGTTGGAGGGTTTACTTCTGAGTAGATGTGTATAAGGTTGCGCCGCAAAGATCCAAAATCTAGCGCAAGAATCAGCCTTGTACACCAGCCCTTTGTCTTATTATTTTTTTAAGTTTCATGACTTTATTTATTGCATATTTATATACGGTCTGACTGTAAAAAAAAAACAACAACCCCAAAGCTGTTTACAAAAAGAACAATGAAATTATCCGTAAAAACAATTAGGAACAAAATATAATTAAAATCAACAATGCACTAAAAATAAGCTTAACAGGTGGTAGTGTTCCTTTTTGTCATATAGCAGTCCAATTCATGCTGTTCCTTTTCTGTGGCAGATTTGAAATTGTGATGAGGGAAGGAAAGAAAAATCTGACTATTATATATTTTCAGCCAAATCATAATAGTTTTCCCAGCTCTCACTACTTAGGGCAAAATCCAACAGCGAAATAACTTTGAATGTTTAGGTCGAAATATTGCTCTAAATTGAGGCATAATATAAAAAAACTAGACGATAAATATTTGGGATTTATAATATGCAGAGAGAGTCCTGATCAGAGAAACTCAAGCTACATTTCCTGAAGTATACGCACACACTTGAACTGTGATACTTAACCTAATTAGATGCAAATTGCTACATAAACAGCTGTAAATTGTCCTTCCAATCTAAACAGACTCAGCAGCTTCCTTCACCCCTTATCTTTAGTGACAATGTGGCAGTTACACAAATACAGCAAAAACACCATATATTAAACACCTATAATACATGGATTGGTACCGTTCCTACTATTGGCAATATAGGTATTAATCATTTATTCACAATTCCGATTTCCATGGTAATTCATTATACATGCAACCAGCAACAAAGCACTTATTCAGTCAGACACAACCTGCATGAATACTGATACCAAAGACAGAAATACAATACCCACCATTTTTACCTAGATTAGCAAGAAGTCTAGTATGCAAATACTGGTGGGCTGCCTTTCAATTTGTGGTGAAAAGCTGTCTATAAATATTGGAAATCTTGGATTAAATCTGTTGAAGTTGCCAATGATGTTGTCCGCCCGCCCCCCTGGAACTGCTTATATTATTAGCTATTAGTTTTAAGGATTGTATTTTATTGCTATACATTGTCTGTTGATATGATGCTGGTAACCGCTCTAAGTTCCTTTGTTTAATGAAGGACAGTCTAGAAAATTGGTACATAAAATAAACACACATAGAGAAATGAAGCGTTCTTACCAAAGGCAGCAGCCATAGTGGGATCAAGGGAAGGCTGTCCATCACCTGAAGGAAGGTCTAAACGAGTAAAGTCTCTGCTTTTATCATTGTTGTATTTTACATTAAGGCTTGTTAGCTTGGAGAAATCAATACGAAGAGTGCAGCAAGCATTGTAGATATTCTGACCGTCTAGAGCCTGTAAAGATGATAAAAGAGCTGACTTGAGTTTATGAAGTCCTAATCTTTTACAATACTGATATATGCAAGATAATCCTTTTAGCAATCTTGAACATGCTTTGGGTAGAGCAGAAGGGGCAAGCAGCTAGTGAACATTTCTTGTGCCATTCCTCCATGTTTTTCCAAGTCCATTCTCTAATGTTCACTACAGTCTTAAAGAACGGCATCATTCATACAGTTCCTTACAATATTACCGCCACATGCCATCAAGGTAAGCAGCACACACATCCAAATACGGTAAGCATTTTGTTTCATTGGTCAAGCTTATGGTGTATCATTAATGCTTTTCCAATTAGAGTACCTGTAAGTTACGGTTGTCAGTCATACTTTATGACAGTTGCAAAGGACGACTGTTCTGTAATTTCTTAACATGCAAAGAAGAGATTTTTACAACTATGCCCATCCAACCCCAACATTAACTATCTGGGCCCTTTATGCAACATCTTTTGGGTGGACAAGGTAATGTTCATTCATTCAGCCTTCACTGGCATAGTTTACGCAGTAAAATCATTTTTAAAAAAACAAAAAACACTCACCATCTATAAAACATTAGTAATCCAGACATACTGAACACATAAAACATAGAAAAGACTCAGTATCCACCATTAAATAAAGTAGTTTTAAATTTGACTTTAAAAATCTTGACTAAATATCTTGAAACAAAGTCTGCTATGACAGGTTTGTGTAGACAATCACTGCACCGGTATGTGCCACAAATGTGTATCGGTATGGACCTCCTTTAGCAACTCCAAATGGGATACTACTGACACAAAACACTGGAAAATTAAGATGCATGTTAAAATCAAAGTCATACGCAGCAAATTGTTAACATGGTCAAAATCCAAAACTTATCAGGTGCATAGTTTTGCACTTACCATTTTGGCATAATGTGCATTCATTGGATCAGCATATTGAAGCAAGGCCTGGAACTGATTGTTTTTTGTGAAAGTGATAATCTTCAAGACTGTCCCAAACTTGGAGAAGATCTGAGTAAAAATGCAGGCAGCCAGTTCACACCTTGATACTTTCCAGAAAAGTTTTGAGAAGCAAACTTCATGTGTACCCGACCCCCAGCAAAATAATCAATGTTACTTTTTAACCACGTGGACAGAGATGTTTTTCTATCATGAGAACCACATGTAAATATAACAAAATCATTAAGTGAAATCTAGTGAAATAACTAGATAGCTGTGCCTTATTACTAAGTGAAATTGTTCAGTTATATTACTACTCGTGCTGCAGAGTGAAGCAAACTCCACTCAGTCATTTAATTGTTCTATAGGGAATGATTGCTTACATGCATACAGCTAAAGCACAACAGAATTGTTAAGAATATTTAAATGAATACATAAGTAACCCCTATTTAAAAAGATAAAGGTAAAGGACCCCTGACAGTTAAGTCCAGTAGCGAATGACTCTGGGGTTGTGGCGCTCACTTTGTTTTAGTGGCCAAGGGAGCCGGCGTTCGTCCGCAGACAGTTTTTCCGGGTCATGTGGCCAGCATGACTAAGCCACTTCTGGCGAACCAGAGCAGCGCACAGAAACGCCATTTTCCTTCCTGCCAGAGAGGTACCTATTTATCTATTTGCACTTTTGGTGTTCTTTCGAACTGCCTAGATTGGCAGGAGCTGGGACCGAGCAACGGGAGCTCACCCCATCGCAGGGATTCGAACTGCCAACCTTCTGATCAGCAAGCCCTAGTCTCAGTGGTTTGGACCACAGCAACACCCGCATCCCTATTAATCTTGAGTTGAATATATAATTCCAGGTTCAGATCTTCCCTTTTAGCCAAACCTATCATTGCAGTCTAGCAAAAACAATTGACATGAAGAAACAGGTTTCTCCAGGGCAATTGAGGGGAACAATCTGTACCCATACGCATGTGTGGCTATTTTGGAGGGAGTGTATGAGAGAGAAACAGGCTGCACTCTGAATCGTAGCTGCAAACTTTTCCCTTTTTTAAAGGGAAATTCCCTTATTCTGAATAGGATTCCTCGCTAGAAAAGGGAAAAGTTGACAGCTATGCTGTGAATGCATGCACATGACCAGATAACGGGTGCTGTTCGCTCCAGTCGCTATAGGCATATACTCTCTTTGGCAAATAATCATCACCAGATGCCCTCCCCTTGTCAGAAAATAGATGACCAGCCCAACACTATGAAAGATCAGCCCTGGAGAGGAAGTAGTGAAGGAATAAGCATCTGACAATTTGTTTTTCATTACCAAATACAACAATGTAAAAAAAAAGTACTGACTTTTCCGTGTATAAGACTAGGTTTTTTTCTTTTAAAATTATGCCAAAAAGAGGGAGTCGTCTTATACATGGATAGTGCACAGTGCAAATTTCTTAAATTTGAGTCCCCCAAAACAGGGTCTTATACACGGAAAAATACGGTAATTGGTTTTTTGGTGTTAAAGTCTTTTACCTGATACAGCACTTCTAGAGTTACAGGGTAGAAGAGATTCTCAACTATAATTCGAAGAACAGAACTCTGACCAGGAGGTAGTCCGCCTTCAGTCGCGAGAGCACCTGTAAGGGCCAAGCCTCCGGACTGCACCGCATTCACTGCTTGCAACGCAGCTTGCGCTCTCTAAGGAGGGGGTGGAAAGAAAGGATGGAAATGTTTTGTGTTAAGTTGTGAGTGAACATATCAGACAACACAGCGATTCTTCAAGCAGCTCTTGTTTATTCAGAGGCCAAAACTGAACTGAAGGGTTCAGCCAACCTGCTTATATAGAGCTCCAGTACAACGTAACTGTAACAACTTTCTGTAACTATCCAATCACTGAACGTCACTTTCGATCCCTTATTTGCATATGTGGACCTGAACCATCTACAGTATCCCCTTGCTGGCCCAGGGTGAGAACTTTAGTACATAACATTTTGTGTATTGTACATGCCATTGTTAGCTTGCACACACGTTATTTAAAGAGTTACAAGCTATAAGGATCTATGTGCCCCCAAAGCGTAACCTTACACTTTCTCTCCACTGCACCCAGTGTGCAAATTGTTCTTCTATGGCAGGGGTCGGCAAGGTTTACCTCACCTGGGCCTGTTCACTCCAGCGGAGAGCCCTCCATGGACTGGATTGCATGCGCACATGAACGCACGCATCCGCAATTTACGGCACCTGCACAGACGTGATTTACGGCGCCTGCGCAATTTTCGGCACCATGAAAGCGAGTCCCCGCACCACACCGGTTTAGCACAGCGTGTGGGGACTTGCCAAGTGGGCGGCTCAATTGAGGGGCAGCTTGTGGGATGGTTAAACGACCCCCATGGGCTGCTTGTGGCCCATGGGCCTTAGGTTGCCTACCCCTGATGTATGGCACACACTAGTGAAGGTTACAAGTTTCCCATTCTGTATTCAGTGCTTCTGAAACACCAAGCGTAGGGCTTGCAAAGCCAGCTCGTTTTCAGGAATTTAGAGTGTGTCAGGTGTCTGGCACCTGTCTAAAGTCCTTTGCACAGCACTCCAAGTGCCGAAAAACCAGGTGACTTTGCTGGGTGCAGTTGAGAGAATGTCGGAGGAGCGGGGAGCAGAAAAGCTTCCCCACCCCTGCTGTTGACTGTCTTGTGTAAAAATCTTTACTACGTAATTGTTCTTATATATGCAATTGTTTTTACTGTTTTTATAGTATATTGTAAATTGCTTCGGAGTACGTCACAGGGAACGATTTAATAAACGGAATAAATATTATGAGTGAGCAAAACCTTGCCTTTGCAGCATTTCACTCCTTCAAAAGATGTTTCATTTCCAGGTGTTTTCCCATCCCAGTGTGCACGCCCCCTTCCTGATTTTTCCAATGGAAAAGTTGAGAAGTCCTCATGGGGTGGAAAAAACCTCTCCTACCACAGTTCCCGCACCCCTCTGACCTTCACATATGTAGTCAGCACACTATCAAACTTTATCTATTAGCTGTACTGTCCAGCCTAGTAACAAAGCACGAAAGTTTTTAAACAGCTAACTAAAAGTAGCTGAAGATCAACATCCTTTGCTCAAAATCAAAGCACTGGCCTGCTTTTAGGAAAGTAAACTGAAGGTTTATAAAAACAGGATATTTAAGTGGTTTGAAAATCATCTACATACTAATAGTTCTAATGAATACTATGGATTCCCCCCTCCCCCCAAAAAAGTACCATACTTACACCCTGATTGGGTAGATTGTCAGTCTTAAGTTCTCGGTGATTGGAATACTGAATATAAACAGGCTGGCTGCGGAGGTGAGGAGTAACAGGAGTGTAGTAGTTCACCATAGTAACGGCAGCTTCTTCTGAAGCCATTTCTAAGAAAGCCTGCAATTAACACAAACAGAGGAACGTTATGATTGTAAAACCACTTTCACTTGAAAACAAACAAACAAAACAAACAAACAAAAACCATGCACAGACTGCTGCTTTTATATTTGCTATGTACTTTAAGAATACATCTATTTACAAAAGAAAACACTGTATTTTTTATTTATTTTTACTTCAAGTGGTTCCTTATTTTTATTACCGTACTTTTCGCACCATAGGACGCACCGGACAATAGGACGCACCTTGTTTTAGAGGGGGGAGAACAAGAAAAAAAAATCTCCCCTTCTCTGCCCAGCGCCCCTTCAGCGAAGCAGCAGGAGGCGCTGCGCAGAGAGGGGGAGAATTTTCCCCCTCTTGTTTTCCCCCTCTAAAACAAGGTGCGTTCAGTCGCCTTCAGGCGGCTACCTTGGAAGCCTGGAGAGCAAGAGGGGTCGGTGCACACCGACCCCTCTCGCTCTCCAGGCTTCAGGTTCCTTTCGACCTGCTCTTTGGGGCTGGCGGGGGGAAGCCCACCACCAGCCCCAAAGAGCAGGTCGGGGAGCAGCGGAAAGCTTCTATGGCTTCTTTAGCCCCGCACGCGCTCTCCCGGCTAGAGAGGTGGCACGCAGCTAAAGAGGCTCCTGCCATAGCCGCGCGTCACCTCTCCAGCCGGGAGAGGGTCGCGGGGCTATGGCGTCTTCGCTCCATAGGACGCACACACATTTCCCCTTCATTTTTGAAGGGGGAAAAGTGCATCCTATAGAGCGAAAAATACGGTATGTAAAGTGCCTTATTTCACAACTTGGAGATAGACAGGCATTTATCAATGTGTGACCCAACATAAGTTTTTTCAGATTTTATTTTCCTTTGTGCTCTCCAAACACCCAATACCATTATAACTGCTAAAGACATTGCAGGAAACAAATAAAAATATTTTTGTTTAAATGACACAAGTTTTCTATATTTCTAGTGATTTCCCCCAAAAGCGTTTGTTTTTTTTTCAAACTTCACAACTATACAGTGACCAGCTTCAGATGTGATGAAAAACCATCTTTTTCAGCAACCAGGCCTTTGGCTGAATAGCATCCTATGTTCCTTCAAATGTGTTTGTGGGAGGGCGTGGGGTGGGTTATCGGTTTGTTTTGTTCTTGCTTTTATTATGCATTTTGTGCTTTTATCTTGTATTTTTATGCTGTGAACTGCCCTAAGATCTACAGTTGAAGGGCAGTACAGTATACAAATTTAATAATAATAATAATATTCCTCTATAAGAGCGCACCTCAGAATTGCACGTTCCCTTCTTCTACCTCTTTTGTACACCGAGAAGAAGGGATTGAAAGCTTCCACTTCTGATATTAAAGCCATCACAGGTCCCTGACAGGTCCAAATTTTGAGACATGTGTTTTGTTTAAAACTATGGTCTGAGAGCAAAGCTACGATACAAAATTACACTTTCGTGGTTCATGCAGCTGAAGATTGAGGACACCTGCTAGTGACCTGTGCTCTTGGACTGCAAATGGCAGGCAGCTCCCTGAAGGGCTGGAGAGATACTGCAGAGAACTTCTTTGTAGCCCAGGAATCATGGTCAATAGCCCTTTGGGGACTGGGTGTGGGCTAGGCGATAATCTGAGTAACTTCCTGGTTTCAGGCACATGCTTGGTTTATTTTAGAGGCAAAACTATTGTGAGACAATTGGGAGATTTGAATTGCTCAACTCTTAACTATTCCACTGGATACTAGCCAAATAGCATACGCTACATGAACTACTTTTTCTTGTATTTTGGGTATTTACTGCAAAGTATATACATACCTGGCTCTTGCCCTTCAACATCAAGAGATTGGTTACTTTGCCAAAAGGTAGACCTAGAGAAATTATTTCCGCTTCAGTGACGTCATTTGGAATTTTACGAAGATGAAGGACTCGAGAAGGGGAGCAGGGAGATCTGTCTCCTTTAAATTTTTTGTTGTCATTCCCATTAGCTAAGATATAAAGAAACACTTCAGATAAAAATGTATACTTTAGCATTGCTAAAAATTTTGCTTGCTGTGCGGGTCACAACATCAAACCACCTGTACTAAGCAATAACAAGCTTTTCGTTTCCTTATGACATTTGTGTTTGTTCACTAATCTCTAGCTCTAATCACAGGAAGTTCTAATTCTGTTTTAGATAAAGTCTGTACGGGTTTATTCCAGTCAGAGAACTTGGGAATTTTTCTTTTGGCTCACTAGTCACTCTAGGAAATCATGGTAACTAATTCTACAGCAACCAAAAGGGCTTCAGCAGCTGGGCCTGTTATTGAGCATCTTTCACAGAGAGGTTTATAAGCATATTACCCAGCTACTGGCTGCTTTGGAACTTTATAAGAGTAAAGCCCCCTAACATCATACAAAAGCATCAAGAAAGGTATTGCAGGAGAGATCAACGCTCCAGGGGAGATTGTGAGAAAATCAGAGCATGAGAGTCAACAATGCTACAGCCTGTTTTGACGATGGGCCTTTTGCTAATCTATACACTAATAGCATCTTGGTTGATTCTGCAGACAACCAATTTACAGTACTGCACAGAGGATCTTAAGTGTCAATAAAATATATTTTAGCTTTGCCAAAAATGGAAGAGGAGGATCACTGATGCCCACCCTAGATTCCTGAACTAGCACATGCACAGTAGCCATGGACTGACTTGGCAGGCAATGTCTGACTATGTTAGGAAGGGAAAGAGTGGGTGAGTCCACTATCTGCTCACACAGACATCCTGAACGAAGTGAGGAAGCCTCCATTGCTGCTGCCAGCTCACCAGGCATGGGAAATGGGCCAGTAAACCAGATCAGCAGTAAATTATTGCAGAAGCCTATTGCGTAAAGGCGGTTTGTACATGTGCTCATAAGCGTAAGCTTGATCTGCCTGGGGTGAATATATCAGGCTGTTTTGGAAGTAGCGGATCTCTATGCAAGTCACTTCTTCAGAGGTGGATTTTAGGGGTACACCTGAAGGAAGCATGCAGGACAGGACTGAAGACTCTCCATTCCTCTGCTTCAACTCTTCCGTTTTTGCAGATTCTCTCTGCAACTCCTCCAGATATGCTACGTCACTTTTTCCCAATATGGAAACCAGAATGACAATATTCAAGTACTGAGAAAAACGACCAATTGCAAAGTATTATGTTAACGTTCCTTTGCTATGTACAGCTCTGCCTGTTGAGGTTTGCTTAACTGGAAAGATTGTTCTCAAATGCATTACTGTTTTCTCAAGTTTTGAGAAAACCTTTTTGAAATTACTAGGGCAAGGGGCTGACTGAAGAAAACCTTTGATTGACCGTTGAGATAATTCAAAAATTAACTGCAAATGGTTTATTATTTTATTTATTTCATAAAATTTATACACCACTTGATTGCAGAAAACCATCAAAGCAGTTCTTAGTGCACTTTTTTTAATTAAGAGCAATAAATGATATTTTCATGCCTGCTTTACAGGTAATTCAAGATCTTTCATAGCCTCTTTTAGACCTAACTAGCTAAAATAATTTGACAGCATCTATAAATTCACCATTTCATACCTTTAGCTGATAATGGAAGGCTATCTACATAAATAAGGCTGTTCACTGGAACACTGTTCGTTGTTCCATGGGGAATCCAGCGGTTCCCAAATGTTTTTCCCCATGGACCACTTGAAAACTGCTGAGTGTCTTGTTGTAGGAATAGGAATGCACTGCTAGATGCTGTACGGTTTATCTGTATTTTTACAGACAAGCCGTGTACCACCTGAATAAACCTTATAGACCACTGGTGGTCCACAGAGCAGAGTCTGAGAACTTTCCCAAACTTCCTCTTCCTTCTCATTTTGAAGCTGATTACAAATTATTCCATGCCAATTATGCGCAGGGAAAACTCTTATGCAGATGTTACATTAACCATAGTTATATCTTAAAGGGAGTAAGAGAGAATGCTCACACAAGAGGGGAGGAGCGTGTGAGTCTGGGGAGACTCCCAGTTTTAACCATGGTTAGATTAGGCAGCATTAAACTAAAGAACGTGTTATGAGTGAGTTACAATATAAGGCAATGGGAATTCAATAGCTATCTTGATCATTGGAGGCGTGTTCATCTACTTCCCATGGGTCCTTTCTTAAATAAGCCATGTGATAGACCCTCCACTGTTGCTACAAGCACAAGTCCCATGGAAAGTTGTCACACTGATCAAACTGGGGTGGTGGCAGCAATCCTTGGGGGTCTGCCTCTGCTTACGTTAACACACTGCAGAATAGCTTTGCAAATAAGTCCTCAGACGTGACCAGCTCATAAAAATTGAACTTTACACAGGAAACAAGGCGAGGGGCTATTTGCAAACCTGCTGCAAGGTGTGTTCTTTAATCATACAATCATACCTGTAGCAGGAGTAGAATTGCTCATGGTAAAAGGCCCGTAAGCGAAACTAGGTGGAAGAAGCTCATCAGATCCACGCTGGAAAAAATACCATAAAAGTAAAATGTAAAAATACTTGCGCCTCAAGTTTTATTGTAACACATGTATTTCAGCAACTTTTGATAACAGGAAGATTTTTGTTGAAGGAAAAACAAAGTTTTACTTTAAAAAAACAGTTTTATTGTGGATTGAAAACCACTATTTTATCCTATCATTTTATGCACAATGAAAATGTTTCAACATATTGCACAAAGAAAAGAATCCACCCTACCAACCATCTGAAGACAAATACTAGACCAACATTTAGATGGGTTCAACACTCACAGGCTTCCTCCACTTATCTAACTAGTCTGTTTTACACTCTCACTCAAGCTGGCATTCCCATATATACATCTAATATAAGGTTCCCTTTTTATCTCTCACATTTCTCACAAAACTATCATTCATATCTCCACACATTCTTGTTGAGGTCTCATATACTTGTTCAACAGAAAGGAAAAAACAGAAAGTCGCAGTTAACCTCAGCTTCCCATTTTGGGAACCAGGAACTATGGCTTCTTTAAAAAACGGCAGGATTTGGAAACAAACACATGGGAGATCTTTCAAGCCCCACAGGCTGTGCAGCATAAACAGCCCTATCCACTTGGCATGCCAAAAATGAAATAATTATGAGGTATAACGAGAGATTTCAATGCAAGAGTGGCTTGCTATGAACCACAGCCGCATTCTCACAACTAATGTATTTTTTCCTCTTCAACAATGGTTTCATAATGCTTAAATTTCTTTCCCTTGGCTCTAAAAAGCTGACAATGGTAGATAGCTTTAAAAAATAAAATAAACACCCAATAATAATAAAATATGAGAACCTTAAAATATGCCCCGCTGCCTGAAAATAAAACAACCCTCAAACTTGTGTTCTACACGAAACCTTGATTGACCTGGTTTGCTAGGGCAAACCATGGATTAGCACAAATGTGCAAGCATGTGGGCTCCCAGAAAGGACATTACAACTGTTTTGGGCCTCCCCAGTTTTGTTGCTGCATTGTGCCATGCTAATCCATAGCAGGGGTTCTCCCCCCCCCCCCACCAGGGCCCACTTAAGAAGTATGAAAATTACTGAGGCCCACCAGCCACAAAAAGGCAATGCAGAGGTGGAAAATACTTTTTATTTTTGCATTTCCCAAACATGTCACTTAAAATATTTTTACACATCTCCTGTAGTTTATTCTCCCCTTCCCCTTTCACACTTAACTTGTATTCTATTTCCCCATAAACTACTTCTTTCCTCCTTCCTCATTGCAGCTTTTACATTTTTTGTCTTCTCTTGGCTTGTTCCTTTCTATTCCCAATTATTATTAATACACATTAACCGTTTATCTGTCTAATATATTTGACACCTGCTGTGCCCCTTTCCCCTTAAGAGGAATACCTCGCTTTCCTCCCACACTGAACTGTTGTCTTCTAGTCACCAGTTTGTGGGGAGATGTTGAAGCTGGTATTGTTCCAACGAGAAGGCTATGGCACAGCAAAGGGAGTGGGGTGTTAGGCAAGTGAGGAAGCACTGGGCAGGCTGTGGCCCTGAGACTCACCTGAAAGGAGGCAGGGGCCCACCATTTGTGAAACATTGGCTTAGCGTGTCATCCACCTGAACTCATGGTTTAACTTTCTCCAGACTAACCATGAGCAGGAACCAAGGTTTGCCTGTTAATAGCTTATGGTTGGTCCTGGAGATCTAAGCCAAGAGTTCAGAAGACATACCAACCAAAACTATGACTTAGTTCATTGGAGCACAACAACAAATGGTCAGGGAGAAGCAATACAGCTGTGGTAACTTCTCCCAGCTCATATGTTTGTACCAAGGGATCATGCGGCATAACGTGATGTGCAAATCAGGCTATTATGTGGAAGCAAAAATATGTCCTTTGCTGAAACACCATATATTGTTGCAAAACATTTAAACATGAAATTCTGAACATTTATGTGTGAAGATACTTCTGACGGGGGCTCAATTTTTCTCCTTTCCTTGAAGGACACTCCCCCACAAACATTCCAACTCTAGAAGATAAGAATTTTCCAGCTTTTAAGGGGCTGCAGACATAGGGGAAATCAGGGAACACTACTGCCATGTGCATGCAGAAATTCCTTCTATTCATGCAATGGGATCTTGCAATTCCAGTCATGATCTTGCTTACCATTTGCCATAACAAACCCCATTTGTGACTAAGCAAAAATGTGGATCGACTTGAAATACTAGTTGAGTAACAGTCAAGTAATTTTAGCTGTATTACACTTAGATCTACAGATCTTTTAACAATGGGGGGTTGCAGTTTAACTAACAGAGCCTGACAAGCATGCAGGTTAGCACGAAGCAGTTTCACTATAACCCTCAATGCCTCTTCTCTTTGAAGAGAAAAAAGTATTTTTCAAGGCTAGTGAAAACTTCATAGTGCATTGGCTATAGAGGTAATCAGAACTGTTACAACTGCATTCTCCAACGTAGTTCCTTCCACATATTGTTGGGAGTCAAAACTCCCATCATCCCTGACCATTGGCAACACAGGATGAGGCTGAAGGACTTTAGCCCAAAACATCTGGAGGTTGGTTGTTCTGCAGTTATTTTAGTTCAACAGCAAGTGGGAAAGTCTTCTCTAAATCAAGTTCAGAAAAATGTGTAGGGAACAGAAGCTCTGTTTAAACACTCTGCTACGTTGCATTCACACACCTCTTCTTTGTAAGCAGGACAGAAAACCGACACAGTGGAGTTTGACAGGTCTGGAAGCACATACTTAAGTTCACATGCCAGAAGGAATTAAAATCAGAAGGAATTCGCTTTCTTGGGTCTAAAAATTCCTGGGCTGCAGCTGCTCATCACGGCGATACTTGCAGGTTCAATATCTGTATTGCCGAGATCAGCAGCAGTTAGATGGAACAGCAGAGAATTAAAAGGCAGGTGGTTCACACATTGCATGACACTCTCTGCTTCTGCTCTGTCATTTTTAAATTCACATACAGAAGTGCCAACTTGAATAAACTACCGTATTTTTCCCTCTATAAGACGCACCAGACCACAAGACGCACCTAGCTTTTGGAGGAAGAAAACAAGAAAAAAAAAAATTCTGAATCTCAGAAGCCAGAACAGCAAGAGGGATCGCTGCGCAGTGAAAGCAGCAATCCCTGTTGCTGTTCTGGCTTCTGTGATAGCTGCACAGCCTGCATTCGCTCCATAAGACGCACACACATTTCCCCTTACTTTCTAGGAGGGAAAAAGTGAGTTTTATAGAGCAAAAAATATGGTATTTGGTGGTGGCAGGTGGCAAGTAAGCTCTGCCCCACAGAATCAATCACTATGAGGTGCACACACACCATTTGAATGGCAATGCTCATTAACTTTGGAGGGGGCAACCCCCTGAAATATTTTATGGGGGGGCCAAGGCCCCTTGGGCCCCAAGGAGTTGGCTCCTATGGATACACAAAGGTGCCATGTCTGAGAAAATTATACTTCCCTTACTCACAAAGTACCGCAACTCAAACCAATTAATTTGAATACTTACCCCCTACCCACATTTAATACCCCAGATTTTAACAGTCAATGATTTGGGCAGAGTATGAGGTTACATCTGTGTTAAATGGGAGGATTCTTGGTCCAGTGGGCCATACTACAAATAAGCAATAGTAAATGGATCACTATTTCAGAGAATAGCATAGTGAATCTAAGATCATATCAAGTTGTGCTCCTGGAGCAAAGGCTGGCAACCTGGTGCCCATAGGCACTGTGGAGCTTGCAAAGGCCTTCATTGGTACCCCGGGCATTCCCTGCAATGCCACTTGGTTGAATTTTATAGAATGTGCATGCACACTTCCTCTTAATTGGGACCTCTCTAATCTGTCTCCAATCTAGCATGTTCTGATGTCCTAGCCAAGTAGTAGTTTCTGTCTGTAGTAGTATCATGCTACTTGGGCAGATTGCTTAGGTCTTCCACTAAAAATAAGAGCAGACTTTACACAATGTTCCCCTTTTAACTACCACTAAGACAGGAACCCTTTGCTTAACCTGCCTGGCACTTGCCAATTATAATACTTCAAAATGTTTGCACATTTCATATCATTTACCTGGAAAACATCAAAGTTACAGGCAATAGAAGAGAGTGGGTTTTCCAATAGAAACTAAACTCATTGCAGACTACAAATATTTAATCAATCCTATTTATTTTTGCAGGCTATAAAATAAAGCCTCCTTGGAAGACCTGTTTGGGCTGGCCTTAAGGGCCCACGGGTTAAGTCAGCGAAGGGTGTCCTGACTGTAATAAAACCTCATCCCATCTCCCAAAAAGAATACAATGAAATTATCAGTAAAAATAGTAAAACGTGTATTTTGAAAATTCAAAAAATAATATCAACAATAAATGTGTGGGGACTGCTTTCAAGTATGCGTCACACAATTCATATGACTAACTCTTAAAAATAAATGGATTGGGTTTCTCATATGCATACACTGCTGATTAACTGACTGCTGTCATAAAGCAAATCCCTCTAGTTTGAGGCACAGGAGTCGAATTTCCAATTTCACCATAATCTAGTAAAGTCTATATTATGCCTTAATCACTCCCTAAATAGCTATGCACCAGAGTTAGAAGTACTTTTTACTTTAAATAATCTAAATCAAACATATTTCAAACCAGACGGCAGCACATCCTTAATAGATGTATGTTTTACGTTTAGTTCAAAATGAGGCAAAATGTTTGTCAATTTTTATTTCTTAAAAGTGTCATAGATGTGTAGTTCACTGTTACGGCTCATCCCTCCTCCTCCATTCTCTGTTGCAGTCTCACATTAACAGCCACCTGGCATTATCACAAACAGTCATTGATGCTGCAATACATCTGGAATGATAAGAGTGGTAGCTTCAAATATCTCAGATGTTTCAACATTTAGATTTCACTATGTGATTCCAAAGAAGATCTTCGTATTGTTGGCATATTTTATGTGAATAGCTGACATTCAAGTTCAACCAGACTAGAATATCCTGGTTCATACAAGTACAGCTATTTAGACAAGAGTGAGCAAAAAATTAGTAACCTGAGCTTCTGCACTAACATGTTTTCTTACAAAATGAACACAAACCATTATGACTCTTATACTCAGTGTATAGGAAATCAGAAACAAGGGTCTTGTACTATTATATTACAAACATCTACTTCAAAATTAATATTGATATACAAATCTCACATTGCTTTCAAACATTTATCTAGTCACCTATCTTGGGGGGGGGAGGAAAATTCTACCCTACAAGCAAACTTATAGGTAAGCTACATATATAAAACTGTTTTAATCATATTTAATGTTTAGGTCATATTGTAAATTGCTTTGAGGTGCCTCATGGGATGCAATTCATAAATGGAAAAGTAACAACAACAACAACAATAACAATAGGTGCTGAGAGAGAAGCACCCTTGGTAATCTTCCCCAGTCCTGCTGGAACGTGTTCCACTTGCCTGCTACTTTACAGAACTTCAATTTCAGCCTTTAGATATTAGTACAAGCTTGATGAAGATTTGTTCAAAATGCCATTAGGCAACCCTCTTCCGAAAGTGCCAAATGATGGGTTGGCTTGCTTGGTAATCTTTCACCTCAAGTGAAAAGGGCAAAAACAGCAAGAAACAATACTGAAATTTGGGATGAATTCAAAATAACTATCGGCACATTTTTTGGGGGGTACTATTTTAGGTCCAGCTGGGAACTCTTTAGAATGAAGTAACCTAACACAGGCAAAAGAGCTTCTGGTGTCACTTACATAGATCCCAAGATTTCCATTTTCCAGTATAAACAAAGTCCGTGTGGCGCAGTAGCCAGAGGGTTGGGTTTCAGTTCAAAAGTCCCGTTCAGCTATGAAGCCTTGAGCAAGTCAGCCTCAGCCTAAGCCACTCTCACAGGGTAGCTATGTGAAGCTACACTGCTGCTCTGAGCTCCTTGCAGGAATGCAAGAATGCAGATGCGAATCATCGTGAAGAAGAGCCATTTAGGCTTTAAGCTGGCCTCAGATGGTAAAAAAATCTGACAGAGAAAATGTAGAAGCAAAATATCGTGGTTGAGTTGGCCCTACATACATACCATTTCACGATGCCAAATTACCTAAATGAGATAGCAACAAGCTTTACTGACAACAAAGACGTCCCATTCCAATACTAGTCCAACAAGTTGATCAGCAATCTCCCTAGAAACAGGGCTGTTAAATTAACAGAGGGAGCAGCTGTTTCAGCCTTGCCTTCTCACTGGCACAGTTAGTTAGCATGCAGCTAGTTCCATTGTCTCATGTATCAATTATTGAGGCTGCCTGCTAGATCAGTAACAAGATACTATGGGCCTAACAAAAGGCACACAAGACTGTAATTAAAGAGCCAGTGGAAAGGATGCCTATAATTGAAGGAATGGCTTCAGCAACTATGTAAGGACTACAAGGAATAATAAAATCAAGATACCTAAAACTCAAGAGACTCTTCATTCACAAAGGCCTTAGAACATTTCTAGAATTCTCTTTTCACCAAGTTAAAGTATGAAATATACTTTGAGAAATTGGTGGTAATTTTTGACTGAGAAAGGTTTCATGTTAAAAAAAAACACCCCACTTTCAAGTACAGTGGTACCTCGGGTTACATTCGCTTCAGGTTACATTTGCTTCAGGTTACAGACTCCGCTAACCCAGAAATAGTACCTCGGGTTAAGAACTTTGCTTCAGGATGAGAACAGAAATCGTGCTCCGGCGGCGCAGCGGCAGCAGGAGGTCCCATTAGCTAAAGTGGTGCTTCAGGTTAAGAACAGTTTCAGGTTAAGAACGGACCTCCGGAACGAATTAAGTACTTAACCCGAGGTACCACTGTACAGGTTCAAGTTCAGGGGGTGGCCTCAATGATCCTACAGCTTTTGGTTCCCCAACCAGGAAAATGTGAACAGTGTGCTAAGTCCAGCTCCTGCCCTGGACAAACTGTGCTCATGAATTGTACTCATGTGTTTGCCCCTTATCTATTCTGCAAAGACGTAAAATGCAGCAGAAATTTGCAACGAACAGAGAAGTGGGCACCAGTAATGTTTGGGCCTGGAAATTTACCTCAATAGCAATACCATCGTACTTTGGAAGTTGAACGGAATCTGTTCCGGAAGTCCATTCAACTTCCAAAACGTTTGGAAACCAAAGCACAGCTTCTGATTGCCTGGGTTCCAAACGACGTTCACAAACCGAAACACTTGCTTCTGGGTTTGGAAGCCAAAACGTCTGAGGCATTCAGGATCCAAGCTACGGCCAACTGAACACAGTATCTGATATAGCAAACTAAATTGGGGTGGAGTGGGGTGGGGTGGGGTACATTTCTTTCTATTTATGTATTTATAACCTGCACTTTCATTAAAAATATATCGTGGTATACAACATGTAAGAATAAAATCAGTGAAAAATATCAAACACAACATCAGTAAGTACTAATCGGTTAAAGGAGAAAGTTCATATTGCACAGGCCTCTCTAAACAATATTGTTTTCAAAAGAGGGTGGAAAAAGTGGGGGGGATGGTTTTCTGCTAAACCTCTGCTAGAGTAGAGTTTCAAAGCACAGGGCATGCCATGCTAAAGGCTTGATCCCTAGTGAAGGCCAGCCAAACCTGAGGGGCGTGGGGAACCTGGATCTCAGTGATCAAGGAGGGATGTAACAATCCTTAAGGTACTTTGAGCCAAAGTTGTTCAGGACATTGTGAATTAACACAAGTACCTTGAACCTGGCCTTTTAGTAAATCGGCAACGAGCGCGGCTCTATCAGCAGCAGGGTACCACGTTGCCAGTTATCTATTCCTGTGAACCACCTGGTTGCTGCATCTGCGCTAGATGAAGCTTCTGAACCAGATACAGCCCCAGCCCCATATAAAAGTGTATTACAGTAATCAAGCCTTGATGTTACCAATGCATAGACCACTGTGGTCAGGCTACTGTGTTGTCCAGGAATGGTTACAGCTGATGTAGGAGTCACAGAGCTTCAAGAGACGAAGATGGATTGAAGAGCATCCCCAGATGTACCTGCCCCTTCAGAGGGAATGCAACAGATCTATCTCCCAGAAGCAGCGATCACCCACCCACATGGCCTGCATCTTTTCCAGATTCAACCCCAGTTTACTGATAAACATCCAGTCCACCACTGCATCTATAATGTACAGTTGTGACCAATGTTTTTTCCTATCTCATACCTACATATTTCCATTAGAAATGTGTAGTTTTTTGCCATCCCAGTTGAAGTCTCCTGGGCAACATATACAATGTGAAAGTCAGTCTCAAAATGTTTAGCTAACGAAGTGGAAAATAAGCAATTGAGCAACTGTAAATGCAGAACATCTTGGACTTTTAACACATAGCTGTGGAGTTAGTAGCTACATAAAACCAGAATGTGTATGAGTCACTTCAACATAATAGTCTAGTATTTGTATTTTTTTCATAGTCAAGTGATATTTAAATAAAGTACCCTTAAACTCACCCGTGATGGGGTGAGCTCCCGTTGTTTGGTCCCAGCTCCTGCCCACCTAGCAGTTCGAAAGCACATCAAGTGCAAGTAGATAAATAGGTACCGCTCTCGCAGGAAGGTAAACGGCATTTCTGTGCGCTGCTCTGGTTCGCCAGAAGCAGCTTAGTCATGCTGGCCACATGACCCGGAAGCTGTCTGCGGACAAACACCAGCTCCCTCGGCCTATAGAGCAAGATAAGCGCACAACCCCAAAGTCGTCCGCGACTGGACCTAATGGTCAGGGGTACCTTTACCTTTACCCTTAAACTACAATTCAACCAATTAAATAACTATTACCAAAAATTACTATATTACCAAAAATATAAGCAAGTTTGAGATGCTTAAGGAAATTGTAGTTTTTGTTAGAAGCAAACAGCATATTTAGGAGAACCAAACGTGAATAGTGCATTTAACCAACCGCTCCAACCATGAATATAGGCATTCTGGAAGTAGTTGACTAAAATTGTAATTTAATAACTCAATAATTAAATCAATACCCTAAACTTAAATAAAGTTAACAAGTGCCAACCTAACCCCAACAGTATTTAAACTCTAAATATCATGGAAACCACATTGATCATAACAGCACCTATACTGAATACAGTAATAAGAAGTGCTATGGGAGCAACTGCTTCTTTCCCATGTAAACTGCTTATTGCACACTGCTTATTATATACTACTTATAACTGTTCATATATAACTATAAAAAGGATGAAGTTAAGAACATTCAGGACTATTATCTCCCAGGAAGTCTTATTAGCTAAGTCAGTCCTGTTAGAAAACTCGTGTGATCCCCCACAGACACCGAAATTACAATACTAAATTTCAATGACAAATGACTACTCAGTGTCACAAAGCAGAAAATGTATGATAATTAAGGAAACAATGTTAAAATAAATGAGCAAAAAGGAACTAGGAGGCATATTTCCTCCATTTTAAAGTGAATTCTGCAAGAGTAAGTTATCAGATCCTGCCAGAGGAGCAAGCATTATTACATTCAAGAAAGAAAAATCCTAGTTGACAATTGTCTGAAAGCGATATTGTGATACACAACTCTATTGTTTACTCTTAGCAACCTTAAGAAAACTTTCAGGGATGGAAGGGGGTATCATGGTTGTTTTGAATAAATTTAGGTTGACATTGCATCTGGTTAATAACATACTTGTATGCCACTCAGGAATACACAGGTATACCATGACTGTGGAAGTGAGGTAACTAGAAAACATATTGGTTGTATCCTGGAATGAAGATGTCCTACTAATTATGGTTCTCACTTACTTGAAATAACAGGAAGAAGTTCTTAAGGCAACAAAACAATTGCTCTGGATTCTATGGTTAGAAATGAATTGCTCTGGATAAGAACTTTTCAAACCATATTAGAATGTCTTAGGGCTCCTTGGAAGCATATTACAGATTCCTCAGAAATCCAACAATAAAAGTGATAGACTAGATTTATGAAAAAATAACTTGTATTCCATATACCCAGTCAATGTGCATCCACAAGACTGTTTTTGTACTGTTGGGTGTTTGCATTCCAAGACTGCAATCATAACACCATTTACCAGGGGTGGGGGAGACCCACTGGATACAATAGGACTTACTTCTAAGTAGACATGGTCCAGAATGCACTATTATTTCTTGAACGCATGCACAAAGGATCATCTACAATATGCAGGGATCCCTTCTCAGAAAAGTATGGAAATTATTCCAAAAAGATGGCAAGTTTGAAATAACACTGTTCTAGCTAAATGGTCTGTCTGGTATGAAAATGAACTCTGCCTGGGAAGCGACCACAATAAATTTGAGCAAAAGATTGGTACTAGGCCTCTAACTGGTTAGTAAACTGTTAGCAACGGAAAAGAGGATCTGTTAGAAGGCTCAGTGTTCCAACAGCTGTCAATCTTACCTCTTTTCTCAATCAACCTCTTTTCTACAAGCAACCTCAAAAAATTAAATTGACCACAAACGGTCTGAACAGAGAAAGTAAAATCCAGAAATAAAATGTGCAATTCATCTGTAAGAAACCCAACAATTTCAAATGCTGTCGGACTCCAACAGGTGAGTGCTACTTCTTAACTTTCAAACTAATGAAAAATGTCTTTATTATGCTTCTGATGCTGAACCTAAAACTGTATAGATTCTGATTAGTAAGGAGTCCTAAAAGATAACTTTTCAAAAAGATAACATATATGCAATCTGTGTAACACCTTCTTTCTTATCACTGTACAATTCTATTCAGGTGTTCTAGTATGTTTAATCAACATACAAGGGGGAAGCAAAGACAAGCATGCTAGTATTGCCTGTCAGTTGTCCTTCACAAGCTGAAGTGATAACTTCTGCCGTGGGGAGCCTTCACAACTTGTGTAGGCTTCCCATTTGATTTAGGACTCTGAAAAACTGGGATGTAATCATGGGGAGTCTAAGCAAGCGGAGGGTGACATGGAGAGCAAGAAGGGGCAGTGCTAGAGTGCTTTCCCTTCCCCTTTCACCCCCATGGCGCTGTGGTCTAAACTTGCCAATCAGTAGGTCGGAGGTTCGAATCCCTGCGATGGAGTGAGGTCCCGTTGTTCGGTCCGTGCTCCTGCCAACCTAGCAGTTCGAAAGCATGTCAAAGTGCAAGTAGACAAATAGGTACCACTGCAGCGGGAAGGTAAACGGCATTTCCGTGCGCTGCTCTGGTTGGCCAGAAGCGGCTTAGTCATGCTGGCCACATGACCCAGAAGCTGTCTGCAGACAAACGGCGGCTCCCTCAGCCTACAGAGCGAGATGAGCGCCGCAACCCCAGAGTAGTCCACGACTGGACTTAACAGTCAGGGGTACCTTTACCTTTAAGCTGCAAAATGGACTGCCCCTCATAGCTTACAAAATTACAATGTGAGGGGGGGGGACAAGTTGGAGCCAGATAACATGCTTTATCTGAACCAATTCTTTGCTCTCTCTTAATTCATGAGACATTTAGACTCCAACAGCTTTGTTAATTATTGAATTAAACAGGCTTGCCTCCCAAATCTCAAAAGGCTACAACAACACTAGATTATATTAACCAACCTCCTGCAGTTACTAGATACCTATGTTATAATACAGCATGCAATTTGGTGGTGCTGATTAAGTAGAGTCTATGAAACTTACTGGCTAAGCTGCTCTGGAGTCATGGAATTTTCACACATTCAAACTGCCCGAGAAGAGTGTCAGCAAAACAAAAAAGTCACTATTTCTTCCCTTCCCCTTCCATAGACTTTACAAAATCCTACATATGCCTTGTACCCAAATCATAATGCAGCATACAGTATAGTAGGAAGAAAAGACCAAATACATTTCTTGAAACACTGAGGTGTTAAGAATTACTCGAGAACAAACTAGAGGGCAAGGCCCCTTAACCAAAAATCACAGTATTTATGTCTGGCAAATCTAGTTCTCTCTTCAGGTACCCTTTGAAGAGGACTAAAATGCACTCCTTCTTATTGTACTCTTAGAAGCTGACACAGGACTGCTCCTGACATTCTAGTGATATGCTGCTATCAAGCCTCGTGGATATCTGGCTACATGGAGAGTTGTGTGACTGAAGTACTTCCAACAGTGTTCAAATTAGGCAGGTGCCAGGCACATTTTGCACCTGGCTACTGGCCACTTCCAACTGAGTAAAGAAAATGTAGAGATAGCCAGCAGCAGTACAACAGCTAGAAAACAACAAACAGACAAAAAAGCAATGGAGAGATTCTGGAAATGCCACTATAGTATCTACACAGAACAAGCAGGGAGCATAGAGTTATTGCGAAGCACTCAATATAACATAAAGCTGGGTATTTTCTTGCCTCATCAGATGGACAATTCAGACTAATGGGGGGGTACTTCAAAGCACTTACTGACAGTGTGCACCCAGATGCCAGAATTTCGGTACCTTGGCACAAAATTTAATTTGTACTTTAGCATATACAGCCCCAATGATACCATCTATATAGCATGAGCATGCACTAAACTTATTTAAAACTTAAGTATCTTTAAGACTGGTTATGTTTTCCAGTTATGTGTACCTGCATCCCATTTTGCTGTAAAAATGGGTTACTATGCAGATAATTGAAAATATATTGCACAAATATTCAAGATATTTATTTCAAGTCCTATTACAGAATTGGTTCTGCCTAACTAAAAACAAACAAATCCTGAGTCCAATAATCTCTTATAAATATTTCATAACATGCAGCGTGGCTTCCTTTTGAACTCAAACTATAATATTTTGCCAGGTTCACTTCCATTTTGTCTTTAAATCTTATGGGATGTTAAGTAAAAACAATGACTCAACAGATAATGAAATTTGATCCAAATCTAGTCTTTTAAACCCTGACGTCTAAAACCAGTCTTTTATTCCTAAAAAGTGATCTCCGTGTCCTAATAAAGTTTACCTCTTCAGAAAACTGTATACAATTTATTTCAATGTATAAAATATTGCATAATGTTATTTCCCCCCGAAAAAAAATTAGCCATGACTTCTTTATTCTTTTGTTAGCTTGTATATTTTCAGAGGCTTGCATAAAAAGTTTTCATATTTTGTCTACTTGTTTATCTGAACAAAGCAATTACGTTTTCTAAGGCTCAAGTCCTGTATTCTTACTTGGGAGCAAGTCTCTTTTAGGTAAAGGAACTGACTTCTGAGTAGATACAGTGGTACCTCTGGATACACACACCTCTGGTTGCATATCCTTCGGGTTATGCACGCAGCAAATCCGGAAGTATTTTCCCAGGTTTCACCGCACACGCAAGCACAGAAGCGCTCTACCGCGCCATGCACATGTGCAGAACAGGCACCTCCAGTTGTGAATTCCTTGGGATCCAATCGGAGCTCTGGAATGGATTCCATGAGCAACCAGAGGTACATATTGAGCTGTAAAGAACATAATATTAGGGCACTATCTTTTACTGGCATACGTGGACTACAATTTTCTTTTGAAGCTGCAGCATTCAACAGCTTTGTGATGTACAATAAAAGTATGTCTCAGTACTGATCGTGAACACAACAAGCCATTTTCAATGCAGCAGCTACAATGGCACAATGGAGCAGTTTCCTGTGAACCCTCAAAATCAACTGGGGGGGGTTGGGGTTGGGGAATCCTCCAGAGCAGATTTTGAGGGCATCTAGGGGCATGAGAGGAGGCAGAAGTTCCTTTCCAACAGTGGAACTGTGCAAGTGGAGCACTGGAAACAACCCAATATATTCCAAGTCTACAAATTACACGGTAGCCTTCATTTTATGAGACAAAGAAATAAAAATGCTGTTCTTACAAACATCTAAAGAGCACAGAGCAGCTAGGGGGTTAGCTAGAAGTCTTTAGCAGAACTGAAGTTCAGAGACTGCTATAACGTATTAGTCACTTGACCTTTAAAATTCAGTTTCTGATGATCTGATTTTATTAATATGGCCTGCATAGGTCTAGAGTACAATGCTTTAGATAGTTATTATTAAGAACTAATTCTTAAATCCAGCATTTTGGTCATTAGGATCTGAAAGCAACCAAAGTATGGAGACTCAAAACCATCGCTATTAAGTATCTGCTTTTCTCATTTGACAACTTACAAGCAAACGAAAACACTTTAATCTCTGGGCTACAAATGACAGCAAGCTGAACTGGAAGAAACATAATTGTAAATGTGTAAAAAAAAACTGTAGAGACTTCTTTGGGAGGGGAGGGGAATCAGACTGAAACAGAGCAATGCCACAAAAGCAAAAGATGTGTATGAATACCAAATCTGAAAATAAAAATGGAGTAACAAGTGCATATGAAAGGACAGAAAAAGATGCCTACCTTTAAACCGACTGCTATAAGATCTGTAACAACACTGTGTGAAAAAAAATGGGAGAAAATGGAAAAGTTAGAAAAATAGTTATTGCACAGGCAGTGGTAAATAAAGCTTAAGGAAGAAAAAATATCAGAAGAATGAAATGAGATATGGAGCGTTTTGCAAAAGAAATGGGACAGTTTAGTAACACACAGTATGAGAAAAGGAAAGTTTAGTTAGAACAAGTAGTAAAAACAAAAAACAAAACCCCTTTACACAACTCATTAAAGGAGTTTTTAGACACATCTATTACACAGGAAGTAGTGGAGACGTTTCCTTTACAAGCCAGACACATTTGGATTAAATTTCTACTGCTTTTTAGGGTGGGAAACCGTATGAAACCAGGAAAAGTGAAATACTCCTATAGCAAAGTTATTACTTCTGTACTGTACAATAAAATGCAAGAACAAGAGCACACATCCTACATTGTCTCCTTAAGGGTAATGAAGTCTAGCAAAATTATGAAAAGTAGTTCCACTTCTCTCATATTCCTTTCCATGCCCAGTCCGTTTGTGGGATGCCATTGCCATTCCATCGTAAAGATGATACAGCAGACAGAAGCCACTGAGAAACAGATGGATAGGATCTTTCAAGGAGATTGTTCTGCAGTAGGGCAATAGCTTCTCCAAACAACAAAATATAACCCTGGCATCCAAGCCCAAGCCCTTAAACATCTTTCAACAAGAACCAAATGAAGGCAAAATTTAAGTGAAATTTAAATTACCTTGAGATTAATCCAACAACTAATCATTTACTTCTGTTCTTCCTACACTCTACTGTATCAAACAATTTATGTGCAGAGATATGCTCATGAAAGAAGAAAATGATTTTCCCCATCAGTATGTCTCAGTACAAAAAACCAAGTGATCAAGCCATGTATCATGTACCTAATATGTTCTATCAAACCCAGCTAAGAAATTTGCTCACCATAAATAATAATAATAATTTATTATTTATACTCCGTCCATCTGGCTGAGTTTCCCCAGCCACTCTGGGCGGCTCCCAATTGAGTGTTAAAAACAATACAGCATTAAATATTAAAAACTTCCCTAAATATTATCATATTTAAGCTTGATATATTCTAAAGAATACAACCCCACCATGTCACTTCCTAACCAACACTGAGTAGAAGTTAAAGCCACAGCATCTGGCCAGTAATTCACCGCAGCAATCAGCACCTGCTCCCCTAAAAGAAAGAATTTGGGAAATGGAAACCTGGATGTGTATCTCCTCTTCATCTCATCTATGACTCAACTTCACATTCATTAATACTGCTGCTTGTGAGCAACTACTTGTTATTTTCTCATCTTCTCCAAACTGCAGCCCAAATAAGAGCTCTAGAAAGAGATGTGTGCTACTGGGCACTCTGGCAAGCAGACTTATTATTGTTTTCTATAAGCAACAGACAACCCCTTTCTTCTAAAGATCCTGCCAAATATCAGGAAAGAGGAGCAAAATGCAGGCTGTTCCTATATGTAGATGAGATCCTCTGTGACCCTATGTATGCAGCCCACTGTTGTGAGCGCTAGAGGGATAACACATTCTAGGCAGAATGTGTGCTCTTGCTTGGATGATAGAAAATACTTTTGTTCTTGCTGAAAGATGCAAGATAATCTGTGTTGTACGGAACTGTAACTGCTAGCTAAAACTGAGCAAGACTGTTATTTGATTTGCGAAAATGTGATGCAACATTAATCAAATAACCGCTTCCTTAAGTTTATTAAATTCATAGATGCATGGTAGATAGTGAAATGATACAATGAATAGAGATCTTCACCTTTGCCAAACACACCCACACCCAAATCTCTAAGGTAACAAACTACTTCTGATAGGATTCGCTTCATCTATCAGTATCACACGTAGCTTCATCTATCAGTATCACACGTAGCTTATGCTAACCATGTGCAAATAAAACAAAAGTAAAGGAAAAAACACAAAACCAGAATACAAATATTTATATGTAACACACAACCCATTATAAAGTTTATTAAACTATACAGAACAGTTGGGTAAGCAAAGATACAGAATTAGTTTCATATGTGATAGTTTCAAATATGTTCACCGTACAGAGATGAATGTCCCTAGTAAAAATACTAAAATTCGATACAAATGAAATGATTGATGAACTTTGGGTTTTTCCTTTAATTTTGAAATTGATTTTAAAAGAAAGAAAGAACAGAGATAAAGGAAACAGGACAAAGACAAAATAAAGTTATTGCAAACTTGTGTCAGATTTGGAACACAATCAAAATAACTTATGCCTCTCTGAGAAACTATGTCTTTGAGCAGCATTTTAAAATATGTTACATTTGTTTTCTTTGTTCTTTCTAGTACTATTATTACTGTACTATTTTTCTATTAATTGACATGAAGACCTGCATAATCAAGGAAGCTGGCACATTGTGCAAGGTTAATATTAATATTTAGATTTTTGTTTGATGATTTCTGGATGCAAATTGTGCACAACACATGCAAGCTATTGCAAAGATGTGAGCAGCTGTAGAACTGCTATGTCAAAGCAATACTTCAAGTTTACACCGAACAAGACCCTTGCATTGCACCACCGCTACACATTTTCAGCCGCAACTTTCACTGATGAAGAATGTTTGCTCTCAAGCCAACAAGAGAGTGGTTGGATCCATAAAAATGCTGGCAGAGTGGCATGCTCATCCCCAGGAGCTCACCAAAAAGTCTCCCCCAAGGACCCTGGAGGACCCTACAGAATGGAGTGGGCTGTAGTGGCCATGGGAGGATGTCTGGCAAACAAAGCAGAGTACATGTTATAATAACCACAGTTGGCTCCAGCACCGAAGGGAAGGCTGCTTTCAGTCTGCGCCAAACCACTATAGCAAGATGGACACCCAAATTATACACCTGGTAAGTTCAATTTAATAAATAAGGTCATTTGTCCTATTAAGCACTTGCAGGTTCAGTTGACACTATTCAACAGAAACTTTTTTAATGTCAGGAATTACCAGAAAACATCAGCCTGAGTACAGGCCAAGGAGTCAAAATGTGCAGTAGCTTTAAACTGCTATCACAGATCACTCAACTAAAGTAGAGTCTCTTGAAACAACAATAGTACAACAAATCAATTTGTATACTAACAAGATTCCTCTCATCTGTGCAACCTAGTTCTTTTACTTGAACAACAAGTAGGGGAATATGGGAAGAAGAAGAACGGTCAAATCAGGTCACAATAATATTTATTTTTTTTGTGCAATGACTAGACTATGGCTGGGTGATGCATAGACACACCATCCAAAATCAATTTGAAGTCTACATTGTGATAACAGTTTCATAAGATTCGACATGGTGATATATTGTGAATCACAATGTGTGTGTGCGCGCTATGTAAAAAATTGTGATGTGGTAACAACTGTGAAGCCAGTCATCATTTCTTTCGTGATTCCTGCCACAGTGTCTCTCTGTACAAGGGGTCAGCAACCTTTTCCAGCCATCGTCCCTCAGACCATGTGGTGGGCCGGACTATTTTTTTGGGGGGGATGAATTCCTATGCCCCACAAATAACCCAGAGATGAATTTTAAATAAAAGGACACATTCTACTCATGTAAAAACACGCTGATCCGCATCCAGCCCATGGGCCTTAAGTTGCCTACCCCTGCTCTGTACTATAAAATAACAATTGTAACAATACGCTAAAGGTAAGTAATAGTGTATCAGTTTTAGGCCCCTAAAATAGTAGCAGTTGCCAGGACTTCACTTCATTTGCCTCTACATACAGTGGTACCTTGGGTTACATACGCTTCAGGTTACAGACTCTGCTAACCCAGAAATAGTACGTCAGGTTAAGAACTTTGCTTCAGGATGAGAACGGAAATCGTGTTCCGGCGGCCCAGCGGCAGCGGGAGGCCCCATTAGCTAAAGTGGTGCTTCAGGTTAAGAACAGTTTCAGGTTAAGAACAGACCTCCAGAACGAATTAAGTACTTAAACCGAGGTACCATTGTACTTACATCAGACATTGTGATATATAGGCAGTCCCCCGTTTATGCGCATTCAATGTGTGAAACCGTATATATGTGCATTGCACTGAATTCGGAAGAGACCCGGAAATGTCATAAAGACGTTACTGAAACGTCACTAAAAGGGTGGGTTGGGGGCGGAATGGGATGTTTCCGGGCTTTTTCAAGGGGTTTCGGTTATACGCAATTTCACTGACGCGTGCGATGCGTCAGAAGGTAATCCACGCATAAATGGAGGGCTGCCTGTACTGGTATATTGCAATCTTTACCTGGTGATATATCACGATGTTGAAAACCAGCCACTGCTCAACCCTAGACTAGATTGAGCTCAAATTAGGAAGTTTTTGCAAACTCTTTGTCATCCGGTGTACAATCCATCTGTAGGTTTTTTACTATTTTACGTAGTAAAATGGTTCACACAAGAATGCCCCTCCCCCCCAAAAACTCATGAAATGCCCCACAAGAACCACATCAATGTCACCTGAACACATACACACTGTACCTGATATTCAGGTAACAGCACTTCTCTCCCCAGCAGCTTCATTGACAATAAAAATACTTAACCTATTCCTAATAATGCTGCCACACAAAGCCACACCATGGCTCTCAAACCTATGTGTCCATATCCCAATAAAATGTACTATCTTGGATTCTCCATATCCACATAGCCAAGCAGTCATTCCCCTCATTCAAATATTGCAACAATCATGGATGAAAACCCACTTTTTTCTTCCCCCAAAAAGGTTTGATTTTTGGGTGGGGGTGGGTGTTAAACACAAATATCCTATGCAGAAGCATCTTAATCTGAAGTCATTTTACTTACAAATCTAATTGGTTTTGTGAGAAATACAACAAATTCATAAATAAACATATTGACATTTGTTGCTATCCAATTACCATATTTTTTGCCCAATAGGACTCACCGTCCCATAAGGCGCACCTAGTTTTTTTGGAGGAGATATAAAGGGGGGGAAATTATTTTTCCCCCAGGTGCGGGGCTGGGGCGGGGGAAGCCCGAGCTTCCCCCGACCCCAGCCCCCAGAACAGGCAACTCTCCGCAAGCCGTGGGAGCCCAGTGCCGGGCACACAGTGCCGGGCACACATGCTGACTTTTGAAGTCATTTTATTTCCAGCATATTAGCACCACTGGGAATGAACAAAACACATTCAAGTCCACGTTTCTTCTAAAAATGAATGATAGCTTTTAGTAAATGTTTTGCTAAGTATCTACGTTGATGTTTTGGTGATACGTAGATATATCAGTTGCCTGAAAGGCAGAACAAAAAACCATTCAGCTCTATTATTTAGGTATCAAAGTAAATTATTTACATCCCTTTAAAAAAATTGGTTTGGTTTGTTCTATATGACAAAATATGTAACATTCGTTTTTTTTACAATTAAAGGGTTATTTATTTGCCTCTTAGCAATTGTTCACCCTATCCATCAATATGAAAGATACCGTATATAATTTTCATTAACTTTAATTGGGGAATACTCCCTTCAGCCATTCAACAAACTAAAACGAAGCAGAAATGTTACACAACACTCTAGTACCTAAAACTCACCAAGTAAGGTTCCTGAGCACCATGCATTAATGCATTCTAGATACAGTGGTACCTCGGGTTACATACGCTTCAGGTTACAGACTCCGCTAACCCAGAAATATTACCTCGGGTTAAGAACTTTGCTTCAGGATGAGAACAGAAATCATGCTCCGGAACGAATTAAGTACTTAACCCGAGGTACCACTGTACTTTTGTTACACAACTCACACCTCACCCACACTGCAGCTTTACTATAAGTAAAGCCACATACCAATAGACATCTTGCCTCACTGTAATTAGCTGAATTAAGCACACTGACACCCATTTACAGCATGACTTGAGCATCATTTCTATGTTAAAAACTTGCACCTTTGAACCAATTTCCTATACTCTTAGGACACCACTATTGCACAGACAGACTTCCCCTTCCCCCCTTCACATCTGCTCTGCTGAGCCTCCCAGACCCCCAGAGCAGATTTTGGGTCAGTGTCGGGGACTGGATGGGAAATCCATTGTATCAATGAAGCCTGTTCCACAGGCAGAGGAGACACATTAGATTTCATTCTTAATACTTACTTTGCCTCCAGGACAAACTGCAAGCCCACTATAAGTGAAGTGATTGTGGTGGGGAGCGAGATCACAAGATAGTTGTAATGACTGGCATGTAATACTTTTATGTATGTCTACTTAAAAGCAAGCTCCTGTGAACTCAGCGGAATCAACATATATAGTGTTAAACTGCCAGCCTGCTAAGAGTGTTGCAATATGACCATAGTTCCAATTTGTTTCTAAGAACCTGCCCTGTAACCAAGTTGCTTCCGATTCTTTTCCTGGTGACTGGGTCTGAGGAGGCAGCAAAACTGACTCCATCAGGTTAGCTGCCTCCAACTGCCATTTTGCTTCCTTGTTTCTCAGAAGTGCCTCCTCAGCAGCCATTTCAACTGGTCACTACAAGTTGAACTACACTAACTTTAAGAATTGATGTGTTGAATGTGCTTTATTGCTTTCATTCCTCTTTCCTTTAATACGATACGTCTAATAAACATTATGCCTGTGGGCATAGCCTGCCTCCTTTCTTTAATCAAAGTACAGAGCTTAGAACAGTCTAAGCACTGCAGAAATTATGGTGGATGGTTTTTGAACTTGATTGGGAACTTGGCACAAGATGGGTGGTTTGTTTTTGTTAAAGGGAAATTATTCTCCTTAGTCTACCTATAAAAATCTCATGTCCAAGCCAGAAGTATGCTTTAAGGGTTTAAATATGGTGTGGGTGAGGTTGCAGTGACAACTTCTGAGAAGTATTGTGGACCTTCTGCATCACAGCCTTTGTATTAAGTATACATCAGGCTGATAATCGTTAGCTTAAAACTGCCTAAAAAATCATGGCTAAGTACAACTTTGAACTCAAATTCAATGCTGGTATTCTAGCAAACAGACCAAAATTTCAAAGCTTTGTTTTACACTTAGGTAAAGGTAAAGGGACCCCTGACCATTAGGTCTAGTTGTGACCGACTCTGGGGTTGTGGCACTCATCTCGCTTTATTGGCCGAGGGAGCCGGCATTTGTCCGCAGACAGCTTCCGGTGGCCAGCATGACCAAGCTGCTTCTGGTGAACCAGAGCAGCACACGGAAACGCCGTTTACCTTCCCGCCGGAGCGGTACCTATTTATCTACTTGTACTTTGACATGCTTTTGAACTGCTAGGTGGGCAGGAGCAGGGACCGAGCAACGGGAGCTCACCCCATCACGGGGATTCGAACCACCAACCTTTTGATCAGCAAGTCCGAGGCTCTGTGGTTTAACCCACAGCACTACCCGTGTCCCTGTTTTACACTTAGGAAGTGGCTAACCTATACCTACTTTATATAGTGAAGTAAATATAAAGTACTTTGCACACTTTGTGTAATCTTCTCAAGCAAACTCAGAAACCATAGTTTAGCCATTTCATTTTTATAGGTGGGCACCTAAGCAGAGCTGGTAGAACCAAATTCACACCTAAAAGGGGGTTTGAAGTTTGTCTTCTGGCCAACCTCTTCATACTGTGTATAACTATAAACTATGGTGTATAATTTATATCAAGTAGGAAATACATCTTTTAACAAATAAGACACATGTAACTAAGAGACCACCAGACACTTATTGAAATCCTGAGAATATCAGTTTCCTTTGTTTGAAATGTGCTACAATCCATGTATTTGCAGAAGAGTACCTGAAAGGGTTAAAAATGCAGGCTAATTATATTTGGGGTTTTTTCATTTCACAGTTTTGAAGATGGAAAAACACATTTGGAACACTTGTGCTTAGCAGTATCAATTATTCAGCTTACAAGGAGAGGTGCTGCTTTTATGCAAGATACTGGGGTTTTTATTAGAAATGATACACAAATGTGCACTCTAAACATGGTATAAATCATGCATCTACACTGCATGCTACTGATTCACTTTAAATTTCTGAGAAAGCTTGTGCTCAACTACCTATGGTATAACAGTATGAAAGTCAGCTTTCCACAATATGACTTATTAGTGGGGATAAATCATGTTGTATAAAGGTTAGATTAACCCCAATGATGTCATGTCTAGATGAAAACTGCTAAGGTATATTTTTAAGAGTTATTAAGTAACAGAATCCTGAAATGCATATGCCATAGAGAAACACTGATATTCAAGTCGGAGGTGAAGATTGCAATCCTGTATCTAGATTCCTGGGAATAAACCACATTGACCTCAATGGGAATTGCTTCTCAGTAGACATGCTTCACTCAGTAGTGAATCAGATTGCACTCAATTGTACAATTCATAATCCTGTATCATTTATTACTGATTTATTTATTAAACTGCACACCGCTTGATTGTTGAAAGCCCTCAAAGAGGTTTACAAAAAGATAAAATAAAAGTGTGCTTCCAAAAAAAGTAATGGAAATCTAGGCTTAGCAACTAATTTTATGAAGCAACCCACTCATATTTATGCATAAGAGCACTGAGCCTTCTCAAAGTACATATGCTTAACTTAAATGCCAGTTTGGAGACTTGTTTACAGTAACAGAAAGCAGAAACTTACAGCACAGGAAAACATACTACAAAACATGAACTGTTTTATCTGATCTTCATCACTAATAAATACCACCCAACTTTTCATGCATGCTCCACCAGGCAGATACTCTTGATCTGCACACAATGGTCCGAAGAATGAGCACCCACACTGGCTGCCAACAATCAAATGACCAATGTGCACATAGACACACTACCAACCAATATATTCTCCATGCACATGTGTGTGTAAATATTCTCCACAAATGAGTCACCAAAATATTCACATGTATTTGAGGGGTGGGCTGGGGGGGGGATCAGAACCTGAAATGTACAAGGCTATCAAAACCCATGGAACTTAAAACACACATTTGAATTTTGCGTTACAGTCGGGACAGAAAAAGCTGAAATTAAGAAAACCACCATTGCAAGGCAACATCCAGAGAGAAAAGGTACAGGTAAGCCTTTTCCAGAGGCTGATTTAAACACCTGAAGAGCAAACACGACGGGGTCTGTTTTCATTACTGCGTGTGACTAGAGTTCCAATTAATTAGTTAATGGCCTTCACCAGTCCCAAGGCGAGATTAAAGCGATAAGCTTCTCCAGTTGTTGCTGATGACTGCGCTTTACAAGGCTACTACAATATCTGCTTAAGAGGAGGAGGAAAGAAATCTGAAGGGGGGGCAGAAACACCGCGAGTCACGCTGCAATGTTAGAAGCGGGCGCGTCTGCAACCTTTAACTTAAGGCGGCGCTCTCTATTTCCTGGTTCTGCTCTTGCGCAGCGGCGGAAAAGCCACGATGCGCTCCGGCAACCACCCCCTCTGGTGGGAGTCTCCCCGGGCTCAACGAGGAAGCGCTCCTCCCGCGGCCTGCTCTCGCTCACCCCCTTTCCCCACGACCAGCAAGCTCCGTCTCCTTCGCAGACGCGTTTCCCCCGCGCAAGATGCGCCACGCGCCTTCCTCCCTCCCCAGAACATCGCCACGCTTTCCTTCCTCCGCGCGAGCGACTCGTCGCGCAAAGGGAAAACTGTTGCCCACCACACCTGACCCGCAGCAGCTGCAAAAGGAGAGAAGCAAGCAAAACAAAACGCCGTCCTTGCAAGCCTTGCAACTTAGGCTCGTCTCCTTTACTGCTGTCGCAACGAGAAAGAGGAAGAGAGAGCGGGGTGGGGACGGAGAGAAATCTGTTGCTCTTGTGGGAGGCTTCCTTTTTGGAAGGAGGAGGGAAAAAAAAGAAAGATCCAACAATGGCCAGCGAGGAAGGGACGGAGAGAGACTTAAAAAGTCGCCCCAGCCAGCTGCACGGCCCCGAGCGCAACAAGACGTAAGAAGTTTTCGAGGCGGGCTCGTCACGCCGTACCTGGGGGAAAAGTTGCGCGCTCGCTCTTTCTCCTCCTCCTCCCCCACCCCGGCAGGTTCGGGGGAAGGGAGAGGAAGAGGAGGCCGGGCCAGCTTGTTTTCCCCTCGCCTTCACATGCCCGAGAAGCAGCTCCCGCTGCAAACTCCCCGTGACCCCTCTTCTCCTCCTCCCCCCCCCAAAAGACGCGAGGAGAAGGAATGCGAAGAACCGGATTTTGGAGGGGCGGGCGCGCAAATCCGAAAGGAGGCGGCTCGAAGCAACATCCCCCAACACATGCGCCAGATGCCGCCCTTCCCTCCTGTCCCACCTACGTATTATGCGCCCCACCCCACCTACCTACTTACCTGCCCGGGTGACCGCACCTTTTATCGCTGCCGCCGATCCCCACCCCCCACCCCGCGCTTCCTCTTTCGCTCCCACCAGCCTCGCCGCTGCCCTCGCCGCCCCTCCACCAACCCGGGATATTTGGCAAAAAAAACACAGAGGTAAAGAGATTAACAGTGTGCACAAAGCGAAGGAGCCGCCGGCCCCGGTGAGGTGGGGACGGGGGAGGGATGGGGAGGGGGGGTTGGAAAGGGAAAGACCCCCCCCCCGCTTTTCGCCTCCACAGGCGGGTGCAATCCGCCCGTCCGCGACCGCCGGGGCGAGGCAGGTACTTACCCATCCATGGCACAGACAGGAGGAAGGAAGCGGCGAGGGACGGGACAGGGCGAGGGGGAGGGAAGGGAAAGGGAGCGGAGCGGCCGCCTCACAGAAGGAAAAACGAGAAAGGATGGGCGAAGCGGGGGGGCGGGGCTGCCGGCGGCGCGCAGGCGCGACAGCTGGGCCCGGCCCTGCCCTGCCCGCCCCCTCCTCCTCCTGTTGCCGCCGCCCAGCTCGTCGAGGCTCCGGGACACACCCAAGCGTCAGCTGGAGAGGGGCGGGGGAGGCGCGCACGCGGGGGAGGCAAGGTGCGCGTGCGTCCCCCCCGCCCCCCCCCCGGCTTCGAAGGCTTCTTGCCTTGCCTGGGAGAGGAGAGCGAGAGCGCGCGCCCGCATGCAAATGAACACGCGCGGCCCCCCGGGAGATCTCGGGGCGCGAGCCTTCGGCGGCAATAACAACAGGCAGCAGCTGTTGCTGCTGTTGCCGCGGGCGGGGTGCGCGCGCGCGCTGCCCTTCCCCTCAAACTCGGCAAGTCCATTTCTCGAGGAATGTTTTTCGAGTGGGGGGGGGGGAGACGTGGGAAGGGGCCGGGACGCGGGATGACACAATAAGACGAAAGAATATAATCTGCTGCATTCGCAACGGTTCCGGACCTGTTCTCAAAGTTTTCCGGTTCTTCTTGCCTCGTTTAGCCAGACTTAAAATGGACGCATATATAATAATGGGGGTGGAAAGGAAGAAAAAGCTTTCTCCGAGTGAGCACTGTGAGAAGCGCCTTTCTGCCCTCCTAATGGCAGACGTAGAAGATAGAATCTGGGTGGGTTGTAGTTGGTGGGTTGTTTGCTACCAAAGCCATTTTGGGAACGTCCAGCAGCTCCCGGAGTGCAAGGGTTATTTTCCATTGAACATGTAGCAGTAGGAATATCGTGTGGGCTACAAACCAGCCGAGTTAGGCAGTGTGTTAAACAACACCATCCTAAGCTTATAGGCTCTGAAGTAAATTCCATGTTGAGTTCAATAGGCTACACTCCTATAACTTGGAAGAAAATCTCATTGGAGGCAATGAAACTTCTGGGCATGCATAGGATTGCATTGTAAAATGTTCCTAACTCTGTATTGGACAGTGGCCAAAAAGCTTTCCAAAAAGCCCATATTACAGGGGCAGGGTGACCTGGCTTTCACACCCCAGGACTGGAGACACTGATAACTTGAGGTTCCCCAAATTGCTACAGGTACATATTTAAAATGTTAACTCTCCTCAATCCATGGGAAAGCTCTTCTTGCATGCAATGAGAGATATTAGTGAACAACCATCTGTGGGCAGGGCCATACCAGTCTGAAGAAATAAATGCTTCTGTGCTGCTAGGAATAAACATAATTAAAGGCTCTTGGGAGTATCTGCCTCTTCTAAGGACAGGTAATTCTGCAGTTGTCTCTGCATCCGGGAGAAAGACTGAATTATCCATTCACACCCAATTCAAAGATATGTCAGAATTACCTGGCGTGCCATGTGAATCTCTATTCTGAGCCAGCGTGCTAGTCATGAACTATGCCCAGCACAGTCATTCATACAAAGTCATAGCAGGTAAACTCCTAGTCTTTGCCAGGCTAAATGAGAACAGATTGCATTAAAATACTGCACACTGTATGTCCATTTTATATTTCAGCTTCAGCAAACCATATTTGGGTGTGGCTCCTATTTAGATTTTTTTCTTGGTTGGAAGTGAGGCGGTTGTTGCTTGTCCTCAAGTTATTGACATGAAAGGAAACTGAAAGTTCATCTTCCATTATTTTACCTTGAACTTTCAGTTACCTTTCCATTCTGTAACCTGAGAGCCAAGGTAATCCACTCTACAGATGACCATGAGGGAATCTAATTAGCAGCCATACCAGTCTTACATTTGTACAAGATCGAGACTGCCGTGGTACAACAAAAGGAAACTTTCCAAAAGGAGTGAAATGCAAAAAAAACCCCCAACAACCCTAACCCTCCTCCACCAGAAAGAGCACACAGTTTGTATAATTTTCATTGTCATTGACTCACCCTACTTAGTGGCCTTCTAAACACATGCAGTGCAATCCTATACACATTTACTCAGAAGTAAGCTCCACTAAAATAAAACTTAGTAAAGGCAAAGGGACCCCTGACCATTAGGTCCAGTCACGGCCGACTTTGGGGTTGCGGCGCTCATCTCGCTTTATTGACCGAGGGAGCCGGTGTACAGCTTCCGGGTCATGTGGCCAGCATGACCAAGCTGCTTCTGGCAAACCAGAGCAGCGCACGGAAATGCCGTTTACCTTCCCGCCGGAGTGGTACCTATTTATCTACTTGCACTTTGACGTGCTTTCGAACTGCTAGGTTGGCAGGAGCAGGGACCGAGCAACGGGAGCTCACCCCGTCACGGGGTTTCAAACCGCCAACCTTCTGATCGGCAAGTCCTAGGCTCTGTGGTTTTACCCACAGCACCACCCGCGTCCCTAAAATAAAACTTACTTACCCCCTAAATAAGAGATTGCAACTTTGGAGAGCAGCAGGAATGGTGGCTTAGGGATCACACTGTATCCACAGCTCAATCTGGGGTTACTTAAACAATTCTTGACCCTGGATGGATTCTATACACCCAACAGTTGCTGCTGGGTGTTGCCATTGGCCATGCAATCCAAAGCAGACTATTGATTTTAGTGGAGAGAGCTGATCCATATTGAAATTAATTTCAGATAAAATCTGCTGAGAGCTTAAGTACTTCCTTGGGAAATGAGACCAAAGGTCCCATTTAGTCCAGAATTCTATCACCTGCATCCAGCTAGATGTCTCTGGAAGGCTCACAAATGCACAAATGCAGCATGATGGCACCCCCTGTTGTTTGAACCCAGGATATGGTACTCAGAAGCAAGTGAAGAGCTCCACATGCACAGGAGAATACCGTAGACAGCAGAACCCAGATAGATTGCCTTGTGCCAATGAAGAAATCTAAGGGAGTTGTTCAAGTCTTTGAAACTCAAACCCCGTTTTACAGTCAGTTGTCAAAGCTGCCAGTTTTGTTTGTTTTGATAACAGATGCCTAAGCTTTTATGTAAGGGCTGGGAGAATTGGGCCTTGAATTTCCCCCACACTCTGCATTTTAGTATAGAGTATTTTCCCACCAGGATGTTTAGAGCTCAGTAATGCCCAGCCACAAGCATTATAAAAATGCGAGTCAAGCCTTTCTTTTTTTTTACATCCTATTAGGCTCTCATACTCAAAAGCACCATGATAGCATAAAGTCTCATTCACTCCACTGGGCTTATACCAGTGAATCACTGCGGATTAAGGGTGGTATGTAACTTAATTTTACTGAGTTTAGACCCATCAAAATTAACTTAGTCATTTTTATTAATTTCAGTGGGTCTACTCTGAGTAACAGTTGGATACCACCCCATGTTATTATTTTTAAATCTTTAATCATATTTCTGTTTCAGATTCTTTACACAGGCCACATTCTACATCTTTTCAAATAAGAGAGCCATATATTTGGGGCACACAAAGCCCATAACTACTTTGGCTTAAGTGGTACCATCTGAATGGCAGTGCCAGAGTCAGACTGGACCTGTAGGAGACCATACTTGAATTGGATGTAGGCGCTACAGCCTGAGATCAGTTGCTGTCACACAAAAAGCTGGAGCACAAAGTGCCAAACTGTAAATATGAAGCACGGCTTTATTGGGGAGCCATGGAACAGGCTACTAGCATTTATTTCATGCCTGGACAATCCAAATTTCAGCAGCTTTGTTCCATGACTTGCTAACATGGTGCCTATGAGCAGTGGCGTAGTGTGGGTTGCTGGAGCCTGGGGCAGGCACAGGCATGCCAGGTAGTGGGGCACGGAGGGTGAATGGAGCCCACCATGCTAGCCCAGTCTTCACTGCCACTGGAGTGACCACCCCCACCAGAGCCAAGCAGGGCCACACTGTGGCACCTACCCACTCATGGGGGGGGGGAGCCCAGCCGGCAAACGTGGCCCTTGGTGGGCAAATCCCCCCCCCCAACACCTGAAAAGAGGAGCACCATGCTGGGGTAGCCTGCATGGGGGGACCTGGTTTGCACCACCTCAAAATTGTGTGCCTGGGTCCATGGCCCTGCTGGCACCTCCATGCTATGCCCCTGCCTATGAGCACACATAGACTCTCAAAGACCTTCCTGGCAACCTTCCTCTGTTGAAATTGGGCTTGAAAGAAACATTCTATCAAAGCCAGCAGAATAGGTTGTGGTGTGTGCTTGGCTAAAGTATGTGTGTGTGATGTCCACAACAGTTTCTCTGGCGTGCAGATGTGCTCACGGGCCACAAAAGGTTGGCAAACCCTGCTTTATACTTATCCTTTATACATTGTGGTACCCACCATCTGGAATGCTCTTCCTACTGAGATGAAATGTGGTACAGTGGTACCTCGGGTTACATACGCTTCAGGTTACAGACTCCGTTAACCCAGAAATAGTACCTCGGGTTAAGAACTTTGCTTCAGGATGAGAACAGAAATCGCGTGGCGGCAGTGGGAGGCCCCATTAGCTAAAGTGGTACCTCAGGTACCTCAGGTTAAGAACGGACCTCCAGAACGAATTAAGGTCTTAACCCGAGGTAGCACTGTATAAAAATATTTTAAATGTATAAATGAAACAAAATGCTACCTAACAATTGCAGAGACCTATATTGCATGCTCCTATTTTGTGCCTAAATAAGGCCATGAGATATGAGTACACACAGTCCCCAGGGTTGCCAACTCCTGAAAGACAACTCTGAAACCTGAATGTGGCACTGGCGGTGGGACCTCAGAGAGTCAGGACTCAACAGGGTGAAGGATGGGATCTTAGTGTGAAGGGCAGGTGATAAATTGTAATCACAAAAACAGTGATAGGAGTTAAAAGGCAAGGCTTTGTATCCTAGGGTACGGCCTTGCATCAAAGGTGTGGAGTCCTTTGCCTGGATTAGAGTGCAGCTGCTCATCTAAGGTATACTGCTACACCAAGGATTTGTTTACAAGTCCTCTGCCTCCAAGCAGTACATCTAAACATGATTCAAGGCTAAACTCTTAAATGTGTCACAAGCACAAAGCAAGAGCAAAAAGATCACAGCCAGAGTCATAGATTATTAAGACATACTGTATATGCAGTATATTATTAATGAATTAGAAGATGTTCAAAACAAAAAACACCCCTAAACAATTTACCCACTTTGCATATGGAAAACACTGGTGCTAAGTGACAGCCCAAATGACAAGCAATGAAAACATGGTGGAGAATATTAAGCAGATCAACCAAGAAAGTGAGTCAACCTAATGATGGTACAAGTTGTCACAACAGGAATCATGTCAAAGAATTAAGCTCGTTGAAAACATTTACCCCTTGTTTGCATGCATACCTTGTTTTGCCTCTCATAACACACGGAGAAGCAA